GGAGAAATAAAGCAATTAAAAGTAACAGTTAATTCATCAAAGGGCTACCTGGATGAGTGAGATCATCTGTTTACCCCTCCTTTACCTGGAGATATATATTCTTTGATCAGATTTTAATTAAATGTTCTGTACTTCTATCTCGAAAATGTCATGTACTTGTACTCCATGAAAATAAATTGTTTAATAAAATAAATATTATCTATCCTTGATTTGCATCATCACACTAAGAAATATTCAGAAAATGAATGAAAAGAACTTTGAACTTTGTATTCTTTACTTTATATATATATATATATATATATATATATATTCTTCGGGGGGGAATCGTCCGGGGGGGAATTGTCCGGGAGGGAATTGTCCTGATACCCACTAACCATTTGAAAGTACGGGGAAATTGCCATTTACCCCAGGAAATCCGTTTTATGGCACTTTTCCGCCAAAATGTTATTAAATAAAGTTTAAAATGTTCAAACGTCTAAATTTTAAGTATGTTTTTTCATGAAATCCAATAACTATCTTAATTATTATTAATATTTTTTACACGTATATTTCTATGTTTTGTAATTTTTACATTTATTTTCATCAAATTCTATGTTATACAGACCGTTCAGGGTCCGTAGTATTTCCTCACACAACCGTTATTACCTCATGAACAGTAAAGACTAACCATTTTTCTAACATTTAAGTGATCATACGACAGAAAATAGTTTATGTTATAATACAAACACAGCTGGATTTGACGCAAGCTGAAACGCAAAGAACGGCCAAATCTTCTTATAGTTAGGCTACATGTACCTATATCTTATAATATCCATATTGGCCATTTAAAACAAAATAGCTTATTTCAAATAAATTATCAGAAATTTTGTGAAAACTTCTGGGATGTTAAATTTATCAATTTTCCTGAAATCACCAAGTAGGACCCTACCAAGTATCCAAAACCGTTGAGAAAATAAAAAAACCATGAAGCCGTCTTTGAGTTCTTTATTTTAATATTGGACTGCTCGTCACTATATGCTACTTTAAGCCTATGTATGGTTAAATAATCAGTTATAAAATATTGAAACACTTTTTATTTATGGAAGTGAATAACACTAAGTTCTAATTATGCTCAATGTCGATATGCCTCCTAAAACTACCAAACTACCAAACGGGAAAGGGAAAGGGACCAACAACAGGTTCAACCATCCACGGGAATTGGGTAATGCGTATACGGACTTATGTTTTTTTAATGTTGTCAAAAATTTTAGCATTGACAAAATTGTAGAAGATACGAAGGCCACGAATCTGCCCTACATTTTTGTATTGCCACCACCTGCCAACGTGGAGGCCTCGTGAGAGATCCAGTACGCACTATATGGACATCGCATGGCAAATGTAACCTAGGCTTTTGTAAAGGCCAAGAAACATTTACAGGCAATGTGATTATATCCCCCCCCCCCTTCTTGAAAGCACCGTGACCAATAAGACCACTAAAACGGATACTCGTCAACTGTGTTTATGAACTGGTACTATAGCTTAGGCCTATCAGTGGTATATTGCGGTAGAGGCGACAGTGGTCAAGGTCAAAGATATACGTATGAACTATAAACAGCAGGCCACCTTTAAACAGGAAGCTTGTAGAAAACAGGTCACCGCAGATCGAACACAATATACTGGTATGTCTGTCGACGACAAAACGCCGGAGCCTGCTATACGCAGTGGAGAGGACTACAACACCATCTTTGATGAGCAGTCATACTTGAAAGCATACTATGATGGCGTAGGGGGACATCCCGATGAGCCGGAGTTTATGCCTTTCGTTATTAACACCCTGCATACCATATTCAATTCAGGTGTGTCGATGAAGTTTTTAGTTTAATAACAACTATAGTAGCGCCATTAGATCGGCGAATAGTTAATTTAATGCCCAGAATATAATCGTATTTCTGACTTTGTCATAAGAAAGTCACGAGCTCACCTGTACAACTTTGTGCTTGATCGGAGCTCACGGCTTCATCAGAAAAGTGTATCCGATCTCAATGAAAGAAAAAACGATCCACATTTTAGTCCAGGAAAGTCACATTTGACTGCTGAGCATTTGGTAATCCTGTCGACTGCGCCATTTTTGTAACCGAGGCACGACAACAAATGTATTGTCCTTTTAGAAAAATCTTTATTCGTACTATCTACACAGCCGATCACTGGTGTATCTCACTTTGAATTACGCGCCAACCGCTTTTATAGTCCAGGGTCACATGACCCACGTGACATAAAAAGGGCGCTAACACCAGTATGCATATTCATATCACATATTTATATACAAGAGCTATTTATAATAAGGCACTTATATCAATGTACGCTACAATATACTATTACATATATATATATTTATACCTGTGAATACATGAAATACATGTAGGCCTACCCTATTACATATATATATCACTAGCACCCTAGTTTTGTCTAGAAGCATACGACAAATATATTTGAAGTTCCTTAGGTAGTAGTAAAGCGTCTTACATTTTTTTGAAACACTGGCAACAAGGATGGTGAGTGCTTGACATAGTTTCCATTAACTTATTTCCAGCCGATATATGGTGACTCATACTTCTGCTAGGGGTCGGGGGGACTCCCAAGCCGGACGTTCCTTGAGTAGAAGTGGCATTTTGTCTCTTATACACACAAAACACTTAAAATATTATGTGCGCGTAGCCTACATATTCATATCTTGGCTTTCTTCGTCCCAAATGTGCCCATCAAATAGGCCTATAGCACAGTCCATTTCGGACTTCTCCAATTAACTCAAACTGTGGTCTTTTTAAAATTTAGTAGTATGGGCATTTGGAGAACGGGGTCTGACGCAAGCATGTTTGGGTAATATCTTTTGAATAAAGTTATAAATGTGATATTAGAAGGTCAGTTTCAATCGCTTATATATATAATTGCACCTCAGACTGGTAAGTGTCTCTTCACGTACAGCATACTTTTATTGAGAGCACATCTGTAGAAGTAGAACACATTCTTCGAGCCCCTGAACTTTAGGTCTGAAGCTTCAATGGATATACAAACTCCTCATTGAAAATTTTATATTGTTTAATTATAATGTAATGAGCAACAATTACTACTTGTCTCTTAGGTCAGATTAAGGGTTCTCGTCTGCTGGATATTGGTAGCGGCCCTTGCATCCACAACGTCATAAGTGCATCTAAGTGGTTTGACGAAATCACATTCACGGACTTTTCCGATGTTAACCGAAGAGCACTGAAGAAATGGTGGCAGAACGAAGATGCAGCTTGGAACTGGAAGCCGTTCTTCAAATATGTTGCTAAACTAGAAGGGAACGCGTAATTATAATTACTTTCATTTAACAAAAGGGGTTTCTTGTCAGGATATGATTTAAATTTAACATGGCAATGTAAAAATAAAGCTTACAGTTAATATGCTGCATTTAACACGCGTTTACTGTGTAATTGCAAAGAGTAGCCTATATTTTAAAGATGCATACAAAGTCAATTTTTTGACACAAAAACCAACCAAATGCCAGCACATAGTTTCAAGTAGTATAACTAAGAGAATTACCAAAAGGCATTGTTTAATTTTACCCAAAAATGATGTTTGAATGGATTTTTCTACTTGCATTCTATGCTGTATGTCAATGGGGCAGAAAAGTAGGTCACGAAAGTAGGTTAAAATTCTGACCAAAAATTTAAAGAAAGGAGGGCTATAAAGCTCTTTTATGGCTGATCGAGTGATCTGTTCAGTTTATCCCTTGGCATCTCGAATTTATTTGAGTCGTATAAGAAACAAGTAGAAGTGGTTTATATGTGTTACTGGGAATCCACGCTCCACCGATGCTGGGCTCGTATGTACCTTTAATGCATCTCTGAGATAAGAATCCCTTGGAGTCATCATCGGTAAGGTATAACTTCTAGAATATCGTTCAAGATGCCAGTAATAGTGTCCGAATGCCTTTTCATTTTTGCCAAAATCACATCCCCAAGTAGTTTTTTGTTTCGTTTTCAGAGATAATTGGGAAGAAGACCAGAAGACTTTCCGGAAGAAAATTAAAGATGTTCTTCACTGTGATATCAATAAAATGAATCCAATCTACCCCAACCAATCTGATCATTTCGACGCTGTGACGAGCTCCTTGTGTATAGAAGCAAGCTGCGCAGACGTCCACGCCTACGAACAAGCAGTCAAGAATGTCGTGTCTTTGTTGAAAGCTAAGGGTCACTTCTTGTTGGTAGGCGTTCTTGGCGAATCCTATTATGATGTAGGTGGAGAGAAATTTTTCTGTTTGCCATTGACGAAAGATGAGGTAACGGGAGCTCTAGAGAAAGCAGGACTTGAAAACATTGCCTGGTATCCTTATGATACTAAAAGTGCTGACACGGTGTCTGATTTTGCTGGTTGTTTCATCGCTACAGCAACCAAAAAAGAAGATGTGTAAACTTTTGTTGACTCATTCGTGCTCTTTGAGAAATCTTTTATATAACTTTGCGCCGCCATTCCGTTAGCATCAGACTCATAATATTGAACTTTGGCCCAGATTTCTTGGGTGAGGCGAAGAGGGGGTACAATATTAGACCACATTCCCATACCCAGAACGATCTAGAGCGGGATCGGTCCATCTCCGAGTAGATTCTTGCTAAATCGCTTTCAGCTTAAAATGTTGTTTGTTTCTTGGAAATCATCTAGAACAAATAATTTACGTTACATTAAGAGCAGTACGTATAATCAAAAACAATCCCACAAAAAAGAACAATAACAACGAGGATAATGATGACAAAGACAGTTTTTGCTTTACTGTAAGAATCATGTAAAATGATTAGTAAATGAACCTAAAAACCACAGGAAAAGAGTACAGTACCACATTATTCTTCTGTGATGTCCCTTTCCTTTCCATTTTCGGTTAAGTGATTTTAACGAATTTAATAAAAGTGCCATATGTACCCCATAGAAGAATATACACAAATGGAAACTTCTGAAACAAAAAAATTCGGATGGTGCTCATTAAAAATTCTTTTAATATAGAAATTGCCATCAGATAACCCACAGGCAAATTACACCTACCATAAAAAGGCCTGCATCGTTCAGGCATTTGTGAATCCGAGCCACGTTTACTAACGAAAACTCCAGTTTTTTTGTTTGTCGAACCGACGACAATATTGCCAAACTTGGTATAAAATATTTTCACAATGGAACATGTCTAGGGTGATTTGGATTCAACGATACTCCGAAATATCGATTCCTTTTTACGTCAATTTATCGCGAAAATAATTATCGACATCCTTCCTTTTTCCCTAGTTTTGAGTTTTTTTTAAATGGTGTATCACTAACATATTAAACTGCATGGTAGAAGACACTTGTATTTTTTCTCGAATAAAGCAGTGTTAATCAACAACAAGAATACATTCAGTCATATCTTCAGTCATATCATGTGAACAGTTTCAGCCACAACGTCACACCTCAAATGAACCATACATGTTGTAATTTGCACAGCAATAAGTTGCTCAGTGCAGTGCGAGTTTATTTCCAGAATAGTGCACCATTTAAATGTTAAACGTTGAATCTTAAATGTAAGCCTATTTTGTTTTTGAAAACCACAATGAAAACAAGCACAATTTTCACAAAAATGTGTGTGCGTGTCTGTGTGTGTGCGCGCGCGTGCGTGCCCGTTTTCAAAATACAGGGAGAAGGCAAGGGGAGGTTCTTTGCCACGCACATGCATTTTGCTGGATCTCGGCAAAGAAGTTGGCAGGTTTGAATTATAAAAATAACGTTTGATAACTTAATCAAAAATGACAATTCAATACCCTACCAATGCAACGAAATTTGAACTCAGATTAGATTAACTGAAAAAAGTATAACGTGTTGAGAAAATTGAACTGCGGTTGGCTGAGCACTCAAATGTAAACAATAAAATCGAAGAAAATGGCATATAGTTCAAGATTTAAAATTCTTTGATATTGCACAAAAGATATAAGGCCATTTTGTAAAGTAGAATGCCAGGGTGATTTGATAAAGACTACTTGAAGTACTGCCGAAAGGAGAAGTCATTAACTTTAAATCTTTAACAGGAGGTCTTTAGAGTTGACTACGTACTTTTGCATTGAAACTGACAAATAGACTGACAACTTTATTTTAGCTTACAACTATGTTTTTGTTAATATCTCTGCGTGATAAAGCCTTCGAATGACCTACATTAAAACTTACTATACAGTGTTTATATCTTATCACCTTCCATTTGTGTATCTTACTCGGGTAAACTATCAAGTGATTATGACACACAGTGCTCGACCTAAACTGAAAGGTTCACGCAGAACCATGTGTCTGCGTACCTACATGTACATGTACAACAAATATATTTATTATTAATTTCATCATCATTATCATCAGAATCATTTTGATAGCATGGTTTTTATAATGCATCACTCCAGGTTTTACAGAATCAAGGGTGTTTCAAAGAGAAAAATGAATATTTAGATCATATTACCAGCATATGCACAGATTAGTCATCTTTTGTTGTTCCACATGGTATTTGTATGGTTACAATAGTTTTAGATTGTTAAAGCTGTTTCAGTAACATACAAGACAAAGCTATCAGGAATTGAGATTAAAAAGAAAGAAAAGCCTACCTGCATTGCGTTAGTGGTATCCAGCACATCCAATATATTGCAATATATATACATATAACAACTATAGCAAGACGTCTCACCTAAAGTGCAACTAACGTCAGAATACGCGCTATTTTTGCCTCACCCGTAATTGTTTAGGGTGGAAAAATCTAATTTAAGCTACTGTATATTATTTGATAACTCGTTATGTAGAAATGAAAATATCGTGTAGACCTATTCGAAGGTACGTTAGTGTAATCTAGGACCCAACACACCATGTTCACATTGGCGCAGTCAAGCATTAAAATAAGACAGAATATTGCAGATATGTACATGTACTGGTATATGTGATGCCAAGAGACTAACGGATGGCAGTATATGTTTGTTCCTATCAGATATGGTCATTTGTTTTGAGATTGACCAGTTTTCTTCTTGTGCAGACGTAGAAAATATGGACTTTTAGAAATATGGCACCTTTCTTACCATCAGATGTTTTGAAGTGACACATACTGACACAAGGCGTCTTTTAATAAGCATGTTAATAAAATAAAGCTTCGTGTAGTCCGATACACTCCTCACTGACTCTTCAGAGTTGTGCTCATAACCACCTTGGATACATCACAAATAATTCACATTCTACATAAGATAGAAGAAGATCACTTGACGTTGGAGATATATATGTCCCCTCAACAGGCATTTGTGAATATATTCCACTTAAACATATCTTGTTTTGTTTTGCGGAGAGCTGGCGGTAATTCTAGCTGCTATTGACGCGCCGACTGAAATTTGTCATAACGTCATAGACTGTAATGCCATGTTACATTTATCATAGCAAATTTGCTGTCTGGACTGACAGAACCTGAAATTGGCAGGTACAGGAGAGGTGCATCGCTCCTTTTNCACTTGAATGAAAATGACATCATAAGCCTGATGGCCACCAGCTGTTCTATGTTTCTTGGAAGTATGTATCATGTTATCAAGTCCACAAAGTTCACACTCAATGTACAGTACTGTGGCCAGGCCTTTATCTGTCACCTTGGAGACAGTGTCATTTGACAGTAAAAGCTGAGACTGACAGTACACACATTTATCAAGCTGTTCAGCAAAATACTGGAGGTCAACGAGCCTTGTCCCATATAAAACTCCACTGTTTTTATCAGCAGAACAGTCACTAGTGCAGATACATTTAAATTTATATCCCTTCTAGCACAAAGTCCTAGAAAAGTCTGTTGGTGAAGTGAAAAAATACTTTATTCGTTAATTTTATCGGTATACACATTTCATCCTTCCAGGGGAAAATGGGAGAAATACAGGGAAAAGCTTCGAAAGAAAATCAAAGACGTTCTAGTGTGTGACGTCCATAAGGTGAACCCGATCTCCCCACATAAAGCCGGTCGGTACATGTATGACGCCATTACCAGCTGCCAATGCCTAGAGGTCGCCAGTGCTGATACTGAGGCATACAAACAAGCCATCAAAAACGTGGTGTCCTTTCTAAAAGTCAACGGTTACTTCGTGTTGATTGGCAATTTAAACGACCGGTTATACCATGTTGGACAAGAGACGTTTTTCTGTTTACCATTAGAGAAGGAAACGGTAGAAGAGGCGCTTGAGCAAGCGGGACTGGAAAATATCACTTGGTGTCAGTACGATGTCGGTAAAGAAGATGATGAAATGGAATGCATTTTATTTGTTGCCACAGCAACAAAAAAGGCAGTTATGTAGATATCCACAAATAAGTAGAATAATCTTTGTGCTGATACTTAAAGGGATAATAACTCTTCGTTTTGGCCAAAAAATGAATTTTCCTGGAGTATACAAGAATTTTCCCATGCTTACCAATGGTTAATGAATCCATTTTTACATTCAAAGTTAGTCCCTGGTTTTTTTCTAAAAAGTTTGGTTTTTTGTTAAAATCTCTTAAGAGATTTTAACAGAGTATAGCCATCAATGGAGGTCACGTGGTCTGAAGACAAGCTCAGATATCAGAATAATAGCTATAACTGCTGTTTTTGTCGTAAAACAGAATATATTATATTTCTGTGAGTTATTCACAATGTTTTTATTGTGAAATATAGACCTCATACGAAGAGTTATTATCCCTTTAATCTGGGAAGAATAATTCTCTTATGACATGTGCTCATGGCTATAGAGGAAATATATTTTTTCTTGTTTTAACTTACTAACACATAAAATGTGTCAAAACCTCTTGACCAAGTGTATTAAGTCATATAGCATGGTATTATATCTAAAGGGCAATGGCTTTTTTATATCTAGACACCAAAATATGTTGAGGACGATCTAAATTTCAATCTCGTCATGTAAAAAAGGTATAGCGAATCTTCAAAAGAGATTCAATCTTTCACAAAAATACCATTTTAACACCAACACGGCGGTTATTGCAATTATTCTGAAATATGTGCTTGCCATCGGACCACGTGGACCTTCATAGATGGCTACCCTCCGTAATACTCTCTTAAGAAATTATTATTAACCCACATTTTAAAAAGAAAAAAAGGGTTGACTAACTTTGAATGTGAACGGATTTACTAACCATTTGAAATCACGGGGAAATTGCCATTTACCCCAGGAAATCCGTTTTATGGCACTTTTCCGCCAAAATGTTATTAAATAAAGTTTAAAATGTTCAAACGTCTAAATTTTAAGTATGTTATTTCATGAAATCCAATTACTATCTTAATTATTATTAATATTTTTTACATATATTTCTATGTTGTGTAATTTTTACATTTATTTTCATCAAATTCTATGTTATACAGACCGTTCAGGGTCCGTAGTATTTCCTCACACAACCGTTATTACCTCATGAATAGTAAAGACTAACCATTTTTCTAACATTTAAGTGATCATACGACAGAAAATAGTTTATGTTATAATACAAACACAGCTGGATTTGACGCGAGCTGAAACGCAAAGAACGGCCAAATCAACTTATAGTTACATGTACCTATATCTTATAATATCCATATTGGCCATTTAAAACAAAATAGCTTATTTCAAATAAATTATCAGAAATTTTGTGATGTTAAATTTCAAGGATATTAAATTTATCATCAATTTTCCTGAAATCACACAGTAGGACCCCTACCTTATCCAAAACCGTTGAGAAAATAAAAATCCATGAAGCCGTCTTTGAGTTCTTTATTTTAATATTGGACTACTCGTCACTATATGCTACTTTAAGCCTATGTATGGTTAAATATTCAGTTATAAAATATTGAAACACTTTTAACTTATGGAAGTGAATAACACTAAGTTCTAATTATGCTCAATGTCGTTATGCCTCCTAAAACTACCAAACTACCAAACGGGAAAGGGAAAGGGACCAACAACAGGTTCAACCATCCACGGGAATTGGGTAATGCGTATACGGACTTATGTTTTTTTAAATGTTGTCAAAAATTTTAGCATTGACAAAATTGTAGAAGATACGGAGGCCGCGAATCTGCCCTACATTTTTGTATTGCCACCACCTGCCAACGCATGGCGGCCTCGTGTGAGGGCCTGTACGCACTTTATGGACATCGCATGGCAAATGTAACCTAGGCTTTTTAAAGGCCAAGAAATGTTAACAGGCATTGTAATTATACCCCCCCCCCCCCCCCCACACACACACACACCCCCCTTGAAAGCACCGTGACCGGTAAGACCACTACTACTACTGACACTCGTTGACTGTGTTTATGAACTGGTATCAGTGGTATATTGCGATAGAGGCGACAGTGGTCAAGGTCAAAGATATTTTGTACTAAAAACAACAGGCCCCCTTATAACGGGAAGCTCGTACGTCAACGCAGATCGAACACAACGATATGTCGGTCGACGACAAATCACCGGAGCCTGCTATACGCAGTGGAGAGGACTACAACACCATATTTGATGATCAGGCATACTTGAAAGCATACCATGATGGTGTAGAGGGACATCCCGATGAGCCGGAGTTTATGCCTTTCGTTATTAACACCCTTCATACCATATTCAATTCAGGTTGGTGTCGATGAAGTTTTAAGTTTAATGACAACTATAACAGCGCCATTTCTGTATATCACTAGCACCCTAGTTTTGTTATAGGCATTCAATACGTCTTACAATTTATTAAAATACTCGCAACAAGGATGGTGAGTGCTTGACAGTTTCCTTTTTCCAGCCGATATACGGTGAGTCATGCTTCTGCTAGCAAAGGGGCCGAGGGAGGGGGAGGGGGGACTCCCAAGCCGGAAGTACGTTGAGTAGATTGGCATTTTGTCTCTTTTACACACATAACACTTAAAATAATATGTGTGCGGAATAACTACATAGGCCTATCCATATCTTGGCTTTCTTCGCCCCAAACGTGCCCATAAAATAAAGCACAGGTGCTGACCTTAGTTATTCGCTGATTTTCGTGTGAAACAAAAGGCTCACAAAATCGTGATAGCCCTGTGCCTTTTCATTTCAGACATTTCCAATTTTAACTCAGACTGCACGGTCTTTTTAAAAATTTAGTAGTATGCGCATTTGGAGAAGGGGGCCTGACGCAAGCATGTTTGGGTAATATGCCTATCTTTTGAATAAAGTTAAAAATGTGATATTAGCAGGTCAGTTTCAATACTCAGTAGCTTATATATAATTGCACCTCAGACTGTCTCTTCACGTACAGCATATTTTTATTGAGAGCACATCGGTAGAAATAGAACACATTCTTCGAGCTCCTGAACTTTAGGTCTGAAGCTTCAATGGATATACAAACTCCCCATTGAAAATTTTATATTGTTTAATTATAATGTAATGAGTAACAATTACTGCTTGTCTCTTAGGCCTGATTAAAGGTTCTCGTCTGCTGGATATTGGTAGCGGCCCTTGCATCCACAACGTCATAAGTGCATCTAAGTGGTTTGACGAAATTACATTCACGGACTTTGCCGATGTTAACCGAAGAGCACTGAAGAAATGGTGGCAGAACGACGATGGAGCTTGGAACTGGGAGCCGTTCTTCAAATATGTTGCTAATCTAGAGGGGAACGCGTAATTACAATTAATTTCATTTAACAAAAGGGGTTTCAAGTCGATATATTATGATTAAAATTTCACATGGCAATGTAAAAATAAAGCTTACAGTTAATAAGCCGCATTTACTGTGTGATTACAAAGAGAATATTTTTAATGAATCTCTGAGATAAGAATTCCTTGGAGTGATCATCAGTAAAGTGTAACTTCTGGAATATCGTTCAAGATGCCAGTAATAGTATCCTAATGCCTTTTCTTTTTTGCCAAAACCACATCCCCGAGTAGTTTTTTCGTTTCGTTTACAGAGATAATTGGGAAGAAGACCAGAAGGCTTTCCGGAAGAAAATTAAAGATGTTCTTCATTGTGATATCAATAAAATGAATCCAATCTACCCCAATCAATCCGATCATTTCGATGCTGTGACGAGCTCCCTGTGTATAGAAGCAAGCTGCGCAGACGTCCACGCCTACGAACAAGCAATCAAGAATGTCGTGTCTCTGTTGAAAGCTAAGGGTCACTTAGTGTTGGTAGGCGTTCTTGGCGAATCCTATTATGATGTAGGTGGAGAGAGATTTTTCTGTTTGCCATTGACAAAAGATGAGGTAACGAGAGCTCTAGAGAAAGCAGGACTTGAAAACATTGCCTGGTATCCTTATGATACTAAAAGTGCTGACACGGTGTCTGATTTTGCTGGTTGTTTCATCGCTACAGCAACCAAAAAGGAAGATGTGTAAATTTTTGTTGACTTTATGTGTGCTCTTTTAGAATTTTTTTATATAACTTTGCGCCGTCATTCCGTTAGCATCAGACTCATAATATTGAATTTTGGCCCAGATTTCTTGGGTGATACGAAGAGGGGGTACAATATTAGACCAAATTCCCATACCTAGATCGAACTAGTGGAATCGGTCTATCTCCGAGGGGATTCTTGCTAAATCGCTTTCAGCTTGAAATGTGGTTGATTTCTTAGAAAACATCTAGAACAAATAATTTACGTTGCATTAAGAGCAGTACGTATAAGCAAAAACAATCCCACAAAAAAGAACAATAATGACGAGGATAATGATGACAAAGGCAGTTTTTTCCTTACTGTTCTCTGCCAGATCATTTTCATTGAGGTATATTATTGTACAGTTAATTTTGTAGTAATACACAGAAAATGGGAAATTTTAATTTCAAACTTGCAGAACTGATGTAAATGAAAATTCATAAAATACAAGTCGAGTTCGAAAATGCGCATTATCCGACCATTGGCAAATAAAACCAATTTTGTCGTATAAATAATATAGGGGGATACTAAAAATAAAAAGAAAATTTCAGTATTTTTTATTTGTTTGTCTTTTACCTTGGTTGTTTAATTAGAGAGTGTTCTTGTTCCTGACGACTATTTAGTAAGCTACGTTTTTATGCCGATTGCTGTCCGGTGCCCTCTTCATTCGTTGGCATATTTACTTGTATCTTCAGTCGTAGGAACGCAAATAGCCACAATATCTGTCAAGTAGTTCAGTTGGTCGTGTGGTAATGTATAAAAATACAAGTCAATGGACCCAAGATCGCAGTTCAGACAGTGTATCATTTTTTTCTTTGACTTGTGCACAGTTGTTTGGGTGTTTTGTGCGCACATAATTCCACGTCGTTTTCTTTCATTATTATTTCGGAATTGACCTGTCTCACGACATTTGACGGATTAAAATATCTGAAGCAAAAATATCTGAATTTTCATTTTATGTAGCAAATAAAAACGGGGTAAGAATCATTTCAAATGATTGGTAAATGAACCTAAAAGAGCACAGAAAAAGAGCACAATGCCACCTTACTCTACTGTGATGCCCCTCTCCCTTCCATTTTGGTTTAAGTATTTTTAACGAATTTAATAAAAGTGCCATATGTACCCATAGAAGAATGAAACAAATGGAAACATCTGAAACAAAAAATTCGGATGGTGCTCATTAAAATTCAATTAAAATAGAAATTGCCATCAGATAACCCACGAAGCCGACTACAATATTGCCAATCTTGGTATAAAATATTTTCACAATGGAACCTATCTGGCGTAATTTGGATTCAGCGATACTCCGATATATCGATTCCATTTTATGTCAATTCATAGCGAAAATAATTATCAACATCCTTCGCCTTCCCCTAGTTTTTAGTTTTTTAGAATTGGTGTATCACTAACATATTAAACTGCATGGAAGAAGACACACTTGCATTTTTTCTAGAATAAAGTGGTGTTAATCAACAACAAGAATACATTCAGTCATATCTTCAGTCATATCATGTGAACGGTTTCAGCCACAACGTCACACCTCAAATGAATCATACATGTTGTAATTTGCACAGCAATAAGTTGCTCAGTGCAGTGCGAGATTATTTCCAGAATAGTCACTTGGCAGTTGCACACTGTTGGGTATAAACTTGCAACGATAAACGTAGGCCCTATGTGGTGCTGTTGAAATTTAAAGTATATGTAAGGTTTCATAAGAAGTTGTGGATGGCAAAAATAACATTTTTGGGGGATTTTCAAACTCTAAGACTGGCTATTGCGTAGTAAAATAAAATGAAATAAAATCGGAGAGAGAAGCTGAATGGGTTTCATATCGAATCAAATTGTCCGATTAAGGTATAATTAGAAAAAAGACTGTTCAATTCCTTGTATATTATTTTAAAACAAATTTAAAACAAAATGATAATTTCTGAGTATTCCTATAATTTGTAAAACACTATCCATCACAGTGCACCATTTAAATGTTAAACGTTGGATCTTAAATGTAAGCCTTTTTAAAATGTTTTTGAAAACCACAATGAAAACAAGCACAATTTTCACTAAAATGTGTGTGCGTGTCTGTGTGTGCGCGCGCGCGTGCGTGCCCGTTTTATAAAAAATACAGGGAGAAGGCAAGGGGAGATTCTTTGCAACGCACATGCATTTTGCCGGATCTCGGCAAAGAAGTTGGCAGTTTTGAAATATAAAAATAACGTTTTATAACTTAATCAAAAATGACATAATTCAATATACCAATGCAACGAAATTTGAACTCAGATTAGATTAACTGAAAAAAGTATAACGTGTTGAGAGAATTGAACTGCGGTTGGCTGAGCACTCAAATGTAAACGATAAAATCGAAGAAAATGGCATACAGTTCAAGATTAAAAATTCTTTGATATTGCACAAAAGATATAAGGCCATTTTGTAACAGTAGAATGCCAGGGTGATTTGATAAAGACTACTTGAAGTACTGCCGAAAGGAGAAGTCATTAACTTTAAATCTTTAACAGGAGGTCTTTAGAGTTGACTACGTACTTTTGCATTGAAACTGACAAATAGACTGACAACTTTATTTTTGCTTACAACTATGTTCTTGTTAATATCTCTGCGTGATAGAGCCTTCGAATGACCTACATTAAAACTTACTATACAGTGTTTATATCTTATCACCTTCCATTTGTGTATCTTACTCGGGTAAACTATCAAGTGATTGTGACACACAGTGCTCGACCTAAACTGAAAGGTTCACGCAGAACCATGTGTCTGCGTACCTACATGTACATGTACAACAAATATATTTATTATTAATTTCATCATCATTATCATCAGAATCATTTTGATAGCATGGTTTTTATAATGCATCACTCCAGGTTTTACAGAATCAAGGGTGTTTCAAAGAGAAAAATGAATATTTAGATCATATTACCAGCATATGCACAGATGAGTCATCTTTTGTTGTTCCACATGGTATTTGTATGGTTACAATAGTTTTAGATTGTTAAAGCTGTTTCAGTAACATACAAGACAAAGCTATCAGGAATTGAGATTAAAAAGAAAGAAAAGCCTACCTGCATTGCGTTAGTGGTATCCAGCACATCCAATATATTGCAATATATGTACATGTAACAACTATGGCAAGACGTCTCACCTAAAGTGCAACTAACGTCAGAATACGCGCTATTTTTGCCTCACCCATAATTGTTTGGGGTGGAAAAATCTAATTTAAGCTATATTATTTGATAACTCGTTACGTAGAAATGAAAATATCGTGTAGACCTATTCGAAGGTACGTTAGTGTAATCTAGGACCCAACACACCATGTTCACATTGGCGCAGTCAAGCATCAAAATAAAACAGAATATTGCAGATATGTACATGTACTGGTATATGTGATGCCAAGAGACTAACGGATGGCAGTATATGTTTGTTCCTATCAGATATGGTCATTTGTTTTGTGATTGACCAGTTTTCTTCTTGTGCAGACGTAGAAAATATGGACTTTTAGAAATATGGCACTTTTCTTACCATCAGATGTTTTGAAGTGACACATACTGACACAAAGCGTCTTTTAATAAGCATGTTAAAAAAATAAAGCTTCGTGTAGTCCGATACATTCCTCACTGACTCTTCAGAGTTGTGCTCATAACCACCTTGGATACATCACAAATAATTCACATTCTACATAAGATAGAAGAAGATCACTTGACGTTGGATTTATATATGTCCCCTCAACAGGCATTTGTGAATATATTCCACTTAAACATATCTTGTTTTGTTTTGCGGAGAGCTGGCGGTAATTCTAGCTGCTATTGACGCGCCGACTGAAATTTGTCATAACGTCATAGACTGTAATGCCATGTTACATTTATCATAGCAAATTTGCTGTCTGGACTGACAGAACCTGAAATTGGCAGGTACAGGAGAGGTGCATCGCTCTTTTTTTTTTTTTTATTAAAATGCAACATAAAATGTGAGATCTTTGGGAAGTTTGGTTCATTTTAGAGCGGAAAGTTTTTGTCATGGCGATGCAAATGAAAGAATCAGTAACATCAAAGGTTGAGAGAAAAGGATTAAATCACGGACCCGCCCCTTTGATTGCAGTGCCAAGGATTCTATGATATTTATATACATAGGCCTATATATATATAGAGAGAGAGAGAGCTTCTGTTAGCAGAGAAAACTAGAGACACTTTATTCCTAGCATCAATAAGACGGAGTTTTGTCGAATCTCATTTTTGTTTGAAGGACTTGGCTGGGTCCTAAGAACATACTTGTAGAAAGTGTGGTCAATATTACGTACTGCATTCAATTGAAACAAGAAAAGACATGAATTTTTCAGCAGAGTCCGGGAACGCGACAGACCCACTCCAGTTTCAAGGTCTAGATCTGTCACATTTGGCCGTTGTGATCGCGGTTTCTTATCTAGTAACTTTTGTTATTGGACTTATTGGGAACACTACCGTGATATATTTCATCCTGAGGCACGCTAAGATGAAGACAATTCCGAACTATTTTGTTCTGAATCTGGCACTGTCTGATGACCTTCATATACTTACCATGCCGTTTCTTGCGTACAGCTCTTTACACAGTAATTGGATTTTTGGAACACCGCTCTGCAAATTCTTTCTTTCGCTTAGTGTCATCAACAAATATTCCAGCGTATTCACAATCGTTGTAATGAGCGTAGACAGATATATGGCCATTGTTCACCCCGTCAAGTCACTTGGATACCGAACCATAAACAAAGCTAAAATCGCGTGTGGAATGGTATGGGTTGCGAGCGCGTGCATAATTATTCCGTACTGGATATATGGAACGGTGAAATACAAACCAGATAATAAATCTTCCTGTGGTCTCTTCTGGCCCCATGAATCGAAGGCCTTTCTTTTTGAATTTTGGACTGGCTTTCAGTTCCTATTTGGATTTGGTCTACCATTTATCACAATACTACGTTGCTACATAAACATTCTCAAAAAACTGAACACAGCCGTGGTGCCCCACTCAACAAACAGTTCTCAACCTGCCTGCCATGTGCCAAAACACGTTTTGAAAGTGAACTCATTGGTCCTTACCGTGATCATCGTATTTGGCCTGTGCTGGACGCCCTACCACATTGCCGAGTTTTTGTCGCTAGCTAACTACCACAGACTGAAGAGTGGCCACGTGAAGCCAAGTGAAGACGGTATACGGTTATTCGCCTATTTCAATGCTACGGCCCAAATCCTTGTCTTTATCTCCAGTTGTTGTAACCCTTTCGTTTACTGTTTCCGCAGCAAGGATTTTCGTAAGTATTCAATACAGGAATGGCAAGCTATTCCTTAAATGCCATTTCTTTTTTTGTGGCACATGAGAAAAGTAGACAAATTACAGGTGAACCAGCAGTTTTGTGAGTGATTAAACATAATGTCTAAAACTTTAATGCCACTTACTAACTTGTTAAATAATAATATCGAAATTCGAATTAGTTGACAATAGCTTAAAGGTAAACGGTACTGGTTCAAAACTTTCCCAATGTCTTATTTCCTATGCCTAAATATCCTGCAAAGCAAACAATNTTTTTTTTTTTATTAAAATGCAACATAAAATGTGAGATCTTTGGGAAGTTTGGTTCATTTTAGAGCGGAAAGTTTTTTCATGGCGATGCAAATGAAAGAATCAGTAACATCAAAGGTTGAGAGAAAAGGATTAAATCACGGACCCGCCCCTTTGATTGCAGTGCCAAGGATTCTATGATATTTATATACATAGGCCTATATATATATAGAGAGAGAGAGAGCTTCTGTTAGCAGAGAAAACTAGAGACACTTTATTCCTAGCATCAATAAGACGGAGTTTTGTCGAATCTCATTTTTGTTTGAAGGACTTGGCCGGGTCCTAAGAACATACTTGTAGAAAGTGTGGTCAATATTACGTACTGCATTCAATTGAAACAAGAAAAGACATGAATTTTTCAGCAGAGTCCGGGAACGCGACAGACCCACTCCAGTTTCAAGGTCTAGATCTGTCACATTTGGCCGTTGTGATCGCGGTTTCTTATCTAGTAACTTTTGTTATTGGACTTATTGGGAACACTACCGTGATATATTTCATCCTGAGGCACGCTAAGATGAAGACAATTCCGAACTATTTTGTTCTGAATCTGGCACTGTCTGATGACCTTCATATACTTACCATGCCGTTTCTTGCGTACAGCTCTTTACACAGTAATTGGATTTTTGGAACACCGCTCTGCAAATTCTTTCTTTCGCTTAGTGTCATCAACAAATATTCCAGCGTATTCACAATCGTTGTAATGAGCGTAGACAGATATATGGCCATTGTTCACCCCGTCAAGTCACTTGGATACCGAACCATAAACAAAGCTAAAATCGCGTGTGGAATGGTATGGGTTGCGAGCGCGTGCATAATTATTCCGTACTGGATATATGGAACGGTGAAATACAAACCAGATAATAAATCTTCCTGTGGTCTCTTCTGGCCCCATGAATCGAAGGCCTTTCTTTTTGAATTTTGGACTGGCTTTCAGTTCCTATTTGGATTTGGTCTACCATTTATCACAATACTACGTTGCTACATAAACATTCTCAAAAAACTGAACACAGCCGTGGTGCCCCACTCAACAAACAGTTCTCAACCTGCCTGCCATGTGCCAAAACACGTTTTGAAAGTGAACTCATTGGTCCTTACCGTGATCATCGTATTTGGCCTGTGCTGGACGCCCTACCACATTGCCGAGTTTTTGTCGCTAGCTAACTACCACAGACTGAAGAGTGGCCACGTGAAGCCAAGTGAAGACGGTATACGGTTATTCGCCTATTTCAATGCTACGGCCCAAATCCTTGTCTTTATCTCCAGTTGTTGTAACCCTTTCGTTTACTGTTTCCGCAGCAAGGATTTTCGTAAGTATTCAATACAGGAATGGCAAGCTATTCCTTAAATGCCATTTCTTTTTTTGTGGCACATGAGAAAAGTAGACAAATTACAGGTGAACCAGCAGTTTTGTGAGTGATTAAACATAATGTCTAAAACTTTAATGCCACTTACTAACTTGTTAAATAATAATATCGAAATTCGAATTAGTTGACAATAGCTTAAAGGTAAACGGTACTGGTTCAAAACTTTCCCAATGTCTTATTTCCTATGCCTAAATATCCTGCAAAGCAAACAATCTTTTTCAATTCAGACCATAAAAATACAAACTCATCAAATAGAACTACCTGGTGTAGATGTCGTTCCTTCTGAAATATACGGGAAGACACGGCGTTCTAAACGACTAGGCAGTCATTTAGAACTGAATCATTAAATAAAAAATGGAATGAAACATCGAATCTTAATTTTGTTGTCAGTACTACAGTAAAGCAATGAGTTGTGAGTTGGAGAAAATTGCTTTTTCCCTAAGGAAAAAAATTCATTTTGGCAGGTAAATCCTGTATACGGTAGTGTCCCGTTAAAATAAATAGGCAAGGTGATTTGCACACTTAAACAAAGATATGCGACTAAGAAGCTTTACACTAAGGTTAGGCTCTCAGTTTGGAATATCTCATCGTGTATATTTTTGTGTATTTTTTGTAGGGCACTTTCACAGTTCCAACTGACGTATGAATCTGGGCATGTGAAGTATATGGGACGTGCATATACATCTTGCATGTTCAAAACCTGATTGCTATATATTTCATTAAAAAAAGTACAAAAAATTGCAACTATCAAAATGTTTTTGTTAACTAACCTAGCAACCTATAACACAAATTCAAGTCCGCTTTTTTTGCATAACAAAATCATTTACTATTCCAGGAAAACTATTCATCGGGGTTTTGAGAAACCGCTGCCGTGTCTCCATCCTAGAAATTGGTCGAGACGTAGCACACACAGAGAGGGCAGACCAATACTCTACTCAGCTAGGGCTGCCGCGCAGTGCCCAGCCAACGCCAGCATGCCATCGAAAAGGAAGCGCTTCAGTTGCTATGATACCACTGGGCCATACGCGGTCACGGTCTGATCAGACAGAGCTTTGTCTGTCGGAGCACCCCTCGGGCAGCCGCTACCTGGACCATCATTCAATGTTACATAGTCCAGGAAGTGTGGTGGAACCTCAGCCCAGCAGTAGTGCTGACAATGTGTTTTCACACCAGTAAACTGGCACGTATATGTTTGACAGAGTAAAATTGCAGACAATGAGAATAAGTTTTTGCGTGCCGTAGACTTAGCATAACTCGCCACCTTATCAGTCGAACATCGTTTATTTAAAACTAATCTAAAGAAACTTGTTTTCTTTTCATTTTTGTATTAGCTGGAATATGAGCATTGTCTCACTCGAATCTTGGTTAAGGACCCCATATCACACCGACACCGACTACGAATTCCGCGAACCGCCAAGAATTGGTAAATTATCCCGGGGTTCTTAGTTAAGTCGAAAAAGTGTTTATTTCTGACGCCCGTATTGGCTATAAAAATCAGCGTGCACTTAGGCCACCTGAAAATGTTTAAAGGTAGACTTTTTTAACGAGCCTTGCATTCGTAATGCACGTCAATTTTGCTGCTACCACAAAATGAAAAAGGATTTCCTCGCATCACTATCGGCAACTTAAGAATTTTTTTCAGTGTCAACGATCACTTCAGCTTACCAGATTATATAGTAACAGCGCCTTTTAAAAACCTTGTACATACTGCCGTTGGACACTGTCATAGCGTTTTACATTGGAATATAGTGCACACGCCTGGCGTAGATCCTTTTACGGTAATTCTTATGACGTCACAGGACCCATTTTGGACACTTCTCATTAATTTCCGTGGTTTTCCAAATGCAAATTTTATTTGATAAGACCAAGCGTACGTTATAAGAACAAGAATATATGGATCGTTGTGGAAATGAAATAAAGATGTGTGAAAATTGCATGGTTATCCAATCCCATTTGGCTTAGTCAGCTTAGAGAGAAATCCAATTTTGGGGTGAATTCAATTTTTTTGTGAAGCTTTGAAAAAGTACTACGCAAAAGAGAACTTTTAAGTTGAATTTTTTTCTTTCAAAAGTGCGATATGAAAATCATCAGCATGTATATGAAAGTGGACGTCTTAATGGTCTTTTGCTTTGTGAGGCTTCAATAATTGAATAACAGGAATAAAAAATATACAAGACACCTAACTTTTTGTTTTTACTATTATTTTAACACATTCTGCTTGAAACAGATGACATTTATATCAAGATTTTTTAAATTGGAATATGACTTTAAATACATGTACAATGGTCTTCTAAAGGCACCGTATTTAAAACACCGACAATTAAAACAGAACGTGTAGGATCACTTTAGCTGTAGCATTTAATAGCATACCAGTTACTGATAATTCCAAACTTGTGTGTTTTATCATCATAAATAGTGGTATTGGTAATTCTAGGTGTTTAAGAATTACACGTTTCAACCTTTATATGAGACACATTGCTGTGATGAATGAAAATCAAAAGGGGTCCATACAAGAAAGAAAATTATAATAAATTAATTCTATTTATAGCCTACATTTTATCTGCAAAATGATAAGGGCACTCTTCACAGAACTAAACTGTTTTAAAAGCTACTTACATGCAACGATGACGGAATATTTACATGAAAAATGATCATGAAAATGTACTCATTTGCAACAAACTAAAAATCAGACTGAACTGATGACTCATTTAATGGAAAAACAGTTTTCCATATTTTATCACAAAATAACCCTTTCATGCGACTACATATATGGTAATCATTTTAAATATTTTCACAAATAAAACTAAGGCTTCACTGAATTTAAAAATCATGAAATGAAACTTCACAGTAGGAGCAATTTTGAAATCAATTAAATGAATACTAATGAAAATAACTTAAAATGAAAAATGTAATAGACCTTGAATTAAGCATTTATAAACATTTAAATATTCATAGAATTCATTAAAAGGACACGAAATGCAAAACAAACATTTGATGGCAATGAAACATATAGGATTTTGAACTGCTCTGGCAACTTCATCTCCATTCTGCTGCCAATGAGTCTTGCAGTCTAGTCTATTGTCTTCCTTTTTTGTACTTATTTACAAAATTTTACAGCCGTCTTGAAACATAATCTAGCCTCATAAAAAACCTACATTATAACTTCCTTTGCATTACCCCAATAATCATCTCAAACATGCTTCTTAACAATCAAGAAGCCATGCAGGAATATGCCTAGGAGGGGAAGACGGAAATTTGTCTCCAAGAGCTCTTTGGACAAATGCTCACAGGATATGTTTTTTTTTCTTTCCTACTCCCCTTTTATCTGTAAGACAATACACTGAAAGTAGTCATAGACTGAAATTGTGAGCTGAAGGAGACCATGGCCAAGTGGGTCTATGCTACGGTAAATATTATTTCTTAGGCCACCCTGTGCTTGCTTGCTCATGTTCAGCAATGGGTATGTCTTTTTGATCTTTAGAGATTCTAAATGCAGACAGCACATGGTGTCCATCAACGATCTCCAGGTCAATGTTGTAACGCATCCTTAGAGAAACTGGGAATGCACTCGACACTGGTACATGTATCTGTATAGCTCAATGTGGCTTTTGTTTTAGTAATTAAAAGCACTGCAGTTGATTTAACAATACTAAGCTGCAGCCACTGGGCATGTGACATTAGCTTGAAGATGCTGTAATAACACTGTTCATAATAACATGTGTAATCCTGCTTTCCTAAACATCATGATTGTGGTGAGATAGTGTCTCCCATCCCTCCTGTGTCTGGTAATGTAGGGTTCACCACATCTGATGGAGTCACGTCATAACCTAGCTTTTTCATGTCCTTCATCACCACACTGAACGACACAGTCACATAGCCCTGGGAACGAACTCTCGTTACTGAAAGAAATAAAAATAAATAAATAAATAAATAAAAGTATAACCAATTACACACGAATGGCTGGATTAAATCTTTCTTCCATGGGCACAAACTCTTGTTACTGTAATAAATAAATAAATAAATAAATAAATAAATAAATAAATATAAATAAATAAATAAATAAATAAATAAATAAATAAATGATTAACAAATTATGCATGACTAAATTCAATCTTCTACTAGAAAAAAAATTTTTCAAAGGATTTACAATTTTCTACATCCAGTCTTATGCAAGCACAGTAAACAGTTACGCCAATATCAAAGATAAACTGACATGGCTAGCTCAACCATGTGATATGATGTCACAACAATGGCTTAACCTGACAAACTAATATTGCCAATTTCATCTTTCAACATTCACCTGCTGTGCTTCAAAAGCTTTTAAGATATATATATTTACAAAAAACAATGAAATACATGAAAACATGCAATGATTCTCAAGTTGCAAATAATGCTTCTTTTGTTTCTAATTGGATATATGAGACAACAGTTATAATAAACTAAAATAAGCTGAGGTGTGTGGGTTGGAAAACCAAGCAGTCGACATAGGCATATATAAAGATGCAATTTCTAGATTTTTCCCTTTTGATGATCTTTTCTTTTACAAAATAATTCTTTATCATGAGAGAGAGAGAGAGAGAGAGAGTTTGTTTGGAAATAAATGAAACTTGGTATGGATATTCAATTCTAATCTTGGAAATGATGGTCATAAAAAAATTAGTAAAATGTTTATAAATGAACTTATACTGCAGATTATGACCTTAAGCAATTCCCCCTAGTACTCTGAAATCACTCTGAATCCAATCTAGCACTTGTGTCCTATGTCAGGTAAAGGTCACCGTCTCAGCTCAGATAAAAATTTATCTTTTCCCATTTCCTTTGTCTTCATGCCTCATTCTCTTTGAGGTAATAAATCATCTGAATGATAGGTCATTTCTTCTGTTGCCTTGATGTGGAAATAAGTGAGCTATTTATCTTTAATTTATTCTTTATGTCTGTCCATTTCCTGTTAGTCTCAGCAGTGTGTGTGTTTTGTGTGTGTTTTTCTATGTGCAAATGACCCACAGATAATTGTCAGCCACATCAGACAGTAATACAGCTTGTTTCAAATGCTCCCATCACCAAACATGATGTATGGGGCATTAAGAAGAGACAGAGGTTGGGTTCGGTTTTCCTTCAAGTCTGAATTATTAGTATTTCTTAAGTTTTTAATGTCAAAGTTTCAAAAACATCCCAGTGGTTGTCATTTCACTGCAAATGGTAGCAACACTCCTCCCTTCAATCTCCTACAGAAATGTAATACACGGAATGCATTAAAGGTATTCTCCACGCATTTGAAAATCCCCCACAATCATATTTAGATCCTGCAAAGCTCCTAATAATTCCCAATTCAGACCTCAAAGATGATAAAACCCTTTAAACAGAAGTTTTCTGAAGGGTAACTTCCTTTCCTCATATTCTCAGCCTTTTCAACTGCTTTTTCTAGGTAGCTCACATTTGTATTATGCTCGGCACAGGGAGGTGATACAAAACACCTCGTCATTTTCATGTGTGAAAACAAGGCCATGCCCAGTGAAGACCATTGATGGCAGATGTCCTATTTGACTGATCAGTCATTTTAAACTTACATAAATTTAAAATGGAATAAGACTTCAAATCGAAGTGCCAACGCCGGTCAAGCAATCATTCGAGAGTAGGAGAAAATTGCTCCTTACCCCAAAAAAATTTTGGTAGGGAAATCCCATGGAGGTAATCTTTAAATACAAGTATGTCTCCTTTCAAACAAAAATTTGTTAATGCATTAAGGAAATAAATAATAATTATATAACTCTTTTCATCATTTACTTCAACTTATCACTAGAGTATTTGAAAAATAAAATAAAATTGAAAGTTGTTGTCAAAAATTGAGGTATCAACTTCATCTTGTAAAAAAACAGATATAATTGACTGTGGAAATTTTGGCTGCAGTGGCTTAATTTTTTCTTTTACATTCCAGTGAAGACAATTTCTATATGCCACTGTACTCCCTTGTTTTTCATTAATGACTGAAAATGGAGTAGACCTGATGAATTCTAGGAAACATCGATTTCTATTTAGTAACATGCAACAATCAACTATTTTTGTAGTTAATTGGCATGTGGATTCTAACAGTCGTGTGCAAAGCCAATACAGCATTTCCTCAACAATCTCATCACATCTTGCTGTGGTGCACCACTGTGTGGCTCATTTACTAATACTTTTCTAAACGTAAGGCCTTTACAGAAAATTCAACCTAACAATCTCTTCATCAAATTTCACTTATCAATTTAAAAAAAGCCTTCTTCCTGGCATAATACCCTAGTCTACATTCTATGACCCATACTTAGCTTCTCTTCCCCCTCCTTGGGATAATACCCAGGTATCTACGTACTATGGCCCATACTAACCTTCTCTACCTTCTCCCTGTGCTAAAACCCTGGGGTCTACATACTCTGGACGGCGCCCTGTTATCCAGGCTGTCAGTTTCTGAAGTTTTGATGTTGATTCAGGAACAAACATTCCGATTCTCTGTTTGTGTCTGAAATAAGAATCATAAAATCAAAGGAATACTATATTACTATAAGTATCCTCAACACGGCTAGCAGGTTATGTGGTATGTTGTTCAATTATAATGGTAATGACACAAGACAAGACATTATCAATCCAGCTGCTTATACACATGTATTTGCAAGAAATAAATGTCACTATGTTTCCTTTACTGTGATTGGACAAAATCCATCAGTTATGTCATCGTTCAATATTACGTTTGTCGAACATGTGATCAGTCAATATATAGGAAATTTTATCTGACCTTAAATCTCAGATATATGATCACATTCTATGCTAATCATAAAATACTGTTAATTATTTAAGTACATTAAATCAAAATATCAACTTTTCCCCAAACATGTACTATCTACCTTCCTGGGGTGAAGGGTATGTGGCATGCACCATAGCCACGCACCACATCTCTACTGAATAGGTCAAACCCATAAACACTGAGCACAAGCTGCGGCCCTGGAGAAATGAAAATTGATGAAAAAATGGAAATAATTTTAACAGAAAGAAAGCCCAAAAGAAATATTATTACTATTAGAGGAAAAGTGGATACTGCCAAAATATTCACTTGAAGATACGGCTATTTTGAACATTTTCTAAAAAATTCATCAACAATTTTTCCATAATGTTGCTAACAAACAAACAGACAGACAAACCAACACTGCCAAAAACAATTTAATGATATGTAAAAGATATCACCATACAGATCATAAACAGTGATAAACAATAACAGAATTAAAATACAGAATTAAACATCTTGAATGTTACATACTAGCAGCTGATGACAATACATTTTTTTCTTAAAATACGTTTGTAAAAACCATTTCCATTCACTATTGACTAATGCATTTTTATTCCAAAATACTCTAAAACAAGCATCATTTTTGTGTAAGTAATTGTATTAGATTTTGGAAAGATTTAATAATCACTATTATATTTCATAGAGATTTTCCTTGCTTGAAACATCATAAATGCAAAAGGGCATGCTTACAGCCATAAGGATTAGTGCTCTTAAATGTCACGTCTAGTGGAAAGTTCCACACAAACACCTGACGTTCGTCACGACTCTTTTTGGTAAATTGTGTCATGCCCTCCTCCAAGCCCTGAAAAAATATCACAAAGGTAGCATTAAATATCAGATGTGATTCTAAGAAGTCAATGTAGGGAAAGGGAAAAGTACTTCTTTTTTAATGTAAGTAATAACTATTTAAGGATATTTTTCTAGAATTCCATAAATTACACTGATCATCAGAATAGGTGGAAATTTCATTCATGCCAAAATAAAGCTAATTCTGTAAATCCTTATGACAATTTAATTAAAAGATTAAGAAGACAAATCAGTGGCATAAAATATTTTACTGTAACTCAAAGCATTAATCACTTTTTCTTTAAAAGCCTTATGTGCCAAACGCATTACATTCATTTCGAAAATTAAGTTTTTCTACACTCACTATACATATATATATATATATATATATATATATATATATATATATATATATATATATATATAAATTTTTGTTGATAGAGCAAGGATGTTGTGGTTTCTACCTCAATAAGCCTAAATGCAATTGCATGATAGCAAATTTTTGTATGTTTTCCCCCTTTTAAGTGCAATTAAGATGTTCTGACATGGCTAGCTCAACCATGTAATGTGATGTCACAACAATGGCTTAACCTGACAAACTAATATTGCCAATTTCACTTTTTAACATTCACCTGCTGTGCTTCAAAAGCTTTTAAGATAGATATGTACAAAAATCAATGAAATACATGAAAACATGGAATGATTCTCAAGTTCCAAATAATGCTTCTTTTGGTTCTAATTGGATATATGAGACAACAGTTATAAGAAACTAAAATAAGCTGAGGTGTGTGGGTTGGAAAACCAAGCAGTCGACATAGGCATATATAATTACTAAAGATGCAATTTCTAGATTTTTCCCTTTTGATGATCTTTTCTTTAACAAAAAAAAAATTATCATGAGAGAGAGAGAGAGAGAGAGAGAGAGAGAGATATACTTACTGATGTTATAACCCAGTCCTGGCCATAAACAAAGCTGTATTTACAAAATATGTCATCAAATTCTGGGAACTGAAACATTCAATCGAGTCTTGGTATAAAAACGTGAACATTCAAAATGAACAGAATCTGAAATTAATACAGTGATAAACACTTCATGCATTATTTTTAATTACATGTGTCATTCGAACTCGTTTTATTAAAACGTTAAGGTAGTAGTCGGTGGCAGGGCACGCCAGCATTTACTTCGTGTCAATAGACTACAGAAAACAGTATGACGTGAAGGTACGTGTTTTATGTTATTCAATTTACTACTTCACCTCAGCGGTTTCTATTTGACCACTCAACATCAGTAAAAACACCGAGCCAGTTCCCGCTGGTGTCGCTGTTGCCATCTTGGAATGCGCGCTTACTCTTTTTTGTTTGAAGGAAGATAATTAGAAGTAAACATGGCAGCCTCAACGAAAAACGTTCGTGTAAAGCTTTCTTTCAAGAACGTCCTTCTTTCTGAAAACCATTTACCAGGAATTTATTGGTACTTGGTTGAACCTCAAACACACCCAACTGTGACACACATGATAAGAGATTTGAAATCAAAATTTAACCTAGAAGAAGCAGACCTCGTGTTAAAAGTTGAGGACTGCGTTATACCCACGTGGGAGAGCACAAAAATCTTCAGGGAGAATGATACAGTAGAGTAAGTGACGCCCGTATACATTTCTGTTAAAATACTAACATCAAACTGCGTTATCTGTCATTTGCTTCCAACGTTGATAATTGAATTGAGAATTGAGAAAAGAAATGAAAATAAAACGTCCTTGATTTACTATGAAATTGTTTTTTAGGATGATAAAACGGTTACATGCCTATACGTCCCCGCACCGATACTCCCCCACAATTACAGATATACTAAGGGGGAGTATCGGTGCGGGGATGTATCGGGTGCGGGGGAGTATCGGTACAGGGATATGTACCAGTGCGGGGATCTATCGGGGGTGTGACTGAAATGCGCAATACACTGCAATACAGCGCAACACAGTGCAATACACTTGATAACACAAGTCCAGTTGCAAGTAAACACAGGAAAGGGTAATCTCAAATAAAATAGGGCGATATAAAAGCAAAATATAGTACATAGTAATTAATATTGCTGATACAACTTGACAATTTTTTCATTGTTTGGTCAGTTGCCATGTTGGCGAGTAGCTCTTCTTGGCCAGTAATATATCCAAGAAGAGCCACTCACCAACATGGCTGCCAACCGGACAATATACCATAAAAGGCTTGCTGAAATGTCAAGTTATATCAACGATATTACTTACCTAGCAATAAAGGTTGTTTTTATATCACCCTGCTTTGCTGGGAATGGTCATTTCTTTTGTGTAATTGCAACTGGATTTGATTTTTGAAGTGTATTGCACTGTATTGCGGTGTATTGCGTATTTCAGTCACACCGATCTATCGGTGTGGGGTTGTATCGATACGCATAATACAAAAAATTACTCAGGGGGGATTATCAGTGCAGGGGAGTATCGATGCGGAGGAGTAATGGTGCGGGGGAGAATCGACATGACCCCGATAAAACCATTATTTTTTTACTTGGAGACATTAGTCAATCACAACATTTCAGTCCAACATCTATGGATCTTGATCACCAGAATGGTGAACAGCAAGCCTCCATTATTGGAAGTGTGCCAACCAGTAAGAAGATAGATCCATAAAGATGTACAACCCAAACCGCCAATCTCTGTCTCAAGCTACCCCATTCAACACAAAAGGTCCATGAGCCTTTTACTGCTAAAAAGAGCCAAATTCTGCACCAATTCACATGACCAAGGTCCATAGACGGTGGACTGAACCCTTGTTTTACCGTCCTTGTTTTGTTAAAATATTTTCACATTTTGCCAATTGTCATTTCCTATTTTACTCTGCTGTTAACTTTCTTCCTAGTATCAAATGCAGTGAAAAACAAGAACAGATTATCATTGCATCCTGCAACCAGACATGGGATGAAAACTCTCTCAAGAAGAAAAAGAAGAAAAAGAGGACATCAGTAGAAAGAAGTATTTGCAAAACAAATGTTGAAACTGAAGATACCCTAAATGCAGAAAGTAATGCAAAAAGAAGTGCAATCCATGAGAACAGTGGGTCAAAAAGGAAAAGCAGTGATGTTGATACTGGCAATATCCAGAGCATCTCTGAAGCAGATATTTGTGAGTCAAAGAAGAAAAAAGCAGACTCAGAATATACAGATAACCATTGTTCAAATAACCACAATGAGGGGAAGAGTTCAGGAGAAGAAGCAGATGAAGCTCAAGCAGAATCCACAGTAGGTGACAATTCAAACAAAAAAAGGAGAAAAAGGAAGCGCCATAGGAAGAAAAACAATAACATAATAGCTGATCAAGCACCAAATCAGGTGTGTCCAGCAGGCTCAGTGGTGGTGTATGATTCTAAGATGCATCACATTTCAAAAAATGGTCTCAAAGATGGTGAACAAAATCAACACATAGTATTTGATACAGATGATGAAATGACACCAACCTGTGAATCAACTGATGGACCATCAATGCCACAAAATAATCAGATACTAACTACAGATAGTAAACCTGCACAATCTCCTGAGATATTAAGCATGTCCAAAGGGGATTTGGTTTCTGAAAGCCTAGACAAGCAAAATAAGAAACATGATCATTTTTCTGCAATACCTGGGTGTGATATTCAATCTGTACCACTGGCTACTGGTTCATCTCCTTCCCATCTAATTGTTACACCTACAAGGTCAACAGATGCTCAAGTAAATGGAAAACAAGTTGGTGGTTTCCAGGTCTGAATTTTTGTATTATCATCCGTAAGCATTTGCATTTATTATTTGAAGATTGAAAGCAAAAATTTAGAACAGCTATTTTGGTATTTTCTTTTGCTTAAAACCAAGAATCTAGAATCCTACCTTTCATGGGCTCAAGTTGAGCGTTTAATCAATGATGCATTTTGTAGGTATTTGACAGAAGAAAACAAAAAGCAGGATTTTATGAGATGACCAAAGAACAGCAGCTGAGATCAACACAAACAAACTCATCAGTTATTATGCAGGTAAGAAGAAACCCTTTGTGATATTCATAGCACATATACATGTTGACTGGGAACATTTTATGTCATGTGTGACAGTGTCCAGTTTAGTAGGTAAACCTAACTACATATGAGAATCTAACTAGCATTCTGGCAATGTTAAAACTCCACATTGGAAGCCAGTCAAATGGCATGTCATGTAGCCTACATTGGCTGTAGGTGTGACAGTGGGTCATTTTACAGTTTAAAAAAAATAGGTCAAAATTTGCTTTTAACCTGAAGATCAAAAATCTTCAGACCCCATTCCCATACCAGGATCAATCTAGCATAATCGACCCACCTCCTAGGAATTTCTAGCTAAATTGCTTTCAGTTTAAGCGGCTCTGATGTTTGGCATGCCTACTGAAGCTGTTAGTGGGTAATTAATTCTCTTTCAGCAGCATCAGTGCCAGACATCTAAGCCACTTAAGCTGAAAGCAATTTAGCAAGAAACACCCTTGGAGATGGGTTGATCCTGTTGGATTGATCTGGGTATGGGAATGGGGTCTTAGTCATCTCTGAATCATGATTAATTTCTAGTAGACTGCCCCCTGAAATCAGAGTGCCACATACTAGTAGGTGCGTCCCTCTGAGATGGGTTGAGTAGGGCGTAAACATGACTGGAAACATTGTACGAGTTTAGATTAAGAGTGCTCACAAAAAAGTTTTAATAGACAAACATCATACATTATACAAGTAAAATTTAAATGATTGCTGTTGCTGGAGGCAAAAATAGCACTGGAGGCAGAAATAGTACTGGTTATATATTCTTCATTTTTAGAACGGAGCAACACCAAAAGATGTAAGTATTTTGGAAGAGAATACTGCACCACTAAGAGATTACACATCTCTCCCTTCATTACTTGGCCCACCTAGAAATGGGGATACCATTGCTTATAAGGTACTTGCTTTGTGAACTGTGCTAAAGATAAATGTCAACATGATGAGAATACTTGTATGACAAATGCTACTTGAAAGTGTCATGTTGTTCTCGCATAAGAGAAAAGTGCTATCAAATTCAGGTAAATCATGAACATATATTTTAGTGGATGCTTCATATACAGTCTAAAAATGTAATTTTGAGAATTAAAGGAATATTATTCTGGGTAATTTAAGTGCAATTATTTCAGATGAATAGTCTTATGTACTGGAATGCAAACTATTATGACAAATTCACATATTGATTTATTAGGTTCTTGAATTATCAGAAGATTACACTCCTGTGGTATCGAAGTATAAGGTAAATGGCATGCAGATCAGACATAAACACTACAAAGGTTATACAAAAATATTTTTTTACAAACAATTTTTTTTGTATTTAAAGTGAAGTAGTGGTTCATGTGACAGATCTTTTGTTTTCTTTAAAGATGTATTAAAATGATTTTTCATGTAAATCTCCTACATTTTGTCTTGATAAATATGTCCAGATAAACCCTATCATTAAAAAAAAATTCCTATATAAACATATTTGATTGATGAGTCTTAAAATTGCATTTTGGATATATGTTAATTTGTATTTCTAGGAAGCATGTGTTCTAGATTATTCTCCATCAGATACAGTGGTTAAATTGGAATTGCTCACAAAAACAGAAAGTAAGATAAAATGGGTACAAAAAATGCATTATAATTATTTGAAAGCTCATTTGTGGTCATTTTTATTCTTCAGAATTGTTATGGTTAAATTTACTTTGAGTTATTTGATAGGTTAGTTTGATCTCAGTAAAATAAAACCATTAAAATAAAAATGAATACTTGAACAGAATTTGGCTTTTCTTTCACATGATGCAGTTTTATCATATATATAGCTATTTATTGTGTAAGTTGTTTATTTCAATTAAAAAAGTTCTTTTTGCAGAGAAAAATTATGGTCGATTTGATCTTGTCATAGAAGATGAGAGTGAAGTGTTCACTAATATACCAACAGAAAATGTGGTAGGTTTTGCTTGGAGTGATGATATGAAAAAATAATACCTATATGTTCATAGGCTGTTTATTAAAATCCCCAGCTGTTAATATGATCAATTTTATTAGGAAGAAGCCGTATTGATAAGTCATTTTGTGAATAAATTTCAAGGCATTCAAGCCAAAGTATGTCATTTTATAAATTGTTAAAATATAAACCTTTGCCTTGAAATCCATTCATTAATCTTTTTCTAGGTATTAATCCGTTTGGCTGAAATGCTGGAACCAAAGCTTATTCCAACAGGACCCTAAAGACTGAAGAATACTTACTGTGCAGCTATTAAAAGAAGACGATCATTAATGAGATTTTTGATTTTTATTTTAGTCACTTTGGAATTTATTTTGCGTCCATTAGTATTATGTGATTTTGCTCTTCTTAATCATTAAAAGTTATAATAGAATCCATGATTTTGTGAATATGAAGTAATCAGATTATACCCACCATTATGTGAGATCTATATTTCAAAAAACAAAGCGTTTTCACATTAAATTATACCCCAGTCTTGGATGTATATGAAAGTTGTTAATTTTTTCTTGTTGGCAAGGATGGCAGTGTGCATATAAGTTGAAGGTTTATTCATCAGGTAAGAGGGGCAGACGACTAACGATTTCATCATCCACGCCCTCAGTTTCATCGCAGTATTCATCGTCTGCCTCGTAGAAATCGGTTGTGGCACCCAAGTTATCGTTTCCGTAGGGTCCCCTTGAGGCAGGGTTATTAAAATTGTCTGTACCGTACTCGTTCATATTAACTCCTGAATTAAAGTGCCAATCGTCAGTTTCGTAAGCATTCGTCTGTTGGTTAATTTCGTCTGTTGAGTACATGTTTGCACCGGTCGTTGATTTATTGCTTTCATAAGTACCCATGTGCGTGTTAATCTGACCCATCATTAGCCCAGCCATCTGGTGCTGCCGTGATATTTGATGGTGCTCCTCGATTTCTTTTCTAAAACCCGCCCTTAAATGTTCCTGACTGATAGATTTGTAACCTTGCGTATGCTGAGTCGCTGAAGAAGAGTAAAATGCCTGGTCTGGAACATCATTGTAACTTGCATCGTGAACCCCACTGTATTTCCGCGTATTCAGCCCGTCAGCTGATGGTTGAAAGCCGCGGTCGTTGACTCGTTGAATTGACAAAGCTCTCGGTTCCCTCACCGAAACAAACGGTCCGTAGACCTCCTCATCGCTGTCGCTCTCCTCTTCATCCACGCGATCGCTGTGATATATTGCCATGGTAACAAGGTCTCGTCTGCTCCCGCTGCGGGTTCGACTCGCGGTGGCGGACGCTTTCCTGCTTGGTTGCTCAAAAGCTTCGCTTGTATCGGTGTCATCTTCTCTGTTTTGATAGTCGTAATCTGAAGAGTTCAAGCTGTCAGTTTCACTGCCATCTTGTCTCTCTAATACGTCCATCTTAGATTTGAGCTTCACTTCTTCTTCACTTGAATCTCTGTGAAATGGACAAGGTATGAAAGCTTTCGTGTGCAGCATTACGATTGACGACGGCTGATACAGGGAAATTCAACAGTGGGAAATATTTAGCAATTAAGTTCACTAATATTCCAATGCATTTAAGATAATATCCAAAATCAAAACACTTTATAACTCTGTTAGTCAAAAATCTGTAGGGGAGACCGGGGCTAGTTGGCCCAGTTAGACACTTTTGGCCTTGTAGAGCCAACTAGGAGTGAGTTACAGTAACAAAACCGGTTTCAAAGTAAGCCCCATGAACTAGGCTACTTATGCAACGTCATTATTTTTCAAATATAATGCTAGATGGCTCACAATTTGACAAAAAACGCAGTTGACGTCAGGGGGGCCAACTTGCCCCGCCACGGGGCAAGTTGGCCCCAGGGTCGGGGCAAGTTGGCCCCCCTATACGAAAATGAAGTATATATCCCATGTAAACGCCTTGAAATACATTTTTATACATTTTTAACTTATTTAATTGGTTTTTGAGAGTGTTTGATGAATAAATAGTTCAAATGAGGCAGTTTTAGTGAGGCTTCCGTACGTGACGTTGTGGGAGGGGGGGGGTATGTGTTGCAAGAACCAAAATATTTATCAATAAAATTTGTTTTGTTTTAATTAAGAATAAATTAATAATGGTATAAAGCAGGGTTTTAATGAATGAAAACGAATAATAAATTTTCGTTTTAAAAGAAAGTAACAAATTCAGTTTTAAACCATAGAGTTTGTTTCAACAATGATCTCTAGCTAGGGAGGGGTGGAAAAAACCCCTTGGGGCCACATATAACACTATAAATACAAAGGGAATCCCCTTAAAATGAATTAAGGCAAAATAAATGTTTTTCTAAGGAAAGTCCAATGGATTTACTTTTTAATACATACAATCAACAGAACATTTCTAATATAAATTTTTGAAAAGACACCAGAGAGCAAATTAAATAAAATCAATCAGACGGTAAACACCGGCAAGCTTTGTCAATTTCACCAACTTGTTTATTTCAAACAGCGTTGCGCGCAAAGGTTTGTGGGTAATATGAGGGTCCAACTTGCCCCGAGTCAATGGGGCCAACTAGCCCCGGGTGCACATTATTTTTTTTTTAAAGATGGCAGCCATTTATGGTGCTAGAATGAACAACGATGATACATCTCTGTGAAACTTGAAACAATGAGCTTCAGTTTGATGCCCTAAACATATATTATATTCGATCAAAAACCTATGAAAATAGATTTTTAAATCTCTTAAACAAAATTACTTTTAGGTGCAAAAATCGTTTATTTCGACTCACCGCTTAAGTAAAACTTTTTGACGTCCGACACTTCCTTAGCATTGTAGGCTACGGTCACTTTACAAAAGTATGTGGCCAATTTTTTTACCTCGTGGTTACTTTTTTTATAAATTGACGGGGGGGCCAACTTACCCCGGGGTCCAACTAGCCCTGGTCTCCCCTAATGTTATACTTAGGCCCGCACTTAATAAAGCAGCGGCTCCATACCTCTCTTCGCTGAAATCCGAAAAGTCGCAGTAGTCGACGGGGTTCATACACACGGTGCACATGTTGTTGATGTCCGTGAAGCAGTCCTGGCAGTAGATTGCTGAAACATTGGTACAGCATGTAGTATACTGCGACAATACATGTAGGCCTACAAATTGTAGCTGCGGAGATATGACCGTGTTTCAGACGGGAATTAATTTATTTATTTGGGGATTTTGTGTGTTAGAATTTTTATGAAAGTCAATAACCTGTGCTAGTGCACTTGAAGCTTAGCGATTTTATTTCAGCAATGTGCTCAGGGTAAGATGGGGGAACAAATCCCAATTGGACACAAACTATACCGTGACATTCCATGACGTGATGTACAAATACTAGACAGGTTTCGTGCGTACTTTTTGTTCTAGACGATATCTTTAAGTAAAGTAAGAGACCCAAGAATCTCAAATTTGAACACGTACTAGTAAAAGCGGACAAACCTTTTTGCTTAAACATAAGCTTTTGCAGAACATTTCCTTTTTTCCATTAAAAACGGCAAATCGTTCTTAATTTGTGCCATGAAAGAAAAGCATGAAATATGTGGGTGAGGAATTAATACGATTACAGCATTGTAGGCCTACCTTTGCAGTCGGAGGTGCTGCAATGCTTAAAGTGGTCCATGTCGTCTGGTTTCCCCGGTTGTCCGCAGCATAAACAATACTTTCTCTCATAGCCGAAGTACTTGAAAACCTTACCCAGGATAGGATACCTATGTTGCATGAAATATGATTATTGAAAACAAGAATGCAATTAATAAGATGTCGTATTTATCATATTATTTAGAGGATGATACTTGAAACATATATAGGTTGTTCTTTGAAGCGAACATAGATTATGAAGTTCGGACTATTTCAGTTTCAGTGCCCAGGGGTAGAATGCGCTTAATATAATGTTGACTCACTGAGATGCCAAACGACTTCTGATGCTAATTTTTTCGATGGCCTCTTCCTTCTCGTACTTGCGGCGAAGTTGCCTGCGCAGAAATTTGAGAAAACCTCCCCTTTGCTGAAGAATGTGATTGTAAAGCCATATTGCGCGTTCCTTCTCCCTTTTTTCGTAGTAGCATCCAACTATAACGTGTCGAAGTCGTAGTCCGTATGCTTCCAGTAAAACCAGCAAAATACAAGTTGCCCAGATGAACACTGAACAGCAAGACAAAAATAGGGTAACATTTATTCATCTTTTTATCAATTTTATGGGCGTTTTTTTAACTGCTTTGCCGGGCGTTGTAGCAAAAACTTATTTTGGCATCGAGGTAGGAAAAGGGCCTTCACTGACTCGTAAAAAGCTGGTATTGAGGTCATTTGAAAAAAGTGCGGTGAGGCAATTAATGGCTGTAAAGAGTGATGTTGTTAAGTCCGTTACATTGGCCTGCGACCGCTGAGATTGAATTTTTGCCCACCTCTAGCTTTTCAAAGTTTAACAGTGCTCGATAGTCAACATCAATTTCATACATCAGAGTTAATGAACTTAATATGTATGGAACATAGGGGAGACCGGGGCTAGTTGGACCCCGGGGTAAGTTGCCCCCCCCCAAATCAGGTCTCTTAAATAAAGTTACTTTAAGATGTTAAATTATTTCATTTGGACTCACTGCCGACGTTTTCTTAGCACTATTGGATACGGTGATCAGTTCCTTTACCTCATAGTAACTTTGTCATTAATTGATGGGGGGCCAAATTACCCCGGGGTCCAACTAGCCCCGGTCTCCCCTACGAATGAAAAAAAAAATTAAACTGATGATATCTTCTCACGTATTTCTTTGTAAATATATGGGTTGACTGGACTTGGGTTCGGAAGACAAGGGGTCGTGTCGATCTCAAGCCCGATGCGTCCGATAGGGTCGAAAGTGCTGATTAACATGCGATACATGTCAGCAAACGCGCCATTGCCTTGAACGTGCAGACCAATGGTGTGTGGAACTGAAACATGGACCATAGATGAGCTTGTTCCAGTTTGCGTTATGAACTTTCAGTTTCTTTTAATATTTGACACATTTCATGTCCACTCACTTTAAATATTCTTATATTCGATGTATATAAGGCCTGCTCCTTTGAAATGAATTTTCCTAGTTTCAATTTTTTCATTCAAATATTCTAAAAGGAGATAATGAAGTCACAACCAGCCGTACCTTCACTGTGTGTTTTAAGTTCCGCGTGGGTTCTTATCAAGTCAAGAAGTGTATACAGACCCATGTCGCAGTACATATAAAAACTGGCGTGCATGAAACTCCCTGCCAGCATGATAAGACCTCGGACAAGTTTTTTCTTCTCAGGTTTTGCCAGTCGAGGAGACCCTGGTAAAAATTTAATTGTGTCACACATAATTTCAAAGCAGTCTACAAATCGGTCTCATTTTGATTTTATTAATCTTAGTGTCTTTATAGAATAAAATAAAATAAAATGTTTTGAGACATTAAAAGACAATAGCACTTATATAAGTCAACGGGTCCAAGCGGTTTAAAGACCACTAATACAGAAAGGTGGCATTATTAAAGCGGCGCTTCAGTTCTCAAGTAAAATTGAAAGGGCGATCACGGTGTATACGATGTCTCTTTGTAAAAATTTTGTCAATCAGAACTTACAAGTTGTGATGTACTTGGAACTTTCTTTCCAATTCAGAGGAAGAATGGTCTCCCGCTCCATTTCCTGGCGCCTCTCGTCTATATCTCTTAGGTTGAATGTCACGTAGAAATTATCAAATTTGTCTTTGGTGAGATAATTACGCCTATAAAGCATCGCCCTGAAAGAGGAAGCATGCGTCATCTAGAACAGTTAACAAAACTGAAGAAAGGCTTTTACTGAAAAAATATTAATATTTGCTTTTTACATGTCCACCCCACTATCTTTGATGAAGGGGTACTTATTAAGTACGAGTCTTTCATTTTCACGAATTCTGCAAGCCTCTGCAAGAAGAGCTCATGACAGAAAGATCGGGGTGATTAAAAAGGGAAACAAAAAGTAAGAAATAGAAAAAAGAAACAGTTGCATCGACCGAAAATAAAAAGACAACTATTCTATGACTGACACAATGACACTCAATCTAATCACATATATTTACTTAATAAAAAGCCAAAGTAGCATGAACGCTATGGCGAAACTGCTGAAGTCCATCATGCTCTCGAACGGTTTGACCCATGACTTGATTTCGTTCATAATATCGCGCTGAATTTCTTTGCTCGTCTTGGATTGGGTTATGGTGTAGTTTAAATGGTGGATCAAAGTCACATTAAAGTAGAACATCTCGTACACGTTTTGGACAGCAGTCTGCACGCCTATGTGACATTGAAACAAACAACTTTAGTTCAATGAGTTCAGCCTGTTTTTTCTTCAATTCACTATACGTGCTATTTAGTTTATTTTGATATATGCACAACTGACATGTTCCTGGTTCGTTTTCTTTATATTCATTTAAGCAATACATTTGACAACATTTTTAACATTTGAAAATTGAAAGTGTTCTACCTACTCGTTTGCACTTTCTTCACGATCAACTGTTGTACAAGTTCTGTTAGCTTGCACAAAAATTCGCCCACTGGAAATGTGAACGTAAATATGAGTCATCTTGTTACGGTGTACACCCAATCCCAATATAGAGGTGCAATTGATGTCACAGGCATGCTCTCAAAATTATTTAGTGCTTAGATTGCAAACTATGTTTGATTATTTTTGGGTCCCACATGAAGAAATTTGTATCAAAGTTTCACTCTCCTGGAACCATGAATAACAAAAAATAATTCATCGTCTAACCCAAAAAAGGAACATATGTTACTGTCACAAATGCTAAACATCATACTGTGGAACGTTTTACTCACTTTGGAAATTTAATTATCACTGGTTTTGGTCTTTGATTTATCTCCTACAGGTACAACGTTTTAAAAATTATAATAATCCTCTGTATAGAGCAATTAATTGTCTTTGAGCAACTTTAGTTTGCTTGTCACTGAATATTAAAAAACGGGGAAAATACACCCTACAGATTGTAAAATAAGCATTAAATAAATTATTTTTCCCCTCGTGCTCCAAGTATGATATCAAAAAGCCAAACTATCATGAAAAAAACACTGTTTACCATTTGGTCTCTTTGCGTAATGTAGCCTAAAAGACGTGGTAAAAATTAAAATTTGAATTGTTCTATACACAGAGGGCCTATATGTTTTAAAAACTGAATACAACTCTGAATTCATTCAATTTTAATTTTGACCCTTCAGTATGTGAAATGCACCTCTATATTGGGTTTGGGTGTGTACTGACAAAGAGAGAGAGAGAGAGAGAGAGAGAGAGAGATAACCTATATCTATCTTACAGACCTAAGTAAACCTACCTCTTGCAATATTGCATACAACCGAAAATTTGTCGGCTAGGGAGCATAAACCGAATGCATTGGCAATGGCGTTTTCCCTGAAATAATATATAGATTTTGAGTCAATGAATATGTAAACAGTATTTGGAGTATAGCATGTATGGTATTCGGAACCGTCATCTAGCAACCGTCTGTTGCCTGCTATGTAGAAAAAAATGTGAAAGTTTCCTTACCTGCATTTTTTAACAACTATTTCAAACACCTTCTTGCACTGTCTGTAGGGTCGACCCATGTTGTGATTACATATGTTTACCATGTCAGCCAGCCATTTGAATAGACGCTTGATGGCATCGACTGAAAAAAAGGCGGTTCGTTTTGTGTTATATACATGAAACACATAGCTGTATAACTGAATTTTATCACACTAACCAGGCATTGTTATTTTCAACAAAGAAAGCGACTATTTGGTGTCAAGTCAGTGCAAATTTTATTTTATGACTTACCTATATTTTGGAATAATTGTTTCATTGCTTGAAAAGCTTTCCGCAGTCGGTCCGCTGCCTGTGTCAATCCACGCAAAGCTTGGCGAATAGGCGCCAGAATACCTTCAAATGTTATAATGAGACTAGTAATGAATAAGATTTTTTGTGGTATTTCTTGGAAAATTCATGGGTCACCAACAATTTTGAAGTTTTTACCGATCAACATTTTACCGAAACTTCAGCATTAAAAGTACCCTATAAATGGTGGTTTTGAAAGACCACTTTTCTCTCAAGTAACAATCGTATGAATTAATTGCATTATTCTCTGCTTAAAATATTATTTTGTACATGACATCTGCCTGTGGGAACACACTGTCCCGTGCCAGGCCCGTAGCCAGGGGGGTTCGGGGGGTTCGAAAGAACCACCCTTTTTCCTGGGAAAAGGTCCACTCTGGGTAAAATTTGATCTATGTACTTGAGAATTTTATGGTAAAAGGTCCACTTTTTCAGAAAACGAACCCCCCTCTGAAATTGCTGGCTACGGGCCTGCGTGCCTACCTTTAACTGGTTGCATAGCTTCAGCAAGAATTTCCTTGGTTGCGTTCTCGGCCATCAGTTGTCCGCAGGCAGCACTTTGAGACATCACTTGAATGTTGTGGCTGAAGTTATGCATGGGACCGTTTACGATTAGGACAAAGCAATACGCTAAGAGGAATGTACGTCCTTTACCTGTGGAAAAGATTATTAAAGCTTTGAAACAGTGACAAACAGGGCATATTTAAAAGATACAATATATATCTTGTAGGCTAAACATGGGTAATTCCAGCTTCTACACACCTCTTGCTTTCCTGGATATGCCCCGCGTTGCAATATAGTATGAAGAAATGTTTTTAGTTCAGAGTTGCCGACAATACTGCATTTACTGGTTACAAAAATAGATAAATAGAGAAAACCGATCGTGAAAACAAACTATTTAAATGAGGAGTTGACAACAGAGATTAAATCATAATATAAAAATGAACAGATAAACCGAAACGCTATTATTAAAAAAATACCTTACTTGAAAAAATTTGCGGTATCATAAGAAGCACCAAGCATCGAACGTGTAAGGAGAAAGCCATTCCCAGGGAGAGAAATGTGCCAAGGCCCATCGCTATATAAGACGCCGTCAGGCCAGAATAATTCAATTGAAACACCATTACAAAGAAGAGAAATAGAGCTAAGAAAGAGCCAGTCAGGAAACCTGTGCGAAAAACAAAAACGTACACATTCAGCATATTGGCATTACATATTGGCTTCTGAATAAAGGGAGAAGGCAAGTGTCTAATTGTTCTATCGTATTGGAAATGTCAATTTTGCGGATTTTATACCTGATTTACCTGAGTTAAAACATACCAAGAAAACTTTTAAATAGGTCGTTCTCATACGTCCCGTCAATACACAGTCTGCTAAGGCATGTATTGGCTGCTTTCTTTTTCCATTTATGTCGCCTACGATCGTAAATACAACATGGGCATAGTGCTTTGAAACATGTCTCTCGTGTCCACGTGAATGTGTTGATGATGCAGTCTTTCCACCTTAAAAATTTTAAATATAGGTTTGATTTTTTACAAAGTTAAAATATCATAAGGAATGCCAACCATATGCAAATCAATTTATCGAACAATACATAATTATAATCTTGCAAGCACTGATAATTGCTTTTTTTTGGATAAGAGACGGAAAAAAACAGAGGATTGTCATTTGATATCTTCTTGTTTGAAATTCCCTAAAAGAAATTTTGATTGAGTATATTTCAACGTTATTTAAATGATCAATTTACCACGGTCGCAAGGGAGGTAACCCGGCGAGCTCTCGCTCTGCGTCAATTTTAGCTTGCGCCATCTTGTCCATGCCCCTCTTGACTTGGTAGGCTTTCCATGCCACTTTGAGGTGTGCCATTTTATTGATATTATAATGGATAGTACAGCAAATGTACACCCTAGTATATGCAATGTAGATTTTAATAGGCCGTCTTGTCCACCATTCCAAATAACCGGAATCTGTGTTCAATTTACGTCTTCGCGAGATGTGAAATATAAAACGTCAGTGCGTAAGACGTTTTTACTACGTCAGGTAGCGACGTCAAATAGGCCTAGTACATATATAATAGGCTACGTATTCCAGTCTGTTCAGTCTGTTCATTTGAGTTTGTCATCCTCATGCTTCATTCAAGTTAGATCTCTGCTTCTTATTTTGAGGACAGATCTAAGAATATTCATTCTGTTAATAAAAAAATCGGTTTTCTAACTAACATAGGCCTACAAATTACCCATTAGGCCATTTTTCATTGGATGATGAATCAACTAGTTCTTTCATTCCATTAAGTCCTATGCAATATTCGTTGCTTCGATGCTGTGCAGAGCCTAGGACAACATGCCTAGGTTGAAAATGTTTCGGTGTTGGGGGAGGCCTATAATGCATGCAGACAGGTTGTTTTCCGGGGACTATCTCGATAATCCGAAGCTTCATTCTTCCAAAAAAATCGTATGCACGCACCTCTGATTTACTTTACTTAATTGCCAGTGCACCATAGCCTAGGTGTACACACTTAATTCATGCACATGATGAATTCCGACGTAGGCCTACTAGATCTATCGAATTTTCGGCCCAATGAACCTTAATTCGGACTATTGCTACGGCCCCATTTTCCGCCTTTGATGGGTCCTAGTCTTCCATACCTAAACAGCGGCGGATTTAGAGGGAGGGGGGGGGGGGGGGGGGGGAGGAGGTTAGGGGGGTCCTGACCCCCCCCTCGGTTTCTGAATAATACATCGCACCAATATTCCCCTCTTGAAATTAGAAAATTGACTCACTAAATTATAACTCCAAACCCGTATAGGCTAAAATTAAAAGGGCACTGTTTGCTCTCTCAAACACCCAAAAAACTTTCGGGGTCCTTCAGCAGGCCCTGAACCTCACACCAAGGGGGCTATGGTCGGTTTCGCATCAGAGGCCTGTCGTTCCAGACCCCCCTCCCTTTCAAATAATCTTGGAACATCCCCTGGTAACGTATGTAGGCTATCATGTGAATAATTTTTACAAATCGTTTGAAGACAACTATACCCTCTTTTGTCCCATTTCTATTTTATTGTAACCTAATATGCAGCAAAAAATAGGTGTTGCCTCCAACTTCTGGTGAGCCAACACCTTTTTTTTTTTACTTCACATTACGCTAGATCTACACAATAAAATGCATTGTTAGTTGTCCGTCGGCGCAACTAGGTGTGAGAGCGAGAGCCGTCATACATGCGCCCACGTACAGTATGTTTCTACAAGGCATACATGTATTTCTCTTTGTTACATTGTTAACAAAATTAGGGGTTGGCTCACCAGTAGTTGGAGGCAGCTAACGGTTATTAAAAACATAGGTAACGTATGTATCAATAGATATCATACTCGGTATGACAATGTAGGCTATACCGTTTTGGATGTTATGAGAGACATTATTTATTACATTATTATAGTGAAGATAAATTATAAAAAATAATTTAATATGATCGCTCACAAACACATTTTAATGTGATGTTTCGTTCTTATTTGAACTCATCAGGTGTGCATAGGCATGGCAGATTATCATGGACACTTGTTAATATTTGGGGGGATGGTTGGGAGTTTCTGCCATTAAGCATACAATATATACCCTAGGTTCTAGATTCCGGTATTGTCAGCTCGATCTTGATTTCATATATAACCCATATCAACAATACCAGCGACTCCACCACGAGGTATATTTAGCAAGCTAGCTTTTACGTTTCTCTGACACTTAGGGTAAGAATATAGGCCTATAATGCAGAATCTCTGCACTTTTATCCTGGCAGTCACAGCTAGGCGACAGAACAACAATCAGTTAAAAGCTTCTATCTTTGACACCTGTATACGTAGTCTCTAACACAGATGAACAGCCAAAAAAAAGTGCAAGGAAAATAAATGGTCATCTGACAACTGTTCCTTGAAAACGTGCTCGGAATGACTTTTCCTTGACGCTAACCAGTTATTTCGACCATCTCCTGCGCAGTTAACTAAATGTAGTGAACTGCGCCAGACCAGATTAATACTGCGCATGCGCATCACCAAACACTTCCGGCCTGATAAATGTAGTGATGTCGTCTCATGTGCTTCGGATCACGGCAACAGGACAGACATTCTTACTTAAGGGTACGTAAATTGGTCACTTGTCCAGTACATCAAGAATATTTTAGCTGAAACTATTTTTACTTATGCATCCTGAATTGCTTGATGTGAAAACACCCCCCGTTCAGAATGCACCTCTTTATCGATACCCGCCGTTTACCATAAATTATTATTTAGTGGCCATTATTTAGAACTAATAAAATTCTGTTAATGCTTCTAAATGAACTCTGAAGATTAATGATAGATACACACAGAATTTTTTGTATGCATCTTTAAGATGTAAGAAATCTTATTTAGATGTCAGTTTTACATAAGATACTTTGTTTTAGGCCTCGCTACCAGAGGTGTACAGAATGTTTGCCATGGCACACCAGTGTATTGCAGTAGGGTTCCTCTCCTGCAGCAACCATCTCAGATATCCAAACGATGGAACTCCTTTCGCTCACGTAAGTAGTGCCCTTAATTATTTAGGCTCCCCTGAATTGTTCCTTTATATTAGCGTTATTTTCACATATTTTTTTACTGAAGACACAATTTCTCTTTAATCAATTTTTCTTATCTTTTTGTGAGGAGGAAGGGCTCAATTGTGAAAGATTATGGTCAACCATGTGACAATCGTCTGTGAACATTCTAAGTCCTGTGCTGGTGTTTGTAGGACATACACACCACTGGTAATATATTGTAATACAAAACATATTCCATTTTTCAGGAAATAATGCAGAACTGTGGGATTCCATGACATCTGTTAGTGCATCCGGACGGAAAAAAGGGAGACAGGGAGGCCAGGGTGCTCAAGGAGTTACAAGACCAAAAAGGCCATTGTTAAGTTTAGGTATAAATATTTGTCAGCTTGGGTAAACTATTAATGGTGATTTCTTAATAGGTTGTTAAAAATAGAGGGAATTATTATATATTATTACAATAATTATTATATATAAGCAAAGTCGAAGGGAATTAAAGGTATTATTAAATAAGCAATTTTCTTGCAGACCAGTTAGTATACCCTGTAGAAAAGCCTTGTCTAAGATTACTATTTTGTGTACAAGGCAATTGATTGAAAAAGTTTTTTGTGTGTGTGTGTGTGTGTGTGTGTGTGTGTGTGTGTATGTGTGTGTGTAAGCAAATTTCATTTTATATTTGTAATGTTATTTTTGTTCTAGGTATCATGAAAAACAAACATCTGGTGGGGGCCCTGAAGAGTGCAGATAAAAGAAAAGATAACAGCAGAGCGGGAAGGCAAGTTCCCCAAAAAGCTAAACCTGTAACAACACCAACTTCAACAAGGGCAACAGGTCATAAGAGAAACATGGGAAAATTATCCCCTTTAGAAAGAGGTTGGGTAGGCTCACGTATCCTGGGACGTACCATAGGACCTCCATTAGGAAAAGATGGAGGTATACAGAATGTTTATGTTATTTTTTTATGTACAGACACAGATGTGTAAGTGGAAAACCATATACAGTTGATCATTATGTAATATTGCTTCAAAATTGACAAGATTCCCTATTTTGTGCGATTCTTAGGATTGACATACAGATCAAATCAATAATAAGCAAGTGAAGTAGGTAGACACCCTTTATTGTATCAGACATACTGAAAACATTTCAGAATGGCCGGACATTTGGACCGACAGTAATGAAAAATTTGCCGGACCAAATGGATTTAGTCGGTCCAAAAATCACCCTTTACGTTTGAGACAGATAATACCAGTATGATTAGGGTAGCTTACTTTGTTTCTGAATGTGATAGGTTAGAAATGGAAGGGAAAAACACTTTGGGTTTTATATAATTTTACTAGTGAAGTATGTCAAATGATAACTGTAAATTCAAAATTGCTGCTCCTGAAACTATTGTCGGTCTTTTGGACTGACTAAGTCCAATTTTTTACTGGTCCAGACAAATTTTCCCGGTCATGACCGATCGGACCGACAGTTTCAGCATGTCTGTTGTTTAATATCGAACTGCACATGGTATGTGACATAGTGAGTGTGGTTCTGAAATATAATTAATTTTTGGTCTTTTCAGTGCCTTTTGAAGGTTTCGATACAAGGATTATAGAGGTTGGTAGGTTAACATGTACCTCTTGTCAAAATTACCATTTAAGAAAAGTGTACTACCTAATTAATGAATGCAGTGCCATCTGTGACCTGCTACTTTAAGTTACTGCTTACACACTTGGGTCCCAACTTTTGAGTTGTTTATTTTATTCTTACATTTGGATTTGCACATCACAGTATATATTCAATATTGTATTAACTGTTCTATATCTTGTACAGTTAACTATGGTTGCTGTTGCTCTGTTTTGTATGATTAGGCATATAAAGCTTATCTTATGTATTTGCAGTTTAAGATGACTGCCACCATGACGGGCACAATGGGGAGAAAGATGACATACTCCTGTTTTGTAGTGACAGGCAACAGGAATGGAGTTGCAGGTAAAAAGGGCAGTTTGTCATGATAAGTAAATTTGACTATGTTTAGTGTCTAGGCTCACCATGATATATATTTTTGTTGTACTCAAATTGCCTCTGCCAAATTTTTGTTATTTCAGCCAGATCTGTATTTTTGTTGCCAAACCTTGAGTTCTATTACCGGACACAGTTTTGACAAGAATTTCCCCACACTTTGACAGTCAATCAAACTTTCACTTCAATCCTTACATCAGTTTAAGCTCAGGAAAATGATGGGGAGAAAATAAGTTTGAAATATTATTGGGTCCATTTCAATAAGGCAAACTAATTTCATGAGGTTAAATTGACCTTGTTAATCATGTCTATCCTGGTTGTTTTTTAAAATACTGAACCGTATAATTGTGCTCTCTGTGAAAGGAAACCAAACTAAAAATCTTGGGTGATAGTATGCAATTAACAGGTGCCATACATGAAACTTGTTTTAATGATTTCATCATTTATGGTTTGAATATTGTCAAATATCACCTTTTATCTTAAGTAAAGGTTTTGAAATGAAGATGACATAATTGATAACTGAATCTGATGTGTGATCATGCTTTATAAAAATGGTAAGATAAAACTCACTAGTGAGCAACCAGTTTTCATCTAATCCCAAGCAATGCATAATTATTTAAACAAAGGCTATTTAAATCTACATTATTATTATTATTATTATTATTATTATTATTATTATTATTATTATTCAGGCTATGGGCTTGGCAAGGGGGAAACTCCTTATAAGGCAGCAATAAAGGTTGGTGGTACTACATGATTCTTAGTCAAATCAATTGTGCTTTATGAATACTATTATAGTTAGAAACTTAATCTGAAAGATGCATACAAAGCATGCCAAATTAATACCATTAAACCTGACGAAGTGCTACAGTAAACATTCAAATGATATGATTTAAAGATTTACCACAGGGTTTTGTTTATTTCTGAAAAATGATAGTTGAACAGATATCTTCTGTTTACTTTCTGTGCTATTTATAATCCTTTAGTCATTTTCACCAAATCTCATTCAAATGACTGCTATTACATAAGTTATTACGTCATATGGGGGACTTGAATGAGTAGGCCAAGTTAACGACCATAAACTTGAAGTAGATGTAGTTTTCCTTAAGCATGTAGTCTTTAATTGAGTTGCTTGAGAAACTGGTTGTAGTGACATGAATTGATACTGAATCTATGCTCGTTTTACATGTATCTTTAACTGTTTGATATCAGAATAGACAGAGAGTATGGTGCATATAATATAGATTAGATATTTAGAGGGACATATGAGTTTTTATAGTATATTCATTTAGTTATTTAGATATCTGAATGGTCTGATAGAATAACTGTCTACAATCAGTGTGCATTTATTATGCCAGGTTATCTTATCTCTACATAGCTTACACCAAACATTAATCAATGTCTGATGTACTGTTTTTTTTTTTTTTTTTTTTTTTTTGTCATTTAGGCCAGGGATAAAGCTGGAAGAACACTTTGGTACTTTGAGAGACTTGAAAACCATACAGGTAGATGCATTGTGCTATCAGTAATACATAAACCAGTCCACAAGTTGGTAAAGTGTATATGATTTCCACTTGTACATAGGCCTGTAATGTTCTGTAAATTCTGTACTGTTAAAGTTTTTGATTTGCTTTCTGTGTGTCTGTAAAGAATACCAAACAAACAAACAATGAATAAATAAATAAATTTTATGAAAGCTGTGATAAGCTGTCTTATAAATACTGTCAATTATTGGAGTTGAATGATTTTTAATGTAATTCAAAACATTTTTTATAGTCTACCATGATCTGGTGGCAACTTTCCACAAGTCCAGGGTGTTTATAGAAAGGAGACCAAAAGGTGAGCAAATAAGTTCCAAATGAGATTCTCTTTCCCCATGTATTCAACATATACGATTGCCATTTGGAAGTGAGGGATAATTAGGTCAGTAAAAGTTCTTTTTGATGTGTGAGTACTGTGGTTGCCAGTGAGAATGAGGCAAACTTCATGTAATAGTATTTTTATGGACGGACAATGTTTGGACATGTAGACATCATCTGTCATTTTGTGCTTTCCTAGATAATACCCCAGTTAAAAGGACAATCTTATTACAAATTATTGTCATGTTTACAAGAATTGATTATTAGGAATAAAATGCAGCTAGTCTCATTGGAATATTTTTATGAAAGTTATTATTTTTTCCCCTGGATTTTGTCATTTTTACACATTGACATTTCCATGGTGTGACTGAACTTGCATGGGTCTGAAACACTACTATGTAGTTACATAATCTGAATGTCCACAGTAACAGTAGTACATATTAATTATAAGTTGGTGGTAAAAGTGTTAACAATTATGAACTTTTTGCATCAAAGAAGACCAAAACTCTATTTTGTGCAATTTCATTATAAACACAAGAAAAGAAAAAAAAACTGTGTAACTTATTATTGGCAGGCTTTTTTAAAGTTATTTTTAATAATTCATTAAAAAATGACAAAGTTGGATCAAAGCACTTGTTTCAGTTTGTTTTTCAAGAATTTTGGCCCTGCCTTTAAAGTACAAGTTTTGGGATGGGTCCAAAAATTGAATAGCCCTGTATTAAATTTATTTTGTCACAGTTTTCACTGCAAAATGTCCATGTATATTAAATATCAATTTACGCTGACTTGTTATTAATATTATATTAGTAAATTGGCAACTTTCTGTTTGTATGATGTCACATTATAGCAAATACCTTACAGTGAAGCAAATCAAAAGGTAGTAATTATTATTATCAAAAACATTTTCCAGGCTATGGGTTGGTATGCCACAGGCTTCTTAAAGACATTGCAAAATTGGCTGGCTTCAGGGATTTGTATGCCAAATCAGAGGGACAGATAAAAAATTACAGGAATTTGACTAAAGCATTCTTCAAGGCACTTGACAGACAGGTGAGTTGTGTTTTGAACATTATCTTTTCCTCAGATAGTCAACACTTATTTTTTATACCCAGAGATGCAACATAACCGACTGGTTTATGTACTAAATGCTTTGTGATTTAGTTGTTCATCGACATCATTATATTGGATTCTAACTTTGCAGAAAACTCATCAGCAAATAGCAGACCATTTTGGGCTGAATGTGGTCGAGATACGCCCTGACAGGGACAACCTCTGCATCTTGAAGGCCTCTCCAAGTCCACCTGATCCAGAAAACCTGAGCTCTTACATCACAGGGGTGAAGATCAAGCCCATCTCAAACCTGGATGTTTTCGACTATGACACGCAGTTATATGGAATGAAGAGGCGCTATAAACGCTTTGGTCTACCTTTTTTCTGGAAGTACAGGACTCATAAATCAGAATTACTTTACTTGTATAAAACACGTAACCAGAAGACATCAGCAGTACAGAGGAAGCTTCAGTGGGAAGGCAGAACTTTCACTGATCATGGAGAGAAAATATTAAAACCCATGTAATTCAATTATACATTTTTTGAATGCGGGGAACTTATCATACAGACATGCTTGGAACTTGGCACATTTCTATAACACAATAAAAGCGAAGTGTTTAAAATGTTAGATACATGCAAATGAAGTTGCAACTGTTTTGTAAGACTAAACTTTATAAAGACTGAATAAATGAACTTGAACTGATTATACATAATGTTAAACAGATGTCACAGACTGATTTTTACAGATTCTACTAAGTACAGTAATGTGTGAACCATCAGTTCAGGAAAAAACTGACGCTAGTTAAATGAGCTGAATGAAGCTGACATGGACAGACAACCTTTTGTACTGACAACATGATAGAGTCAACACGATACAGCGATATCATATCTAAAGTTCGGTCTTGACACCCAGCCCCAACTTTCCAGGACATTTGATATGAACAAGTAACATTTTTAACCTTTTATGGCCTTTGTTAAAGCAATAATAACTCTTCGTTTCGGCCAAAAAATGAATTTTCCTGGAGTAAACAACAATTTTTCCATACTTACCAATGGTTATTGAATCCATTTTTACATTCAAAGTTAGTCCCTGGTTTTTTTCTAAAAAGTTTTTTTTTGTTAAAATCTCTTAAGAGATTTTAACAGAGTATAGACATCAATGGAGGTCACGTGGTCTAAAGACAAGTTCAAATATCAGAATAAAAGCTATAACTGCTGTTTTTGTGGTAAAACAGAATATATTATATTTCTATGAGTAATTCACAAGGTTTTTATCGTGAAATATAGGTCTCATACGAAGAGTTATTATCCCTTTAAGAAATTGTAGGAAAAAATTCTTTAAAAAAATTTATGCAATACTTGAATAGTACAGAATTATGGCAATGAGGCACTAAAGTAGTATCTTTATGTCCTAAAACCTCGCGTCTATCATAAAAAAGTCATAAAAAAGAATTGGGCTTCATTTGGTATAATTGACAAAAAAAGAAAAAATGTTTTGCAGAGGAATTTTATTCCTGTCATCCATTCAAGCAAACAGTATGGAAACTCTCCTTTAACAGCTAAACGTGAAGAAACAACCTGACATAATTTTCATAAAGGTAATGAAAATGTCTATATTCACCATTTATACTTACAGATTTCTAAAAGAAGGGTGTTTTTGATGATATCACTTTGTTATGACCACATGCAGCATGTCTGCCATTACTATGCTGGCTAGCTTCCTTTAAATCTATAATAAGAGGTTTGGAAGGTAAACATTTCCCTAGAAAGCCTTCCTTTTTACTTATAACAAGGCAGTTTAAGTTGGGCATATAATACCATAAAAGGACATTCCTAAACATAGAAAACATTGGTTCCTAACACTGTGTGTAATCTTCACAGGACAAGCCTCGTAACATGCAAACTATGGCCTGCAAAAGCAAAACAAAATCTCTTGCAGTGACATAAAGTCAACAAATAAAAAAGTCAATTGGACACGGTTTTCATGCCAGTGCTAAACTGTTAAGTAGTAAAATTGGTGAAATTAATAAATTTCTGACCTTAGTTTAAAAAAAGTAGAGGCAGTTAGGTTTATAGCTATATCTTTCTTTTATAGGTATTGGCATAGCTGCTTTGTATCTTGTCCATCTGATATTTTTCTCCATCTTCAAAAAATGATCTGCAATCAATTGGTATGTACAAATGCCAGTTTCCAGGCACAAGATTCAGCTTATTTTCATCCACAAGTTTTATATGTATCTATCCAGACTGAAAAAACGGTTTCAAGTATCAGATGAAAACTATAGCTTTGTACCTTGATCTTAATACCTCACATGACTATCAAGACTCCACAATACAGAACTTTAACCTTGCTCCAGAAAAAGACAGTTGATATGAAATTCCTTTGCAAATAAAAACAACATTATTTCTTTAGTAAAGTATTTGATGCAATGAATCAATAGCTACCGAATTTGTCTAGACTGGAATTCATTTAGACTAAATAATACAAAATACGAAATGCAGTTACATAACTGTGCAGCTAGTATTCTCGCTCACCCGGAACAAACATCAATGTTGAAACGTATCAAATTGGTCACAACAACCCAACAAAACAACATCAAAACAGTACCCCATTGGCCTAAATTGGGATTTTTTGCCAATTTGTTCATATAACAAAGAGTCTGTCTTGGTACAAAGCTTTTTCTATTTGAAATACTTGTGCTTAGAAGTCCTTCATCTGTGCAGACTGCTTATGATCAATAGAGGTTGCGGGCACTTCATGAGGTGCTGGGAGTTTCACATCTGTTGGTTCAACACCCCAGATTTCTCTAGCATATTGACTTATTGTACGATCACTGGAGAATTTCCCTGAGCCAGCAATGTTGAAGATGGCCATCTTTGTCCATGCTAGTTGGTTCTGCAGAAATAAAAAGCAATCTTAGAATAGTTATTATATACCCATTGTTACATAAAGACAGAGAAGGAAAAAGTAGTGCACTGTCTGCCTTGGGGAAATTTTTGATGAATGCATGTTCCATTGTAGAGAAAACTTTCACACTTGATTTTGACTCTGGCCGTCTGCTGCCAAAAATCTGTTCGAATAAAAACCAATAAAAAAGTGCCAAGGTTCATGAGTAATAAAGAAGTGGTACTTACATGGTACATTTCACTAACTTTCTCCTGACATTTTATGTAGGAATCATAATCAGCTAGTAGACAGAACCTGGAGGTAAATGACGTCCATGTTTAAATATTTACTATGTTAAAATTCTGTGAATTTATATCACTAAACTATTACTCAACAAATAAAGCTTAATTCACTTTGTAAACATGTTTTGATTAATTATACATAAATATATTATAAAAATCTTCATTGGTGCATCAATGTCCCTATTACCTAACAGAGAACTTCATGTATGTGTTTAGTAATATTCTACAAACCTGTCATTGTATAGAAGAGAGTTGGCAACATCTTTAAAAAGATTCACATTTTCTGGGGAGAAGTAGCCTCCACTTATCTGATCTATGGCCAACTTCAGTTCATGGTTCCTCTCATAGTAATCTTTGGGCTGGTAGCTAGAGAACATAAAATTATTTCTTACCTAGAAATCATTTTAATAATGAACTACTGGTGTGGTGCATGCACTTAACATCACTGCTTATGCTTTTTTGATGGAATAATGGAAATATCTGTATTTGACACTTGAATGAAATAATGCAAATCTAAGCAGGACAAAATGACTGGGAAGACTGGAAAGTCTACCTCCTGTGCATAACAAAGAGTAATATGAAAAATAATAATTGAAACAAATAATTTCTCATAAATGATTGTCACAAATGGTACATTTATTCTAACACATCTGAAGTGACATACAACAAAAGCAAATCTTTTTCTTACCCCCTCTTCCACAGAGCCTCCACTTCATCTACAGTCATACCAAAGATAAAGATGTTCTCCGCTCCCATCTCCTCACGCATTTCCACATTAGCACCATCCAGGGTTCCTATTGTCAGGGCACCATTTAACTACAAAGAAGAAAATATCTTAACCATTCAAGAGCAAGTTATATATAAGTAAGATCTTCACTACCCATGGTGGCTTGCACCAGCCTGATGCTTATTTAATTCAATATCTTTTTAGTATAGACCAGCTATATGTTTACACTTCAATTAGACATGATTTTCAACTACTACAGGTGTTGTTGTTCCAATTATACACCTAGATGTAGAGACATGGGTTGTGAAATATATTACTGGAAGACCAACAAACAAGCAGGCACTGTGCACATTCTTGACATTTGTAACAAAACATGTGAAAATTTTCTGCATAAGAAAATACTCAATGACAACCTCTTTCTCACCCTAGGCAGGGGAGGATTTAGGCCGTCTTCTGGGTCTTCCAGAAGACGGTCAGATTTTCACGTTTATATTGACGGGTATCTAATTTTTTCTGTTGGAATACGGTCAAAATTGGAGGATGAATCAACAAAGAAAATTTGGAAGACTGTCAGTAAATGGCTCTGGATCCACCCCTGCTAGGACAATTAAAAAAAAAGGGAAGCCTTACACCAACTGAAGTTTCTCTAATCCAACAAAAAGTGCTTTCTTCTAGATGAATATGAGAATGAACATGGCACGAGTACCCACATTGCTGATCCCCCTCCCCCCCCCCCAACCCCCACAGCTTTCCGATTCTCCAACCCAATGAACTTAAAAACTTTACAGACAATAACAAAACATTATGCATTACATTACATGACCTGCCTATCTCAATTGTCTTAACACAATCATGCACATGTTCCCTACCATGAACTTCATGTTTCCAGTTCCAGAGGCTTCTGTTCCTGCCAGAGAGATCTGCTCACTTAGGTCAGCAGCTGGGATGATCTTCTCAGCCAAGGAAACCCTGAGATGAAAAGTAATATTTAATAAAATGGTGTATTAGTTGCAACTTTGTGCTAGAAGTACCAATGCCTAGGACCAATTATATTTGTGGTTAATTTGTCACAGAATTTATAATTTATATATTACTGGCAATGTTTTGCAGAACTTAAGTCAACAGGCTGAGTTAAACTTATGACAAAAAAAGGCTACGTACTTTGATTCATTAATACCTGAAGCAAGTCACATAAATAAGGCAAATGTCTGTCTAAAGCATAAGTAATATTTTACTTTTTGTTTAACAAACACGTCTTCATATAAACGCAGCCTGTGTTCTACAATCTGTTTATATGCTGCATTTTACCACTATCCTTATTTTATCCATAGAATACAGTTTGCAACATTAGGAAATGTCAATGTTGTCAAAATTGTCAATATCAAAACAAATATCTTAATATTTATTGCAGTTTACAACAGATTGTACTATTCTGCTAATACTTGTGAAACTTGCCTGTAGTTCTCAAGGTAGATAATCTTCAACCTATCTCCAATGATGGGGTCATTGTTGACCACTCTTGCTACATTGTTTATAAGCTTGATGATCAACTTGGCCATGTGGTATCCTGGGGCAGCCTGGTCATAAATAAAGAATAAATATCAATAACACACAAGAGCAGTGAAAAGCCAGAAAACTTCATGAAGAGCAGAAACTGAAAGGCAGATGGTTGGTATGGGTGGTAGAATCTTTAACAAGTCACATGGCAATAAAGAAGATAACATAAACCCCGAGCTGATCCTTTCACAGGTCTAAATATTATCTCCAAGCAAAGCCACTAAATTATTATTGATATTCAAAACTGAAATTATCACTGATGTTCACATAATTTACAAACAGTGTTAGTAAATATTGTCATTTCAGCATCATATTATACACACACACACACACACCAGGGGACCACAAAGAACATTCACTACCAACCTTTCCACCGATCATGATGGTTCTGGGCACAAACTCCATGTTGGGGTTCTTCTTCAGCCTGTTGTAGAGGGTAATCATATGCAGGCAGTTTAGCAGCTGTCTCTTATACTCATGGATTCTCTTCACTTGCATGTCATACATGGAGGCTGGGTTGATCTTCACATGGTAGGTCTTCTCAATGTATGCAGCCAACTTCAGCTTGTTTTCCTAAAAATAATTAACAGAACCAATTGTGTTGGGTCACACTGTGTAAACGGTAACCATGTTAAAAGATTAACATTACAAGTGACAAAGACAGCAGAGTTTATATGGTTATAATGTTCCTGCATGTATATAAAAACTCTAAGTGATGCCATAAAAAAATAAATAAATAAAAATAAATCCAAATTTTATTGTGAAAACATTTTAAACTGTACCTGTTTCACTTTGTGAATGGACATAACAAATGCCTCATCCTTTGTGAATTGTTCCAGTTTGCGCAGCTGACTCAAATCCTTCATAAAACCATCACCAATTTTCTGAAATAGAATTTTTAGTTTTTTCAATATCAGCAGTTCTCAATTTAATTAACTGATAATCACTGCAAGTATTTTTTTTTTTTTAAGAAATGCATATCAACTTATTTACACTTATTATCATTGGGTTTTCTGGTGTTCAGTCCTGAGTGAACATGGTTGAACCTTTTCCCCACATAGGACTTTCCTACATTCTTGTCTGTCAATGGGATCTGTATCTTCAGCTTGTATCTGTCTTTTGCCTGCCTTCACCACCTCCTTCCAAGTCTCCCTTGGTCAAACTGGAGGCCACTTTCCCTCCACCTCAAACTTTGTTACTCTTTTCACCCAGTTTTCATCACTCATCCTTTCTACATGTCTATGCTATCTCAGTCTTATTTACTCTCAGTTACTATAAAATGCCTTTTAACTAAAAGTATACACACATAGTTTTTCTATCAAAATGTGTTGTTAAAGCAATCATATGACAACTCTTACCAATTTACCACATTTAACATCACTACACTATTCAATGTTTCACATATCTTCAAGCCAAAATACCCAGCAATCAACCTACATCAGCAATCACATCTGCCAGGTTAGGGTTGCACAGTAAAAGCCAGCGCCTTGGGGTGATGCCATTAGTTTTGTTCTGAAACTTGTGAGGATACATTTCAGCAAAATCTTTGAAGCTGAAAAATAAGAGCAAATGCAAGTTACATTTACTTGCCAAGTTTCAAACTAATTAGATGAAACAATATCACTTCACCCATAAATCAACAAAATTACATCAATTCAGTGGCTTAATTTGTTTACTTACGCCAATATATATATATATATATAAAAAAAGAAAATTAGTAAAGCACTCATACTTCAACTTTTAAGCCCTACAGCATATTTATGATTCCCTCTTAATGTCTCAGTAACAAGCATACTTACGTCTCTCTCTTAATAATGTCAGAGTGGATCTGTGCCACCCCATTGACAGCATGGCAGGCCACCAGGCAGAGGTAGGCCATGTTGATACACTTTATAGGAAACTCTTCCACAATGGACATCCTGCCCAAGCGGTGCATGTCTCCTGGGTACCGCTTCTGTACTTCCTGTACAAGATTAATTATCCTGTGAGTATTTCAGCTGTTATGTTTAGATTTTAGACTCTACTGGAAAGAGGGCATGGAATATTTTATCTTTTGTATTAGGATTTTAGACTATTCATGAAGGAGGGGCATGGGATACATACAAAGTTGTCTACATGGCAACATTTTCACATATTTTTATTAGAATAATCAGCACTGGTCAACATGTTCACCATTATCAATCAATGCAGAGCAACAGGTAGCTTGTGTGTACTGTCACTCATTTCTACAAGTTCATGACGGATACCCCTACTTGACATTGCTCACCTCTTGTCAAACACATGATAAACTTACCTTCATAAAGTTTGCATTGATGTCATACATAATCTGCAAATGTCTGGGTAGCACATTCTTCAGCATGTCAACAGGCCAGCGCTCTAGAGCCTCTGGTAATACAGTATGGTTGGTATAGGCACAGGTCTTCTGTGTGATTTCCCAAGCCTAGTGTGTAAAAGCAAAATACATTCATTTCAGTTCCATTTGTAATTTTCTACTTAGACCTCCATCCTATGTATCTATGCAGACAGTGCTGATGTGTGTGTGTGTGTGTGTGTGTGTGTGTGTGTGTGTGTGTGTGTGTGTGTGTGTGTGTGTGTGTGTGTGTGTGTGTGTGTGTGTGTGTGTGTGTGTGTGTGTGTGTGTGTATATATATATATATATAACATTATAATATCACCATGACAANTGTGTGTGTGTGTGTGTGTGTGTGTGTGTGTGTGTGTGTGTGTGTGTGTGTGTGTGTGTGTGTGTGTGTGTGTGTGTGTGTGTGTGTGTGTGTGTGTGTGTGTGTGTGTGTGTATATATATATATATATAACATTATAATATCACCATGACAATCAATCTATAATAACCAGCAAATATATGTGTGTGGTACATGTCTTCATTAGATTTCTCATACTTCAATGAACTTGGCATGTATACATCCTCTGGATTGCTAAAAACAATATGTTTCCCCATAAAGCAGCTAAGCTAACTTTAAGTTGATGTTTTTCATATTCTGTAGGAATTGTAATTTTTATAGCCAAATAATGACAATCAAAAATTCAAAGGAGAAAAAGTTTTAAAAGAGAGACAATGGGAAAAATGATCCATCTTTAGTAAAACTCCACTAATTGTCCCCCTACCTTCTCCCAAGGCAGCCCCTCCAAGTCAACCAGGATCCTCATGAGTTCTGGGACTGCCAGAGATGGATGGGTGTCATTCAGCTGTATGGCTACCTAATTACCAAACAGAAATGAATGGGAGAAACATAATAAAATAACCAATCTATAATTCAAACCTCATCATCTGACATAATGGCAAATCTGTAACATGGTCCCATCTAATACTGGGCCAATTATTTAAAATGGCATCAAGCTTATCAGTTTAAACACAAATTAAAATTCTATTCACTTTCAATTTTTGCTAGTGTACCTAGTTATTTTAGCATTCTGGGGTAGTAATATTTGTATTAAGCTATTGTTATTATGTTTGAAATGTCACAATCAAAGAGATACTTTTGTAAAACAATTTAGTATATCTTCAACAATATTAGAGATAAAAAATTATCTATTAAGTGCTACATGGAGAACAATGAAAAGTTTAAGACTTGGAACAAACAAGAAAAAATAATAATTAAAACAATTAATGTGAAATATAAAACATTTGGCAACCATCCCTCATCAATTAATAAAGGCACATCATTTTCCAATTTGTTCTTCACATGTGTATTTAAAATGAAATTAAATTTAAATAAAAAGTAAAAATGAAATATATTTACTGTAAACATGTATTTAACATAATTGTGTTACATACTTTGTGATCGAACTGAAATATAAATCACGTTAAGAGTCTCAAATATTGACAAATAAATGTTAAATCTAGAACTAGCTTAAATTAATGTGCATAAGACTGAATTAGCTGCACAAGCTTCATTAAGCAGTGCAAGTTAAAAAGCACTGATGATGGTGTTCCTTGAGCAGTGTGACTATGGTTCAAAAAAGTTTGATTTATATCTCTGCTGGTATTACTGTTTCAAAGTGGTTGAGGTATGAAAGTTATGGAGAAGTTTTCTTTGTGGTTTATACATCAGATATTACTGTTAGCAGTGCTATAGCTATGAATGAAAGACAGTGTTTGTAGCTGTGAGAATGTGCTTGATTATTTACTCTGATTTACCCCCCCAGCTCAAATGTTAAAATATCACTAAAATACTGATATAATGATTAGTTTTTGAATCCAAAACTTGTCAAAAGAAAGAAAGAAAAACAGTGAGTCACATTTAAAGCGAGGGAAAAGCCCAAACCTTCTCTGGGAGTGCATCAAAGCTACCCGTGAAGATCTCACTCTTAGACTGCTTGAATCTGCGTAAAATATCATGCAGAGTGGCAGCAACTAAGAAATACTCCTGTTTCAGTCGCAGTTCTTTCCCTGAGAAGAACTAGTCAGGACGAAAAAAACAAAATCAAAATCAGAGGCAAAAAAGTATCACACAATTGTATCAATGAAAGCTCTGTAGCACACATACAGGTTATAGAGTGGAGAAATGCATAGCAGCTGCAGGGCACACCAGCAAACAGAGACAGGAGCGGCACACATGGCACAGACCTTTTCATGGAAGCTGTCAAAGGAAGTTCGGATAGGGTCGCGACATCCAAATTTGGATGACTTGAATCTGCGTATGATATCCTGCAGTGTGGCTGCCACCAAAAAGTATTCCTGTTTTAGTCGCAGTTCCTTGCCCTCAAATACCTAATATTGTATACATTCAAATATACAGAGAATATAATACAACAGAATACATAGAAAAACTGGTGCACACAGCACCAGCCATGCGTGATAGAATTCAAGAATCTTACAATTTGAAAATAATGTGTAATTAAACAACAGAAATAAATATTAATAGATTACTTTGAAAATTGCAGGATACATGCAACATACTATTACAGACTATATATCACAATGTAATGTATATATGTATATCAGAGTATTGTATGCAATCTGTCTGACAGTTTATATATGATACAGAAATGGATAAGAAAATATTAATCTATAGAAGAAGACAATTTCAAAGCAAGAATGTATATACAGATTGCAATATAAATTTCATATAATTAAATGATTTACAGATTACTAAACTGACAAAAAGTCATGTATTTTTTTATAAATTATCTTTAAAAAAATTGGTGCATATATATCTCAATTTTTAATAATTAAGGCAGCAAAAAAGATTTAAAATATACAGATATATGACATGGATTTTGTATATCATAAAATCATTAAGACTAACCTAAATATTAAATTAAGTAATTGAGTGAACAATGATAAAAAGAATTTTGATTGCATTCAATCTATTCCATCTTGGGGCACCTAAAAAATTATACACCAATTGGTCAATCTTGAAGAACTTGTAATGAAACTGATACAAAAATTTTAATAACTTATTGTCTCCTGTATAATTAACAAGTATTAATTTGAAAATGACACAATCACCATTGACAAGGTGTTCAATATTGGTTTGTCACAATTTACAACTGAAACAAAATCTTCACCCTACAGAAATGGCTGTGTTTGTTTCAATACAAATTTACCCCACAAAACTCACATTGTCATTGGGATAAAGCACTCTGGAGATGTTCTCAGCCAAGTTTCTGTCACATACAGCCTGGATGTATTCTCCATTGTTAACTGGAAGACAATCAGAAAACAATTTTATCCATTGGTACCTGAAAGACAATCAAGACATAGGAACCATTCCCACAGATATTTGGATCAATCAATCTCCATGGGGAGTCTCGCTAAATTGCTATCTGCTATCCGCAAAGCTGTGCGTGGAAGAAAGTTAATTACCCCCCTAGCTGATTCAGTAGGCATGACAGACATTTAGGCCTCTTAAGTTGATAGCAATTAATTGTGAACCCCCAAGGAATTAGGTCGATCCAGATGGATCGATCTAGGCATGGGAACCCAGTCATATTGCTCATATCCAACAACAAAGAATATTGGCTGCACTTAACAGCTTACTTTTATTTTGATTTGAGAAAGTAAGTTGTAAAACATAAGTTGTAAGTTATGTAGAAGTGAGAATTTGCCAGGTAAAATGTCTGTGATATACTCACAGAAATTAAGGTCAAAACTGTTTGGAGCCTTTGCAGACCACAGTCTTAGTGTGTTCACTGTATTGTTGGCGTAACCTGGGATAGGATTGTCATAAGGCATAGCGAATACAATCTAAAAGGAAATGGAATTAGACTTCAGATGTTACCCATGACCACTCATAGTCATATTTTATGTTTTGGTCACTTTACATTGTTCACAAAATCAATAATTAACTGACAAAGAGATATAAAACATAACTCCAGTTTTTTGTGTCTTCATTAATTGATGAAACAGTCCTTTAGATAGCATGATACTAGGATATGAATATAAGGAAAAAAAGTTTATTCAATATTCCATAAAGGCAACATCTTTCTTTACTGAAACTAATTTGTCTTGAAACATCTCCATTCAAGAAAATGCCATACTGCCGTGTTTCTTTCAAAAAAAAAAAAAAAGAAAAAAAAAAGATTCATTAAAAAAACACAAAACAGCAAAAACTGTAATTTAGAAAGTCTGCTGTGAAAAGCTGTCAAAAAGAATGCTTAAACTACTTTCAACTACTGGAAACATTTGGAAAATTCAAAAATTCCTTGCTTATCTAGCTACCCTGGCAGCATACTTACACTGGTGTTGACCCACTTGTGCTTGCCATCTGCATCACACTCAACACGGCCATAGAAGTTGACAGGCAACATGTACTCAGGACGTGCCTTCTCCCAAGGATTACCATAGCGCAGCCAATCATCTGGCTCCTCATGCTGGAGGTGAAAAAATATGGAATGCACTGCACAGATTTAGGGGTAGTAGTGTATAACAAATGTTTTACTAAAAATTTTTTGGTTCTAATATTTTAAAATCATGCTTTTAATGGCAAAATCTATCGATAAAGGTAGGTTGTTCTGAAAAAGAGGACTCTTTATTTCTGTGAAACCTGCATATGCTTCAGAACTGGCAAAAAAAACCTAGATATCAAATCTTGATTAAGATAGGAACCTTCTCCTGACCAAAAGGGCACTTATTTCCAACCCCCTGAATTACACTATTACCTGCGCCTGTACAGGCCTAATTCGTTACTTCCTATACTCACCTGATAGCCATCTTTTAGTTTCTGTGTGAAGATACCATAGTCATATCTGATACCATATCCATAGGCTGCCAGTCCTAGGGTTGCCATGGAGTCCAGGAAGCAGGCAGCTAGTCTTCCCAGACCACCATTCCCCAGACCAGCATCCTCTTCTATCTCTTCCAATTCTTCAATATCAAGTCCAAGCTGTTGTAGAATTTAAATTATAAAACGTGAAAATATTAATTTGAATTTTACTATTTACTTCCAATTCTAAAATCTTTAAAACCGTTTTTCCAATAAATCAGTTATACCAAAATTCAATCTCAAAAAAAGTATACAAGAAAAGACAATGAGATAGGCTACCAAAAATTTAATAGGCTGTATTATGTGTACAATACCAAGTTAAAGTGAAATAGGTATTATACTGTACAGGGCTGACATTCTTTATGTAATAGAAATACGTCACATGGACTCTGAATGTCAAAGTAACATAGTCCATCTTACACTCTATGTATGTTCAGGTTTGCATAAAAAATTGCCAAATACAAGGTGTGCTGATAGCAATATGCTTCGCCAAAGAATAACTATAATAAAATATATTCATATGATAAATTAATGAATTTGTAAATCCAATGATCACAATCTTATGATTTTTGATTTGGCTTAAAGGGATAATAACTCTTCGTTTCAGCCAAAAAATGAATTTTCCAGAGTAAACAACAATTTTCCCATACTTATCAATGGTTAATGAATCCATTTTTACATTCAAAGTTAGTCCCTGGTTTTTTTCTAAAAAGTTTGGTTTTTTGTTAAAATCTCTTAAGAGAAGCATACTCTTAACAGAGTATAGCCATCAATGGAGGTAACGTGGTCTAAAGACAAGCTCAGATATCACAAAAAAAAGCTATAACTGCCGTTTTTGTGGTAAAACAAAATATATTATATTTCTATGAGTTATTCACAATGTCTTTATTGTGAAATATAGATATCATACGAAGAGTTATTATCCCTTTAAACTTCAAGGTAAGTTGCTGTGATGACCTCAGTGCAGCATCACAGAGACATGTACTCTTACAGTACCTGGTACATGGCCTCATCACATGCACTCTGTATTCCTAGGTTCACCATAGTATTGGACAGACTGCGTCCCATGTAAAACTCCAAGGAGAGATAGTACACACGCTGGAATATAAATAATATAAATGTAAATAGTGACAAAATTTCAATAAATGCTAATATCATCATGATGCCAGTGTTGTGTTGAGAGAATAAGTACACACACTAGATCGTCATAAATTGTTTGCATCCTGGAATGGATACATTAATATATTTCTGCAATACAGTGACAGCATGGTTTGAGTAGCTGAGATGGCAGCATTAAACTTTATAGTCAGTTCTAAAAATATAAAATCAAAACAAAGTATTCTACCGAATCACAATATTCAGAAAACTGAGAGATTGTCAAGGTTTGAGGTACAGAGATAGCAAGAGATAACTGCCTTCTTTAATAAATAGATGCAGACAAATTTGCCTTCAGAGTTTGAAAAAATTGTATTTTCTTTCAATTTCAAATTCGGAGTTTCAAAAAGGAACAGTGCTTTATTTGATGCATCATGTCAAGGGTATAATCTACTTGACTGATGCCCTTTAGTTTGAGGTTTTCTTAAAATCATGCAATGGAATGGTCAAAACAAGAAACTAACCTTTCCCTTACCATCCCTTTATCATTTGTCACGAAACTCCTAATCTATTATCTGTTGGCAAAACAGAAAACCATCCAGGGGTTATATTGCAATCACGCCTGACCACACAGCAATAGGCTTGGCTGCAATGAACTATATGGAAAATGATGCTGACCAGCCAAACAGACTATTGTTGACAATGACTTCCATAGAAATCACATGAAATTTATTATCAAATCATCCAGGTTGCTTGTAAATGAGTATTGCTCTAGTAACTTTTAATTGAGTTGATTCAGCTAACAAAACCTTACTCTGATCATCAAAGTAATGCATATGGCATATAGTGTGCTGTATGTTACCTGTCAAATATGATGGAAATGGCATTTATATTTATGCTGATTATATAGTGGTTTTCAATAGATTCTGAAACTTAGGGTGAAAAAATTCATACTTTTCCATCCATCATCTTCAATGACAGTTCATTTCTGTTTAGGTTTTGATTGAATTTTGTAAGAAGGTTACAATTTCAGTGGCACGTTTATTTTTCTTACATAATGAGTCTTGTGTGACATGTGGGAGTGAAGTGTGAATGAGCTTTCTGAATAGGGGCGTAATACTTTTAACCTTAGACACTTCAGAGAACCTTGCCCTTATGTCTGTATGTTGGCAACTGGCACATTCAAAACTATTTACACTTGGTGCCTCTTCAGGTAATCAATGGAAATGTCACGGAAAATAATCACCTTTATTTTAAATACCAAATGTCTGCAATATGTCTACCAGCATAATTGCTTTATATACCACATATAATATACCACATAAATGTTTAAATATCAAGTTAAGGCAATTAATGATATGGTATTCATGAAGTATATTCCACAAAGACCAGCTTAAGAAAATTAATTTTAGATGTGAAAGTCCAATTTGATGCCATTTAATTCAATTTCAATATGAATGAAAACTTATTTCAATTTTATTGGAAATGTTCAATTCCTCTAAGAACACTTGGAAAACAATGTAGACCATCAAACCACACATTAGCCAGGCAACAGTCCAGCTGCCTTCTTGACTCCCTGTATTTCTATTTTGAAAAAGCAATTTCTTTTCAGATCTTTATCATTGAGCGTATAGAGCCTAGGGAGCTTATCCGAATAAGACAATAAATTTTGACCACCTATTACAAAATCCTGGCTAAACCTGGTTTCCTAGGTCTACATCATTTCTTGTGCTCTCCATGAAGCCACTGCTCTGTTTACACTTATTACATGCAATCCATCAGGAACCAGTAGTGCACCAACAAAATGTGAATAAATCAATGTACTCTAATCCAAATCAGTACTGCTCACTTGGTGAATCAACAGAACAAATACAGCTGCAGTGTACCACTGGTTCAAAATAGTATCACTGAGAAAGCATATCTCCACGGATAATCAGTTGCAACAGAGGTTGTGCTCTATGTCTGAAATCACTATTAACAGTCTTCTTGACCCTCTAAAAAACTAGACAACGCAGAATAAGGGAGGTAGGGAGGGGAAATGGAGGACAGATGTAAAAGGTGATAGTTTAAGTACATATTCTGATAACTGATGTTTTAATTATGTATAGCTTAGTCAGGTCAGTACTTCTGCTGTACCACCTGTTCTCTCCAGTTCTTTACCTGTGAGTATGCCCACATCAACAAGGCTCACATTACATATAGAAGCACCCCTTAGTATATGTAGAGATTGGCTCTGATTGGAGAGATACTGGAGCAAGCAGCTGATGGCTGTTTCATCAATGTTAGAAGTATATTTAAGCTAACTAGGTTATTGTTTTAACATTCATAAATCACCTAGTATAATGAAGATAAAGAAGAATTATGAGCATGGTTTTATCATTAATGTCAAATGTGTTTTGCTTTTTTCACATCTTAGTTACTACAAATTTTTGGGAGGGTTGGGGATGGAGAAGAACCTTGAACCTTAAAAGTTCTGAAGTTGAAAAAACATTGGATATAAACAGAAACTACCTTGTGCGTCAAAAATGGTGATCATATCACATAGCGTAAAACAAAGCTGTCAGCACTGTGTGACCATATGAGACCAAAAGTGTGTGAAAATCCCCATGAAGTGAGGTACACGAACTTTTTAGTAATAAGAGTGAAATTCTATGTGTAGGGAATATAATCTTAGAAAGCAATACAAGAATGACAATCAAAACCTGCACTGCTACGAAATTACTAGTAACTAAAATTCTATAGAACCATAAAAATATAGCTTTCATTTGTTGCCACACCAATTAGAACACAACTGGAAACAAGCATTGAGGCTAAATTAGAATTGTTGGAAGTTCTGGGCTGAACTGTACCAGATTTAAACAAGATCCTCAAATGGTACTCATTGGTTTTATTAATATGTCATAGGGCTCATTCCCTTAGACACCATTGGTCTGCATCTATAGATCAATCCAACTATGCAGGGACTCGCTGAATGCAATCAGTTTAACATATTAACACACCTCCTCCTAGCCTTGAGAAAAATACAGAAAAGCTGGTGATTACATGAGTATGTTGGAAACCAGGAGGTGTGTCATTCAGTTAAGCTGATTGCACTGACAAGAGGGAGAGTTCCTGCAGAGTTGGATCAATCTACACAGACTGATGGTATCTATAGGAATGAGCCCATAGATAGCTTCAGCCATCCTATCATTTCATTGGGCTTGGTTTAGTGCAGGGAGTCTGTGATAGAGACTACTTCCATCTTTCAGTGGCTCATTTGATAATGCAGATCAATATATACTGTAGTCACCACTTAGTCTGGATTGTATCACAGACAACATAGACTTTAATGGAAAAATCTCAGTTTAAAGCCAGCTATATGAGGTAGGGGAAGGAAGCAGTCATAAGCGTAGCTTGGCTGCAAGACATATCATAAATTATTCACTGAATATAAATCTATAGCTTGTTGCTGTTTTTTTTTTTATTTTTTGCATGCCAATTTTTTAAAAATTAAAAAAGTTAAGTATGTTTCTAAAGAAAGAGCACTATGTTACACAAGAGGACAATACTATAACAATTAAGGATAAGGATTTTGCCTGGAAAGTCCAAAATTATGGTACCAGCAGCACTAATGAGAATTTGAACAAGCTGTCCAGCCATAAGATAGGCAGTTCTCTGCTCAAACAGGCTGTCCAAATGACAGCTGGACGTCTCGCTGGATAAACATTTGGTTTAACCAAACATTAAAGTGACTCTCCATGCATTTGAAAATCCCTCACAGTAATTTTCATGTCCTGCAAAGCTTCTTGTATTTCCCAATTCAGACTGTAAAGATGATAAAATCATTTTAACAGAAGTTTATTCAAAGCATACCTAGTTTCATTATTATCTCCTCAACCTCCATGGCAACTCACAGCATTTATATTATACATGCCCATGCCAGCCATACAGATGGCCAGCCATTTAGAACTAAATTATAAATTAAAAATTGAAATAAAATATATATCAAAATCAAGTGCAGGAACTGGTCAACCAGTGATTTATCAATAGGGTAAAATTGCCTTTTAGCCCAGAAAAATTAATTTTTGAGGCTAAATCCCCTGGAGAGTGACTTTAAGAAAGCCCTCCATCTTCCTGGCATTTCACAAGACACATATTGCATGAAGTTAAAATGTCAATGATCCAATTTCACTTCATAACAAGAAAATGACAGCGAGGTTTTATATTGAGGCATTGTATTGGGTTTAGTTTTGATAATATTATTTGTGAAGATGAGAGATGCCAAGTCTTGGACTTTGCTAGGTTTAAAGCTCTGAATAAAATAGTGAAACTATGCAGGTACTGTATACGTTTTAGATAAATTTTTATTCAAGGGTTCTTTTATTTTTTAGGTATGAATTGGGAAGATAAGGAACTTTGCAGGATATAATGCTGCAGGGTCATTTTGAACAAGAAATGTCTTTTTTTTTTTCTAGTAGTCTAGAGTTATGCTTTGGGGGAATTTTCAAAAGCAGGAAGAATACTATGTAAAATTTAAAGGGCCAAATTTAAATAAATTTTATAAGAAACCTGACAATCATTTCATACTAGTAATGAAGTGTCGGATATATGACCAATGTCAATAAAATACATGTGCATCAAAGTAATATGAAATCTGTCAACACCAATGTCACTGTTGACAGAGGTCATATGAGGACCCAGTCAAAATCAACACAGCGGCGTCCGTAATGATGCATAAATAATGGTAAAACTGGGTTAAGCATACTCAACCCACCTTTGGATCCTTTTCGTAGTAATACTGCTGAGTTCTGATCCATCTTCCAACTAGATGATCTCTGACGGTATGTGCAAGAGCAAAGAAGTAATCTCTCGGTGTTGCAACATTTCTGTCCTTCACGATCGTGTAGTGGAGATGCCGGTTAAAGGCTTTCTTCATTCCTGCTACATTTTCCACTTGTGCAATCCCCCTAACACTAATCTGTTTGCGCCTATCGTAGTCACTTGTTGGTGCAGCCATTGTGAACGCTTGGCAGCTCTTAAATTCTGAGCAGTACCCTTTCTACTGCCCAGCTGAGTTCGACAACTTCCCTGCAAAGTTGTTTTGACCTTGAGGATGGGCATGCGCGTAATTTGAGACCAAAATTGTCAATCTGTTCGAAAATAATGAAAGGCGTGACAGAATACATTTATGTGATGATAAGAGATATGTTTCTTTGGTAAATATTTTAAAGAAAATATTTTTTTTATTTATTTTGTACGCTGAAAATTTTTGCATGGAAGTGGCTGAATCTTGATTTTATTTCACCCTAACCTTGACCTGACGTGTGACCTAGTTTAATAAAGCATGGGCAAGAAAAGCAGAAGCACGGTGGAGAAACCCTCCGTTGATAAAAAAGACGGCTTTCAGCTGCAGGATATACTTGATTTAGGCGGAGATAAGGTATTTTGAAATAATATCACTAAAATGATTTTCATTAATATATTATCACCAACCAGCTACTGTTTTTCGAAAGTACCCAACGATGCCAGTCACTGGGAGACTTGAACATTATCAATGAAAATATCACATGTAATATTAACTATACTGTAGAGTAGACCTTAAACATATGCTAATACAGTGATTTTTTTAAAAAGTATTTTTACATAATTGGTAATGGGAGTGTTTTTCTTACTGCTAAAATTAAACTTATTTGTCAAGGATGACTTGGAGCTTCTTCAAGACGTTGATGATGATGAAGATGAAGAGGAGGCTTTGGATGGGAATGAACACGATTATGAATCAGAACCTGTGAGAAGGGATGAGGTATTGTACTGAGCATGATCATTATACAGATTAAGTTGTGATCATGACATATGAAAGAGGTTTCTGAAATAATTTACACGATTGGCTGTCAACTGGAGTTGTTAATGAACCAAAAAAACAAGAAATTAATTAATTTACAATAGGTAATGTAATGGTGTTATATTTTTATAGAAGTTTTATATGATAACCTAACATATCACTCAGAGTTTATTAAGACTGTAGACAGCTTTGGAAACAAAAACTGTGCCTAATAAAAATTAAAGTAGAAACAGACATCGAATCACCTTCATACCAAATCCATCTACTTTGAAACGGGCCAAGCTACAACATCCAATTTTTCCTTTGTACATTAAAAAGATTTTCAGCTGAAAAACAACAAATAAAAAGCAGACTTCTTTGCCATCAGCTATCTCAGCAAAACCAAAACAAAAGTGATGTAACTCGGAATTCAGACAGAGTGGATTTTATGGAATTAGGGGCCAGGCCATAGGGTCAGTAATTTTTACTTGACCTCAAGGTCATCCTGTTTAGTTTCATAGAGGTAGTTGCTGGCACTCTAGTCTGCTATTTGTCAGTTAGCTAATATTATTGATGTTTCAGGTAAAAGCATTAATAGAGGAACTTGGTTTGAAGAAATACAGATTCAGAAGGTATGCTTTTAGAGTTAAAAGTAATAAAATAGCATTTGAAAAGTTAATCTTGAACTTAAACAGAAATGTGAGTATAGTTTTAGGTATCTGGTTAAGATTCAGTTTCGTTATATTGCTAAAACAGAAAAATAATGTTAACATCCACCATATTCCATTTGATTGTAGTGAAGAAGATGGAAATGATAAAAAAGAGAAAAAGAAAAAACTTTTGGTCATGCCTGGATTTGAAGAGCAGAAAGATGAAGGAAAACCTCCACCTGACACACAGAAGAAAACTAAAAATAAATTTAAAGTCCAAGTAGCTGAAGTCAGTAGTACAACACTGAGCCAATCAGATGACACAGAAGTGAAGGACTATATTAATTCATACACACAAAGAAAGTATTTATTGGTTAAGCCTGGTGGAAAGTGGTATGATAATCAGGTGAGCTTTTTGTCCCATCTTCCACTGAAATTACTGTGCAAGGCCTAAGTTGACCAGAGTTGCTAACAGAGTTCATATCTGGTTAAAATATTCTTATTAGTAACACAGTGAATTATATGATTATGGATACTGAAACCTTTGGTCAAATATGTGTGTGATAAGAATTTATCTATTATTAATATAAGTAGTATTGGCAAAGTGTTTCTCCTTTGGTGCATACCTCTGTTGAACCCTTTATTAAAAATTTCACATTTGTATAATATCTATTTTTATTACATCAAATGACATGGTACAGTGTCCTATTATACAATGTACTGTTTGTCACTTTCTAACACCCCATTTCCATAGATTAGATCGACCTACTTTAGATCGACCTAACTCCCTGGGGGTTCACACTAAATAGCTGTCAGCTGGGCGGACACGAAAGTTAATTATCCCCTTACAGCTTGCAGTAGGCGGGACGGACATTTAAGTCGGATTATCAGAAAGTAATCTAGTGAGACTCCCCGCGGGGATAGATCAATCTAAAATCTATGGGAATAGAGCCTTAAATCAGTGGGATTCTTTGTATGTTAACTATGAGTTACATATTTTGCATGGTTTTGTTAATAGGTGAAATTATAAGAATAAATGCAAACTCATAATGACAATGTGATGTTGTTATAGTAAATTTTCTTTTTTTCAGTTTGAAAATGATCCTGTTGAGTTTGAGGCAGCCTCCAAAGAAACTATAAAATGTTTGGAAGAGTTTGCATCTAGGATTCTCCAGGATGAGGTTACCATGTATAATAAACGTAAGAAATTATTGCTAATTTGCTTGGTTGAAATATGATTAACTTTGAAGACTGTCTTCAGTCTCTGACTTGATTCAGGTCTTTGTGTGAGCATTACAGTTTAAGCAGCATACGTGGTAACATAATCGTAAATTTGAAACAAAAAATTTTTAGAAAAAGATGTGAGGAAAGGTTCAGATGCAAAATGGATGAAGACAGTAGTGTCCTCTGGAACATTGGCCGACAAGATGGCAGCACTGACCATACAAATTCAAGACAGTCCTGTTCATACTCTCCAGAGTCTTGATTTGCTGATCAATATGGCAAAGAAGAAAGGCAAAAGAGAATGCATGCTGGCAGTAGGTAGGTGTGACATTGTACATGGTTGTGACAGTATGTAAGATATGACATCGGATGAAAGAACAGGCAATTAATAAAATCAGAATACTTAATATATTTCTTTTTTGGCGTCAAAATTTTAGGCCGTTTTGATAAGTGTCCTTTTTCAGAGGTATATTTATAGAGGTATATTGTAAATTGCAGTCGTTTATTTATTTCACAGATACTTTGAGAGAACTGTTTATCTCAGATCTCCTCCCAGATAGAAAACTGAAACCTTTTGAGCAGGTAAACTAGACACATACTAGTATTTTGACACACGTCACATTGTGGAATCAATCTCTGGAGAACTTCATATACTACTTTTTAGGAAACAACACATAAGTTCTTTGTGCTTTCATAAACCCAGATAGGAAGGTTGTAGAATCACACATATTAACATCTGGAGTTATTTCAGTATTGAACATGTATATTTCTTATAAAAGTAAGGTTGATAAATGCAAATAATAATAATTTTACTTTTTATCACCTTACTATACCTATCTTGACTAGAAAGCATACCTAAATTGAAAAGTCAACAATTTTTGCAATATATTTGTGACCCTCATGACTTGTAAGAGAAGAATAAAAGGAATACATTAGTTACATGGTAAGATTTCAAGGAATTCATTGTTTCTGTAGCATCCCTTAAGCCAGCTTGCCTCCCTGACCAGTGGGAACAAGGATGCGCGGGACAAGAGACTGGTCATGTGGTACTTTGAGGCTCAGCTCAAGTCCAGATATGAGACAGTTGTCAAAGCCTTGGAGGTAAATCCTAACTGGTATTTTTTTTTTTCTACGTACCTTGTTTCTGACATTTGTATTGTCCAAGGTTAGGGTCCAGAATTATGAATAGGAAGAGTTTAAACAGGGCAATGTTTATGACAACACATCATAGTTTTATGCGATTTTTATTTGATCAGTTTGTATGTTTAAAACAATATTTGTTTGTGAGATTGCTTCAAATTATGTTTTGGCTGTTTTTTTTTTCAGCACATAGGACATGACACCATTCCAGTAACAAAAAAGAAAGCTCTTAGTAAGTATGATTATGTAAGAACAGTTATTTGTATATTAACAAAGAAATTGGTACAGAAATTTAATTACAGTGTCATTCAGGCCTGTTGTTATATGTAATATGTTAAACTTCGTGTTTTAAAGGAGGATCTTGTGGACATTAACATTTTATCAAAAGTAATATATCATCTTGCATAAATAAAAAATTTACTCAGTGTTTGGCAATACATACATTACATTTTGTATCATAGGTACAGTATTTGAACTGCTTGTAAACAAACCAGAGCAAGAAAAGGCCCTGTTGTGCTTACTTGTTAACAAGCTAGGGGATCCTGACTATAAGATAGCAGCCAAAGGAGCACATCTACTGTCTAGACTGGTTGACAGGCATCCCAACATGAAGACTGTGATTGTTTTAGAAGTGGAGAGGCTTTTGTACAGACCCAATATATCTGTCAAAGCTCAGTAAGTGGAAACTAATAATAAGGTATTTTGTGAACATTAAATTTGAGATAGTGTCACTAGACCTTTCTGAAAGGTATAATTATATTATATTAGTAATTTTGCTTGTATACCAACAAAGAAAAAAATCACAATCACTAATATTAGGATGGGCAAGCCTAATGTTTGCCTGCAGAGTGACAGGATGTAGGTTCAGCCCTATCCAGGGGTCGGTTTCACAAAGCAGTAGTTAGTTAGAACAACTAACTACTGAACTACCTCGCTAACGAGCAAACTTAGCGATTTTCGAGGGGTGTTTCACGAAGCAGTAGTTAACTCAACGCTAAGTTCAGTCGTAAAGTTCGGTCGTTAGTTCTCTCATTACTCACCGTAGTCTCGAAACCGTCTGCCGGAAGTGGAACTCTTGCGTAAAAGTGTCACGAAAGCACTAACTCTCCAATTTTTGGTGGCTGGAAATGCATAAGAACGTCTGCTTTGAGGTCGTCGTAAAGGATCTCCACCACCTTTTTGGCGCTCTTTTTGTCACAGCTAGGCACAACCTCTCGTAAATTGCATCATCGTGTGTATATTCTAATAGATTCTGCCTTTCATGAAAACGCCGTAGTCTACGTTGCCGTCTGGCGGTACGGATAGCAAGAAAGGTAGCCGCCATATTGGATACAAAGACAAACGACAGACAATGGTAACTAAGCAACCTTTTTATTTCACTCATTACGCATGCGTACGATGAAACTCTAGAGTTAGCGACTGGTCTGACCAGTCGTTAAATATCCAAGGTAACAACGAGACAATAACGAGCGAGAGAACTAGCGATTGCTTCGTGAAACGGCACTATAACTAGCGAGAGGCTAACTACCGATCGCTAACTAACTACTGCTTTGTGAAACCGGCCCCAGCTGGGACATACCAGGCATATTGCCATTTAATGTAAAGTGCTCTGCGACTTTCTGAGAGTGTTGTTTATAAGAACCAGATGTAACATTTTACTTAACATATTAATGAAAAACCCAGCTCACTTGTACTTTTATGTTTTAGATATTATGCTATATGTTTTCTGAACCAGCTGAGGTTGAACCATGACCAGGCACAGCTGGCTGGAAGACTGATTGGTGTCTACTTCTCCTTCTTCAAGGTGCTGGTAATGTTTCTTTGTAATATCTTAAAGTCAGTTATGTTTTCTTGTTCTGAATGAGTTTCTTGAAAAAGAAACTGAAATCAGTAGTCTATAATTGGAGTACGGGAATATATTTAATTTGTTTCCCATTAGAGAAAACATCTCTCTTGCAAATTTTATGTGATTCTGTGATATGGAGTGTTTGATGGTAAATTGTCTGACTTTTGTTCTGTATCAGTGGATCAATTGAAATGTGAAGAATAGTTTAAAGTTTTTTGTATACATATATGTTGTCAGTGCTTTTTCTTTGGTTTCAGGCATTTGTTAAGAAAGGAGAAGTTGACAGTAAAATGTTAAGTGCCTTGTTGACAGGAGTTAATAGAGCATACCCGTTTGCTAAAGGTAAGCATATGGATTTCAACCAAGTACAGTCTTAACACACCCTGTTCTAGGTATTATGTTTTAAAAATATTGTTTCTCACAGCTTCATTTAGGTATTGTCTCTTGTATCATATCTGATGCCTCTTTTAAAATAATGATGGCAATGAAATTATGAATATTCAGTTATAAAATGATCAAAACATGCCTATTGGTTTAAATATTTTAGCCAGTTGTTTACGATCCTTTTGGGTTACAAAGATTACTCCCAAATAGTAAAAAAGGAGTTAAGGAGAAGGAGTATGTTTTCTTTAATTTTGAACCACATGCATGTAACACCATGTAAAGAAATATCATGAGTTTCTATTCCCATAGTTATCTATCATTCAATCTATTTATTAAGGATTGGAATTTTATTTTATTCAGTGGACAAGACAACCATTGAGGAACATGTGGGCACCTTGTACAAGATAGTTCACATTGTAAAGTTCAGTACAAGTATCCAGGCATTAATGTTGCTGTATCAAGTCATGGATTCCAGGTATTCACCACAAACAACGAACATGCTGGCATGGGCACACACAGTATTTGTTCCAGCACTGAGTCTGGATAAAGTCCTTGTTTGAGTGTATTGCAAAAGATGTTTAAGTTTATAAAATGGCCAGAAATTATACTGAAAGCTTCACATGCTTTCAAAATAATATTTTTTCTACATTTACTTTTATTCTAGCCTAAGTAAACAATTATTCTATCCATTAACCTATTGTACATCGCCTTCTAAATGTCTCAATATATTACATGCGATTAGAGTTTGTGCTTTAGTCCTATTTTTCTGCCTGTTCCAGTGACAGTCTTTCGGACAGATACTACAGTGCTCTCTACAGGAAAATGGTGGATCCAGAATTGAAGACGTCCTCCAAGCAGACTCTGTTTCTCAATCTGCTGTTCAAAAGCATGAAGAAGGATGTGTCTGATAAAAGAGTTAAGGTAGTACAGTGTCTTACAGTAGTGTTTTGATATGTTTTTATTATATATTCAATAGTAAAGATTACATTGTCACATTTGGCAGTTTATGAAAGGTCCTATGGTGGATGTTACAGTGTGTATTACTAAGTGGTTTTATTGTGATTTATTGTGTAGTGCTAGACAGAATGACATGTTCTTTTGATTCTTTTCAGGCTTTTGTAAAAAGACTGCTTCAAGTTTGTCTATATCAGACGCCACCATTCATCTGTGCTGCATTAATTATACTCTCTGAGGTAAGCGACATAGACATGGCCTGAGTAGAATTTTCATAACATTTTGCAGAAAACAAACTTGATATTCTTGTTATTATATGCCAACTAGTGAACAAAACCTATATAAGTCTATATCGAACAAACTTGACTTTTTATTATGCCATTTAAATACATTTCAGATACTGAAGTTAAAACCACAGGCACTGCAGCTCAGCCACATGGCAGAGGTAAAACACTAAGTTTAAATAATTCATTGCTATGTACTAGAAAGATATTATCATACTCTGTAAAAAGATGGTAGTAAATCTTTTTTTATGGTCACAAAACTACTCAAACTATAGTACTATTTTCATCACGCATTACTGAGTTTTAAATACTGTACATTTTATAGATTTTCATGTAAAAGTTTCTATTATTTTCATATATTGAAAAGTATCTTTATTTTTGAAAAAGTGGATGGGTATTTCTACTGGTAGTTTCTTTTTCAAATTGATCAGTGTACACAATCTCCAAGCAGTTGTGTCTTGAAATTTGTATTGAGTCTAATTGATTAAATCTATACGTGTAATATGGTTGAATGGTTTTATGGCATCTCGATACCATAGACATTGGCCTTATGTTGTGAGTCAATAAGGACTATAACCTTTCATATTATAGGAATTAGATGAGGATGAAGAGGAACATTTTCAAGATGTAAGAGAGGAAGGAGACGAAGGTCAGGAAACCAGTGACAAGACTAATGAAGAGCCAAGTGAAAATTCTATCAGCAAACCAGTAAAGAGCTCTTGGGTCCATAGGCAAAATTTGGGAGGTAAACTCAGTATTGCAAAATCTATGACAAAATCTACATTTTATAATTTAAGTGCTGTGGAGGGGTGATGCACAAAGATTTGTGTTATAAAACTTTGTTGCAACAGAAATCTATAAGTATAATAGTATAATATCACTCTTTAAATTGAATTTTCATGGCCAAACATAAAAGCCCTCTTTACATTTAAGTTCACATCATTCTGTCTGATATTTCAGTGAAGCAGGAGACGGTAGATTATGATCCCCACCATAGGAATCCTCTCTACTGTAAAGCTGATGCTGCCAGTGAAGTGGAACTGAAGCAGCTAGCACAGCACTATCACCCCTCTGTTGCCTTGTTTGCACAGAAAGTACTGCAAGTATGTGAATCTGGATTCTGTAATAACCATGCAAATTTTCACTCAATAGAAGAAGATGAGTCAACAACATGATTTTTTTTTTTTTGCTAGATTTTAGATTGTTTTACTGACATATTTGTCAATATTGTGAACATATTTTATGAAAAACTGCTTCCACATATCATCATATTTACGTCATTGACACCCACAGGGTTATAACACTGATTGTGTTGGTTTACGCCACACCTAACACATTCTGTTTGGTTACAGAGAGAATTGGTGTCGTATCCAGGGGATCCTCTCCAGGATTTTACTCTCATCAGATTTCTAGACAGATTTGTGTTCAGAAATCCCAAGAAGAAAACAACAGGTAAATTTAATTTAAAAGGTGAACAAGCAGTGGGGAATTTTATAAATATGTCTCCTATGTTAATTGTAGATAAACCAGTTTCTTTTGGTTTTACACATTTGTCAGACTCTTTATCCATTTTGTGTAACTTCAGCTGAAGCGACCGGTGGTATGATGAACCGTAAGCAGCGGGGATATCAACCTCAGGGACTGAAGGCAGTACCAGTGAACAGTGAGAAATACTTGGAGAAGGGGGAGGAGGGTGTCCCAGTGGATGAAAAGTTCTTTTATAGGCAAGCTTGATGCATCCTGTAGTAATTGATTATTTAATAGTTACAGTGCAAAACAGCACTATGAGCTAAATGTGCCATTCACAAATATTTTATGATCTGTTGTTGTTACAATTGGCATTATTCAACTTTTTTTAAAATTATATTTATTTTCTGGATTACAGTATTATTTTCTATGTCAGGAAAAAGTCTTATTCTGATCAGATATAAATATTACCCATCTGTGATTGAACTTTTGAGGGTTTGCTCTCCCCCACATTCTTTCATAGTATTACCTAGCCTCCATTATACATTTTGTATTGTTACAGGTATTTTAGTGAAAAGGCATCCAAAAAGAAGGAGGTAGATGATGAAGATAGTGATGCTGAAAGCGTCAGTGATGAGGAGTTTGATGACTTTTTAGGTATGTTTTTAATATTATCTTGCCTAAATTAAAAACTAAATTAGATATTTTAAAGTGTTTTTATGTTGGTGTTATTAGATAAAACAATGTCGATTTACTCATATGAAAAGCTAAAAGCTTTACTACACTTCTCAGCTTTGAATGTTTTCTTTGTTTTTCTAATTAGGTTACATTTTTGTATAGGATTGATATCTGTCATTTCAGTGTTATACTTGAGATTTGTTGTGAAGATTTACTCGAAACCTGCCTCTTATATGTATTGTGCTCTTTTTTCAGATTCTTATGAGAAACAATTTGACATGGACCAAGATGTAAAGTTTGACTTTGCAGGGTAGGATTGCTGTTTTCATTTTTTTTTAATTAATAGAAAGCTATTTAAAATAAAACATGCCCTGCTACTCATAATGTCATTCTTGTATTATGTTAAATTTTATAAACTGTCTTTTTCTCATTTAAACTTATTCTTATGAATACATGCATTATTTTAATATCTTTGCCAGAATGGATTCATTTGAATGAATTTTTTCTAGTGAGTTTGGAAAACAAACAAACAAGAAGAAAAAGAAACCTGATGATGAAGAAGATGATGATGATGATGATATGGATGAAGATATAGATGATGATTTATCAGATGAAGAGCCTGATTTCGGTGATGATGACTTCAAGGATGCATTTATTGATGAAGATGACTTTGATGGGGAGGATGAAGAGAACTCAGAACTATCTGAAGGTACTGGGAAAATAATTACAATTAAATTTTCTTGCATCTTGCACATAATTCATGTAAATATTATATAACGTCATGTAAATTTTACATGATATATACTTGTGTCTAATTTGATGTTGACTGTTGGACATTTATAAAATTTATTCTCTTTATATTGAAAATTGTTGTATTGAGTTTTTAGTTTAAAATTGCACCAAACCATTTTTTCTCCAGATGAAGCTGCCATATCAAAAGCAACTGATCGGAAACAAAATAAACGACATTCAGCAGATGACTTTATTAGCGGAAAGAGGTCAAAGAGAAAGAAATCAGAGTAAGAAGTTGAAATGAGATAAAATATCATATTTCTGATTGTAGATAAGAATTATGCAAAAAAAAAAAGGAGTCTACAATAAAAAGTGTACAGTCTAGTATAATGTGTGCACAGTATGTGAATATAATAAATGGTCTGGTTGTTGGATGATAAATCATACATATTAAATCATAATTGCCTGTTTATTCAACATGCATCACATATATGTATTCTAAAATATTATATCATTTGTACTTTTAATTTAGATTTGACACTTCTGGGCTGTTTGCTGCTGCTGAGGAAGTGAGTGACTTTATATTTTTTATTAGATCATAAGCTTCATTACAGATATTAATATGATTGCTTTGTTAAGAAGTGTATCACGGGATATAATTTCATTTGGGTAGACAAAAACTATCCCACAAATAAATGTGGGGTAATGATTTTATCTTTTATTCAAATTGGAATAACTGATTCAGAAACTATGCTTAAGATGGACTAGCAATTGATTAAAGGAATAACAATTGTTCCTTTTGGCCAAAAAATGTCTTTCCTGGGGTAAACAACTATTTTCCCATACCTACCAGTGGTTAATGAATCCATTCTGAAATCCAAAGTTAGACCATTTTTTATTCCAAAAAGTTTGGTTTTTAAGAGATTATTACGTAGATATAGTTACCTTTGAAGGTCTTCGTGGTCTGATGTCAATCAGATTCCAGAATAATTGCAATAACTGCTGTTTTGGTGGTAACATAGAATTAATTTTATTTCTATGAGTTGTTTACAATTTTTTTATTGTGAAATATGAATCTCATACAAACAGTTGTTATGCCTTTAATTTCTCAAAGCTAGAATGTGGAAAAATAAACAATAGAGGACCATACTGCCTTGATTAGTTGTATGAAAACTGGGCATTTTTTATTTTAGATAAGATAACAAAATGCCATTTCCTCATCTCTCTCTCTCTCTCTCTATCACACAATGTATTTTAATATGTAGTTATCATTTTAAAGTTGACATTTTCTGCTAATGTATTTGTAGTTTGCCCATCTTATTGATGAGAATGCCAGCTCCAAGTTAGATCTGATTAGCACGGAGGCTATGTCAAACAAAGATAATGCAGGTAGGTGCAGTTATAATTACAGTTATTTGTGACGCTAGCGTACCTCGCACATCTCTTTCCTGTGTGATAATGTAATTCAGAAAAAGGATAGATGCCAAGTGAAGATAAATTGGGGTGCTCTGAAATTACCCGTGACTTGTACAAAGATACAGTACTGTTGTCACTGTCTTCAGTATTAAAATGTGTGTATGAACCTTACTTAAGAATATTGTTTACAAAATGAAATGTACACCAGTAGTGACTGATTTAACTTTACAAATGAGGTTCTTTAAAGTTCTTTTGGATATAATTGGATTTTTTTGCTTTGTTTACTTCTACTAAAGCCAACTTGGTATAATGGTGGTTTGAAATTGATTGATTAATGTATGGCCATCTCATGAATTGTTGTGCTAATTCTGCAAGCATTTAATTCCAGGTGTGAAGCAGTTGAAGTGGGAGGCAGACAGGGACCGCTGGGTGCAGGGTCGAGACTGGAGGACAAAGAAAAGACAACAGAGAGGTGCAAAACACAGAGGACAGTTTGCTGGAAACAAACCGAAAAAACAACAGTATAAGGGCAAAAAGAAGTCAAAGAATAAAAGATAATGTTTTAGGCATCATCAATTGCAAAGAATTGAATATATTTACTGGAGGTATTCTGCTGGTTCAGTTTTATATAAAAAAAGAAACTGCAATATTTTAAAGAATAAGTGAAATATTATTTTCTCATTATCATGCCAAATTAAAATTTACTATGAAGTATTGTGGTATTTCAAATTTGAATCATAGACGAACTATAAGCCAGAAAATAAAAATCCATCTCAAAATGGTAGTGGTTTCTTTCTGTTGCATAAAATGTGTTTATTATTTTATCACACATTTGTGACTCAGTAATGGTTAGGACTTACACTGTTGCACTGCTCCACCCAACAATCATCATGTGGTCTCTTCAGGTTTCTTTATAAACAACTCGTTGATCCTGATAAAAGTCATGCCAACCTGATAATGTTAAAATTGATACAAACAAAAATTAGTTTTAAGTTTCCACAAAAGATGTAAACAAATATTTAAAGGAACTTGTTACCACAAAAGTGAGGTTATATCTTTTTTTTTTTTTTTTTTGATCCTGAATTATAGTATTTAAAGGTTACCTGTGACCAATCACTAAGACAGGGATCTGGTGCCATTTTAACTACATTTGTGCTGGCATGATGTCTTGCATAAAGATTAAATAATAAAACCTTTGATTTCAAGTTTGTGTTGAATGCACTATGAGGATAATGTCACTAGTGTAGTATTTCAATGCAAAATTCTTGGTTTTCCTTTAAACTGGTTTATCTTTAACAAGTGGAGTTGTTGTTTTTTTATAATGATAGCTCCTCAGAATAAGTAGGCAGTTATCAGATTAGGAGTATGGTCTTAAATTGCTAGACCAAAATCTACAATTGAGGTGAAGATCCCGACTTCCTACTGTGCCTTGATGGTTATCTGAGCGTGACTTGAGAACTACTGGTGAAGACAAGCTAATGAGTCACGCTGCTTACTGTTAAGTATCTCGAATAATATGAATAGGAGAATTAATGATTCAGATTTCCACAGTAACAATGAACTCCATCTTCATTTGGGGTGCTAGTGATGAACTTTCAATCATGTTTTATTTCTACTGATGTATTATTTATATTCTAGTATTTTTTTCCACATGCTCAGGCTTTCAATTGAGCAAGTATGGATTGGAAACTGATTGGTTTTCTCCTTGTTTTACTCTTATTGACGAGAAGTGGCTATGTAGATTCGGTAGGTGACAGGGACTACCCTGATGCAGATATACCAGGCCCATGTCAAGGTACCCCTTGTACTTGTATTTTCACAAAGGAACAATGGACCATTGACTGCTCTTGGAGAGAACTGGATGCAATACCTAAATTCAACATAAACTCTTCATTCAATATTGTAGAGATTAACCTCTCAGGTGGGTTCTTGACAAAAGTTGATGATTATGCATTCAAAGGGATCACCACTCTTAAAGGTCTCAATTTCAACCATAATAACATCAATGATCTTCAACCTTATGCTTTTTCTGGTGTGGAAGAAACGCTTCAAGATTTGGATTTGAGCCACAACTTGCTCTCAAATGTAAGTGCTCTGCAGGGATTGAGAAATATCAAGTGGCTTTCACTGCGGACAAACAGACTTACCACAACAGGTGCAGATGTATTTCACCTTCTTGGGCAAAGGTTGGCAGTGCTGGACCTTTCACAAAACAAACTGGAGAGATTTCCCCAGTCCTTGAAATACCTTGATCAACTTCAAACTCTTCTCCTTAATTGGAACAAATTGGAGGTCATAGATAAGGAAGTTCTGAATGGCATGAAGAATTTGGAAAACTTGGAAATTGCAGAGAACAAACTGAAAACACTTCCAGCACAAACCTTCAAAACGTTAGATCTATTGTTCCGACTTTCAGTGTCAGGGAATGAAATTGAAGAAATTTCCCCACAAGCATTCTATGGATTGGATTATAACCTAAGGCAGATTGATTTAAGTTTCAACCACCTGAAAAGACTTCAATTTTGTGCCTTTAGAGGGCTGCAGCTTTTGGAAGTTCTGGCCCTGAATGGTAACCCATTTATATGCGACTGTCAACTAATATGGTATCGTAATGCACGACTGCCACATGCACCATTCCCTGCAGCAACATGCGCTGAACCTAATGAATACAGTGGACTTCTTATCAATAGCTTCCCACATGATGACTGTTCTATACAGGACATGTATTTGTGGGGCATGCCTTGCACTGAGAAGGGTTCCTTACCCATTGGATCCACATCACAAGTTACCTCTCGCCCCACTGGCTCTCTGGGTGGCCCTACTGGTGATACAAAGGTGACAATAAGTCCTTTAATGTCATCATCAGGCAGCTTCAGCCTTCTCAGCCTTGTTTACATTGCCTTAGCAATTGCAGTGCTTTCAGTTTTTTTCACCATAGTGTTTGCTGTTGTGGTCTGTAGGCGCTTGAAAAAGTGTTCAGCAACTCTCAAGGCCCATGCCAAGAGATTGGAAATGCCATCAAACAAAGGCGCCCATGTGCATTTTAATGCTGCCGCCTGTGAGAGCACAATAGAAATCAATGCTCTGGAGGGGTATGAACAAGTGAGGGATGAGGGCTATAATTATATTAACCCTTACGGTCCTACTTATGAAACAATTCCTATTGCAAATACATTCACAAATCGCATGAATTCATTCACAAATCATAATCATGCAACTTGAGAGGAGACTTGTAAAAGAGAATGGGCCTTTTTAATCTTTTTACTGTAAAAACTTTTGAGGATTTATTTCTGGTCAGATTTAGAACAGATTATAGAACAGAAAACCAGCACGACTGGTAGAATGAAGCTTTAAAATAATGCACAATATTTTGTACATTTGTAATGCCTGTATGATTTTGCCCTTCTAGTTAATTAGTGGGAACAAGAATGTATATTTAAGGTCAGAAACCTAGAAAATAAATTTTGTACCATGTCTTAATGAGGTAGATGAACTAGAAAGATTGAATCATGGTGTGAGCAGATAATACAGTTATTCAATGTAAATAAGCACATTTGCTTAAGTTATTAGAATACTACAGTTGCCATGAGAGAAATTTGAAAATGTGGTATGTAATAATTTGCCTATTGATATGATGATCAAAAGTCAAGTCAAAAGCAGCAAGACAGTCAGAAATATAGGTCTCTCTTTAAAGCGAAAAATACTGTAAATGAAATGAGATAATATATTATTTGAAATAGACGTTGTCCTTTTAATCAGTTTGTACAAAAATGCTGTCATATTCTGAATATAGCCATTGTAAGAATGTGCATATATTGGTCAAGTTTTTATACTTTACTTAGCAAAAATAAAGGTCATCTTGATATGGTCACTGTCCAGTGCATTTTATCTAACCAATCCTGAACCATTTATCAAATGGGAGGGTGTCCAATCTACATAATTATAGTGCTGGTTCCGTTAAGCTGCATGTCCACCACTCGAGTTCATGGCAGCCTGCCTTCAGTTTACTCATCATAAAAGATGTTGTTGTCTCTTTTAAGATTTTATATATTTTTGCTGCTTCGATTTGTGATGCATGGTCTTGTAACATGTAATTAAGAACATATCCTTTCAACTTCATATGACTTTTTAACTGTTAATACCTGTACAGATAGTTTGTAATCTATGACAATAACCGCAGTTGTGGTAATTTTATTATATTTCATCATCACAAAAATCAGATATTCATGTACACTTTTTTACATTTAATATAAATATTATCATTTCAAACTTTTGCGCTGATGTCACAAATGAAATTTCTGCAATTAAGAATGGCAGTTGACAGTGTCACCAGGCTATACCAATACAATGTTTGAGGTCTATGGACAATCACGCGCCATGACATTTCTGATGTGAATCATTTTTATAAGAGAATATCAGGCACTGCATCATAGTATTATAAATAATGCAGTATGACAGTTGATTTAGTGTGACCTCTATTTTAGACAACTTGCTGGCATGTAAAAATGGAAAACACGTCAAATCCTCTCTTCTTGGCATCATGACAATTGTTAAATGAGAAGTCATCTTGTGCAGTAAGTGCAGATGTACATTCTAGAAATTTTCAGGGCAAAACAAGTGCTTGCCTCAGTTTTTTTATGTAATTCACATATCACAATGCAAAATTTTTTTGTGAAAACCATGATCTCTTGTCCTCTTCTCTCAGCATCTATCATGCTCCCGTTCTAAAAATGTACAGTGCTGACACTGCACAGTGAGGTTAACCAATCTTTGAAAACCCAAGAAAACCTTGACATTTGGACTTCATTATTTGATACTGACATCACAGGAGGGTAGGGCTGATTGCATATTCTTTTCGATGTCCTCAGGATTCTTTACACCAGACAGATGGTGGGCTTTTAAAACTTTTAATTTTCTGTGGGGAGAAAAAGAAAAAAATATGTATACATAATACATATGATATTACCGATGGTTATCTTTAGAAATTATTTATATGCCTAGAAACATAACAGTGATTTAATTTGCATATAACTAAACAAAACAATATCAAGAAAAGAAGAAATTTAAAAAAAGCATTTTATGCCATAACTTATCAAAACCTATTTACATTACATAGTAATAAAACACATTTCTGAAAGAAAGTGTGACAGCGCCTTTAAGTATCAATCCCTAACCTAATTTGGCATTGTAGAATAATATCATAGCAATGTGAGCACTGAGTTTGGTGTGAAAGACTTGTTGTGGTTGAGACAAGTACCTTAGGTGAGTCAGGTGCTGCAGGCCTGCTTCTGTCACCTTACAATGGCTGAACTCTAAGTGTTCCAGGCAGTCAGACGTGTGCTCCTCCAGATAAAACATGCCTTCATCATCCAAATATTTACAGTTGTTCATCGTCAATTTTTTCAAATTTTTTATACCTCCTGCAAATAAATATCTGATTAGTATTTTCAAAAATTGCAAACTGCTCATCATTTTTTAGGATATTGTAGCAGATTTGTCAATTTAAAAATATATTTCCTTTTTCGTAATATGTCACTATCATCTGTATTAAAAAAATTAAAATGAATGAAAGTGAGAAAGTGCCAAAACATACTAAGGCAAACATAGAAAAATTAAGAATGAGAAAAGGGGGCAATTTTATGACTGTCCTGATACTCTCCTGTAAGAGAAAAGGCAAGCAATGGCATGCACACACTGGAATATACCCACTGAAATTGGCAAATCCCATTCCCATGATCTCAGAATTGTCAGCATTGATTTCCTCCAACTTGTAGCTTCTGTCCTGTTCTGGTGGCAAAGAATTGTAATTGTCTTCAAACCTGGTGGTGCCTGCCCACCGTATCTTTCCACCTGTCTTTATAATCCATTCTGCACTGCATCTATCAGGGCCAAAGTCCTTTATGCGGGTATTGTCGACACTGGAATGGCGCATATAATATTTTTGATCATACAATGCCGAGGATTATGCTTGCTGTATTTGAAAATGCTAAATTGGATTTGGGAAGATAAAAAATCTACACTCAATACTTGTCTAAACCAAAGCTATTCATGCAGTCATTGCCAAAACTGGAACAGAAAGGTTTGAAATGCTTTAGATGTTATATTGCACCTTAGCTAGCACATACTAATGGAAACATTGTATTGTAAAATGTTGCATGGTATCCATACATGTACAGTTATCAAAGGGGTCTACCCAAAATGTCCAATACATTGCAACCCAGCACAATTAACTATAGAAAATGACCTTGAAGGCAAGTAAACACAGGAAACGGTCATTCACAAGAATATATTGTGATTTAAAAGCAAATTTTAACACCAGGTACTATTAATATTGTTGATCCAACTGACAACTTTGTAGGATTTGTTTATGAATTATTGGGTCGTTTATGTACCATATTGGCAACTGAAGAAGATATAGGGAGTGGCTCTTTTTGGCAATATGGTGGACACCCTGGTGCTTAACAAATCCATGGTTTGTAACCTTGATTGACAATTGGTGGCATCATTATCTATAGTAACTGACTGCCAGGAAAACAACTAGGGCATTTCACAATGGGAATGGAAAATGTCACAGGCCAGATCCCAATCCAGTCCAGTTACTTACTGGACTAGGCAAAATCCTAATCAGAATCTGGTTTAGGCCAGATCCTAATGGTGTCTTTGAATTGTGAACAGCATAATGGGCATGTTTATTGGCCAAGTAATTTACAGGGATGCTGTTTGTTTGAATGGCATGTGTAATAAAATTGTGGATGTTATAGAACAAAGTATATCATGTGCTGGGGTAGCGCTAGCAATTTTTTTTTTTTTTACTCAGCCAAATCACCACTTTTTTTTTGTTATCAAAATGGTTGTAATTTGACTTAAACAAGTCAAATCAAGTCTTTTTTCTTTAGCCAATTTAAGTAAGTTTTAGCATTTGGCTAAATTGGCAAGTGTTAGCGCTACCCCAGATATGTAACTTACAGCTCTGGAAAATTGAAATTAACAAGCATTTTAGAAAATCTCTGCATTTTCTTAAGAATATACAAAAAGTAAAAAGAAAAGTGTGAATTGTCTGCCACCCAATAGCTAAACTATTCAGGCACATCTGGCCAAGCACACCTACTGCACTTCATTTACATAATGACCTTGATTTACATAACTGAACAGTGCTTGGCAGCCACACCCTTGAGAGAGTGCAGTGTGTGCCAGTCAGTAGTGAGCAGCTAAGTAATGCAGAGGCAGAATCTGAAGTAAATTTAGTTGAAAGAGGCTAAAGGGTGAGATATTTTTGTATACAACTGTATATATAATTGATTAAATTTCTATGTATATATTATTATATTGCTTTCTTAACTTACTACAGAATTAGTTTAGTCACAGAAAGTAAATGATGATGACCAGACAATGGTGATACTGGTATTTTCAACTTCATGTTATTTGCATATAAAATTTGTGTCATTTATGTATGCTGAACAATTAGTTTCTTATATGGTTTTCTTTGTTTTAGTTTCACAGCAGTGTCCTGAAAATCCTGAAAATAAGGGAGTGCCCACTGACATTTGCTTCTTTTTATTCTGTGCCCCAGATGAGCTACAATTTTTATGTCTCCTCCATCCTAGTGTTGTAAACATGCTGTAACGCCCCATTGTATCGAGTGAACTGCTGGAAAGTTCTCATCAAAGTAAAAGCAGGTGAAATTTTTTGGAACAGAAGATTTAGGCTGAAGGTTGGAGATAACAGAATGAATCGAGCGTGAAATGGGGTCAGGCAGTGACGCTGAATGATATAAGTAGCAACATGTGCCTCAATGGGGACTATCCCTCTGAATGCGCATGTGCGTAAATAAGTTCTGGAGATTGTCGCCGTAAAATGTTTGACTATGCCAAACTTTTCTATATATATTTATATATATAAAGAATTATATATTATTTTAGATCTTATTTGGGTTGATTGATTATAAAAAAACTTAACATTCATATCAGCTACTAACACATAATTTGTCATTTTCCTTTTTGTTTTTTATTGGATAAGCTTTATAAAAATTCCCATTTTTATATAATGTATAATTTTTATTTCACTACTGGTACGTGCTTTTTTATAGCGTAAATAAGGCTGTAGGAGAAATTATTAAAACAATTCAATCCCATTTTGTAACTACACGTTAATGAAAGCAAAACATAAGGAATCTCAGTGTACAGAAATTGGCTAGCCAAGGTGCATTATATTTTGAAATTTATACACATATAAACAGATCTTTATGAACTTTTGCTTTATCCTAACAATTATCAAAAGTGTCTCAAAAAAAAAAAAAAAAAAAAATCCTATACTTAGCATGTGAAAGCCATCAATGATCAAAGGAAATGGACAAACATTCTTTGACTGGAAGGTATAATGCTTTTTTGAAGAATAACAGCCAGCATCAGTGGCACCCAGTCCTCTTTGCAATTATTCTCGATGGAAGTAGTCATATAAGAACCATGACTTGACATCCCTTGTGAACATATTCAACTTGACTTTATAATTACAAGTGTAGATGAAAAACAGTGGGTAAATCATCACCAGCAAAATAGTCTGGTACCTGCTCTGCCATAATATAAAAATAGATACAAAAAGATACTTAAAATCAAATTTGAATCCAGTTGATTTGTGTGATCATCTTATTTAGGATGTATATTATGAGAGAATTTCATATCACCATGAAAATATAATTTATCTTAATCACAGGGACATGTAAGCCTCGAAAAAATTGTTTACATTAATTAAGATAATGATATGAATGAGAAAGAAAAACGTTATATGAACAAATGAATAATACGGTAATTACTGTGGTATGTTGATGTTTCAAATGAAATAATTTCCACGTTTGTTTTGTTGGCATTAAGTGTTGTTTCAATGTGAGTATCTTTCTTTTCAACAGCTTCTTTATGGGAAGAATGGATTTCTTTTCGGGCAAGGGTACACTGCAGCAAATTACTGTTGCAGCCGTAGTGATAAGCTGTCATGTTGCAGTTGCCTCCACCACTACCTCTTTGTAAGGAAAACCAGTTTTCAACAACATCTTGACTTAATCTTTTTGGTATTATGTAGCAATCTGGATATTCTTTTTGGAATTCTTCACTTTAGATATAGTTAACTAGGTCTTTCAGACCAGTGATGCTAATTTTCATGTCTTCCATGGTCTGGTATGAAATGAAACGCCTTTTCATTTCAGCTCTTGTATAGTATGATGTTTCAACGTTATTGTTCCCATTTAATTCATTTGCATCCTGTTGCCAGTTGTGCAAGTCGTGGGTCATTTGGGCTGGAAAGGGGCTCTGTAGAGTTGAAGATGGTTAAAATGGGACATGACATGTTAATGAACTGTTGTGTCTGATTGTATCTTCATTGTCATGTTATTGCATTTCTTGCGATACCTCTGGTTCAAGTGTCTGTCATTGGAAGTTTATTTTTGTGCAATTATTTATGAATGGACGGCTGTATTTTATCTTTGTTTATTGAACTGGTCTGTCTCTGTCTCTTTGGTATGCTTGAATAAAATGCTCCCAAATAACTGTTTTTTCCAGAATGTGTTAGTAAGTGCACGTGTCTGTCAGAAGTACCACTACAGAAGACATTGCTGCATAGTTTTTTAACGAGATGGGTTGGATCAGAAATAAAAAATAATGGTTAATTGGTTAATTCATTAATGGTCACGTGTGTCAAGTTACCAGTGAGATATATTGCTTTCAAATTCATTCTCATGAATCTCCTATTCTCAAAAGTGCCATCATAGATGGCCAGAAGATATCTTAATCTATGAAGATGAAGTTTCCAGAGACCCCTTTCAGAAAAGATGATGGATGGTGGTTTCTGTCATCAAAGTAACCAACAGGATATGAAAATTTGGTAAATAATGATATGAAAAGGAATTGTGTAATGTGTGAGCCAAGTAGTTGCATTGATGAAGATGAGAGGGCTGGATAATAGGGATCTTTAACTTCTGCTGTGTTCAAGTCTACAAATCCTTCCAGCTCTGAGTCACTAGTATTTGCAGACCAGACAAGTCCCTCTTTAATTTTCACCTCATCAATTGGCAGTGCACCCACTTGGGATACTGCAGAAAGATTCAGTTTTTGTTGTTGTGAGTGCATGTTTGCCATTTTTTTCAGGATGCAAGATTCTGTCATGCTGAAGTGCCGAAAATCTTGTAGTGTTCTGCTGCTTGGTAGTCTTATGTATCCTGATTTGCCCATTCGTTCATATTCTGTTTTGGAGTGATAGCCTGCCAGGAAGAATTTGAGGATACCATCTCATTTGTTGGGGTTTTGTAGTGATTGCTTTCTGTTAGTCTTGCAGTAAAATACTTCACTTGTAGTAAAATTTCCAAAAATGCATCCTGCTGTTCTTTTATGTGAGTAAGTATATGGTTGATTTGCACCAAAAACGTTTGTGTACAGTGATCCCATTTACAAATGTATTTTTTCTCAATGGGTGAGATATATACGATTGATTTTATATTGTAATATGTGCTTGGCTGATGTGTTCCAGGGTGGCATCTATTGTAGGAAAAGATTCTGTGTACGTGCATGCTTGTCATTTGCAGGATTTATAATGTTTTATGAGATGTGCTTGCTTGAAATCATTTAATATTTTGAAAAACGTTGTTTGCAAGTCCTTACCATCTTCTGTATTAAGTGCCCGCACATGTTTTATTTGCATTTTGTACATGAGAAAGTTTTGATTTTTGGTTTTTTTTATAGAAAAACTTTTATGCAGCCGATGAGAAAGTTCAGATTTTGTGCAATAGGAGTAGTTTTTGAAATCAGTATGTTCATTGGATTTCCCTGGATGTTATGTTATGATGACATTAATGATTTGCAAGGCTTATGGATGTCCTGATCTTTTGGAAAATAAATAGTATGACATTTTCTGGCATGGATTTGTTCACCACTGCTGTTAACATTGGTTAGTGGCCCTGACTTACCCCGTTATCTTCTCATCTTCTCATCTTTTTGCAATTAAATCTGAATATGTGTCATACGGAAGGCCAGGGCATGGTTGAGTCCAGTCAAGTTTTTTAAGTATCACTGATGCAAGGGGGTATTTCTTCTAAAAAATCCTGCCTTTCCAGGTTTTGGTGGTATGAATGTATAGTCCATTCTCTTTTCATATTCATGGTGATGCCTTTTTCTGCACAGAATGGGTTTATTTTATTATATTTTGCCATGTACAGGTTCTTCATATTACATATTTCATATATTATCCAATCTGGGAATTGTATCTTAACAATTTATTTTATGGTTCTATTTTCCACCTGCTGGTGTATGTCCATTGTTTCTTCCTTTGTGTAACCTATAAAGTAATAAATAATAGTAAACATATTTTTATTATATAGTTATTACCTATACTGGTTATCATGAGCTAAAGTAATAAGGGCCTGGTACATGTAGCATGAGAAACAATTTAAAGTGAAAGTTTTCTAACTGGGGTAGCGCTAACACTCGGATTAATTTGATTTAAGTCAAATTTAAACCATTTGGACAAAAAAGAAAAAAATTGCTAGCGCCACCCCAGTCTAAGAAAATGAAAATAGAATCTAATACTGTACCCTACATTGAAAGGGGACAGTTATATTTTATCTATAATTGTGCATTGAGATCCATTGCACCTACTTGTAAACGTGTTTATATTAATAAAGGGATAACACGTATTGTTATTTATGAGTTCAAGAGGAAATACAAGGAACTGTATCAAATTGCAAGACTTGGACAACATGCAGATGATATGCTATCACGGACAATACATCAGATTTAGGAAAAGACAATGTGCATGACATATCTACTAGAACATGTACTTTCCTCTGGCTCTCACAATAACTGCAAAAAGACATACAAAGTTTTACCTATTTGGTAGATGTAATAACAAGGCTTACACTGGAACCCTCAAGCAAAAAGGAGAAGATTACATACGTAATACCTAACCTTTGCAGTGACCTAGAGGTAGACAAGACACTATAGGCTAAAAGGAGTTATGGAGACTAACCACCTTATGTGAAATGTACTGGTACAGCAAGGTGGTGAATGACAACAAATAAGGATTGCTTGCTAAAAAGATTTTCTACTGCTAACTACTGTAACAGTAATTTTTTGTTGTAGTTAAGTGTTTAACATAGTCATATAATTGTAAACACAGTTATATCCACGTATACATTTTCACCACTACAATAGACAGTATATTCTTTATATATATAATGTAAGCATAATACATGAAAGAAAAAGGGAGTACAAAAATTTACAATGAGAGCATTCCTATTGATTTGGTCCAATTGGAGCAACGAAATTATAGAGCAGGTTCCCCTACAGTTCTGTTCTATACAGCAAAATCACCACAAATGCTATAGAGAAATATTTTTATCTTTTTGTTTACAAAACAATGTATATGAAAATTTGATAATTTTTGCCCACTGAAAACATTGAGCCACTAGCGTATCATACATATCATGCTTAAACATAGAACCTACTTTTTGCCTTTCTTAATATTGGCTCCGTTTCCTGAACTTTTTCTTTTTCTTGAATTTTGACAAGTTGCACAAAACCACTAAATTTCCTTTGGGAATAGTTTACTCCATTAAGTCCACACATGCAGAATGGTACCAGCCATTTGGACAAAATTTTCCATCACAAACAATCATGTTGTCTTCAGTGTCCTTCTATCCAAAACTGCATTGTCCAAGTTTTTGTTTATGTGAGGGTTGTGGGTAGTTGGCCGTTTTATTGAAGACAATATATTTAGATCTCAAAGAAATGCTTTTTTTTGGCAGTATGTTTTGTTGTTCCAGTAATGTACCTGCTCTTGAATAGCAAAGGTTGATAAGAATTTTATAAAGTACATGAACTTTTGATGTAATATCAATTTATTCATTTTTTGTCCTTGATTAAGCATGGGAAAATACTTTAATCATAACTGTTTGCATGCATTTGAATAGCTTTACTTTTGTACTGTTCCAAAGTTTGTTAATTTATTACTTTTGCAATAAAAAATGAGTGTAAATGGCAAATATTTCACAAATTTCTTAAATTTTGAACATGAATTTTTATGTACCTGCATGTATAAGAGTTAGGTAAATGTACATCTTTGCCAATAAATAAATAAATTCCACATTTGTTTTGTTGGCATTAAGTGTTTCAGTATGAGTATCTTTCTTTTCAACAGCTACCTTATGGGAAGAATGGATTTCTTTTCAGGCCTGCATTATTGCCCATACATATACAAATATTTTTCTTTCTCTGCAGGGGAGAGGTCAGGAATATTGATGTCTTCTTCCACATTAGATTTAACATGGCAAATGGGGTTATTGTGTGGAATATATTTATAACTTTACATTTCATCTAAGATTAAATACAAATTAATTTTGTCATCAATATGGATATCATCACATGTCTAAGTAGTCTTCTGATTAAGAAACATCCTTTACCACAGTTTGTCTCCGTTGCTCCTCAATGCTCTTCCAACATTTGAATTTCACATAAATAATTTCCATATTTATGTTATCTTTAGTTTGGGGAGTTTTCATTCCGGACGTTATCTGGAATTTGCTTGAATTTTTTATAAACAGTTTGCATAAAATGTTTCAAGTCACTTTTTGCATTTCCCAGCACTACTGAGAGGTGGGTATTGTAAGGTTTTCTAAAAGTAATGATGTCTTTCATTGAAAGTTTGAATACATTTTTGGGTATTTGAAATGTTTCATCAAGCTCATTCTCTGTCATGGCTGCAGCTGTTGAATATGATAAATAAGAATTTTTTTGATAAGTCAAAAAATCTTAGAAGAAATAGAAGGTGCTAATTACAATTAAGAGGGGACCAGACCCCCCTGCCCCCCCCCCAAATACCCCACTGGGTAATATATATATATATATATATATATATATATATATATATATATATATATGAGGATTTTGGGAGACCCTGTAACCTCTGGTTTATTTTGCAATATCTCTTGTGTTTTTTGCAGTGTTTTGGACTGTGTTGCACATTTTAGGTAGACCATTTTCAAAGCACATATACTCACGCATTTAGCCCCCGTCTAAACCATGAAAAAAATAGCCTTTTTTGATGTCCAACTTCAAAGTCTGGATAGCAAGTTCGCCTGCGGTCTACTGGTGTGGAAGCTGTGCCAGCTGAGAATTGTTTGTTGTGCAGCTGTCGCTGCTGTAGAAAAAGAGCACAAGATGGCGAATGAGTTGATCCCAGGGCGTCTTTTGTACTTGCGGCACAGTTTCCTGTCTGTGAAACGTGAAGAAATAAAGATAAGTAAATCTTGGCTAAGTTGCTTTTCCGTGTCATTCAGGCACGTTAGATAAATGCTAAATGTACTTTCGCCGTCGGTATTCAACGTTAACTAACACAATATCACAGTCACAGAAACGGTCCTACTACTTACCGGAATCAAATATATTTACCGAAATCAACCGGAATCAACCGAAATCAAGTATAAATACCTATTTATGTATCATTTTTATGCTTGTTTCAATGATTTTACCACTTTTCAAGTCATTTGATGCTCGCCAAATTCCAAAAACGATATTTTGTATTAGTTTGGAATTGAAAATAGATGCGACTTCGCAAGCCTCGCCTTCATCCCCATTTTGCCTAACTTGATGACGTAAGTCGTCTCAGATATCCCGATGTTGCCTAACTGAGTCCAAGCTTGGCTAAAATGCGTGTACGTACCCTATCAGCCCCTATCAGTAAAGGGTGGTGAAGGGCACAGAAATAAACTAATCATTTATTCTGTTTATTCCATTATTTCCACAACTGTGTTGCTGTATTGTTTTGATGTTTATTATTAGTGCCTTTGTTGAGAGTGTGTGTGTGAGCGCACTTCAAAAAAAAAAAAAAAAAAAAAAAATCTACACATATCAGGCGTTGGGACATTGTTCATTGTTTTATCATTACCATTACATACACCTGTAAATGTTTTTTCCTAGTACTGGTCTATGACACATGAAAATTTACTATTGTAACACCAAGTGTGAAACTTCCATTATTTGTTCTTTATGAATGAAGTAGAGAAGAGGTTATTTTTGGAACTTTTCAATCATTCATGTCTACGAAAGGATTCGCTGACATTTTCTATTTAAAATAAAATGTCTAAAAGGACAGGTATATATCTATGATCATATTAATCGGTACTACATGACATGTTCCATAATCGGGCCAACAGACATGCCATAGGTAGATGGCACTTTAGATGAACTGTGTGTTTTGGGCAACTAATCCAAATGTATGACCATACATTCCGAGTTATAAAATTAAAAAAGGCCAATTAAATTAATATTCATAATAGAAATAGAACGATATTTAAAAAGAAGAAAGTTCCGATACAGGAAAAGTAAATGATGCCGATAACAACGTGGCGTTACTAGAGGGTCAGTCATTTATGACTAAACCATAAAAATAAAAAGGGCTAAAACATCGAATCCGAATACATGAACAGTTCAAGTAATGATTGGTGAGTAGAAAATTCCTTCTCCCCCCCCCCCCCCAAAAAAAAAATCATATTGAAGGGTTAAGTCGGTTATATTACCTTAAGTCAACTTCTTCATTTTGTCCAAAGCATTTCAAGTGACAATAACGAGAAACAGCAAATATATTACATAAGTAATATTTCTTTCTCTTTGGCCTACTTCCATTTTTCATATCTTTCTCTAAAACACTGAATTAAGGGGCAGCTTAGGCGAATAATCTCAACATGGCAATCAAATTTTATTTGACGGTAATGTCAGCTACGGCATGGCATGTTACGTAATCAGGCAAACAGGCCTGCCACAGGTAGATGGCGATGCAGATAAACAATGTTTTTGGCAAGTTACGTGACACTACCTGAGCTCAACTCGCTAATTAGTCTTCGGGCCACCTGTCCTTTTTAAAAAACTTGCCATGGCATGTTCAGTTTTAATTAGAAGATTACGACTAGCAAGCCCGTTGTCCACGAAACCTGTCAATCAAGATGTGATCAACCAATGCATGTCATTTTGGCATTATATAAGAGACGTCTAGTTCTGTTTGACACACAGTATAATTCGTTTGTTTGACCGGCATCACCGTGACATTCGGGTTCCTTCATTCGTTTGGCCGACATCGTTGTGACACACAGCTATGGCACATAAGAATAAGAAAACAAGATATCCATGTGGCACATGCCAGAGAGCCTGCTCATCTGACGCGATTGAATGTTCGAGTTGCTTGAAATGGATTCACAGGTAGGTGCTTATACCTTCAAAACAGTGAGATTTCCTAAAACATAACAAAAGTTGCGTATTTACAATTATTTTATTCTGATTAACGCCATGCTTCGTGAAATTTACTGATTACAATGCGTATTTAATCAAAATTGGTTAAAATAGATAACATACCTATAAAGTGTCCTGTTAATTAGCAATGTTGAAAATGTTAGCCATTACCTATCTGTTTAAAACTTATTTAAAAGGCAAAGGCCTAAAATCAATAGAAAAATGAAGCTAAGGACAGTTTCTACCATGTCACTTCGGACGGCTTGGTTTACGATCCTCGTGCTTTTTGACTTTCCCGCTCACGTTTAGTGTCACCGTCACCGCCTGGTGACCATCAATGCAAGACAAGCGGACTGCGTTTGTGTTTAAACGGCTATCTCTTAACACGTTATTTACATATTTAGTGATTTGGCTATCACATTTGACGATTATGAAACTATGGATAGATGTGTTTAGTTATGAGCTACATTTGTAATTTTAATCATTAAGTTTAAGTTTTAGTTAGTAAGAATTTTAAGCTCTCAACTTTATCTATAAAATGTTTCATTAATTCTAAAATTGTATATTCTCTGTATATTAATCTAATTAAAATTGCAGCCTTGATAAATTGTATGACGCTTCTTGCACCACGGTTCTCAATAAGTAGTAAATAGAAAAATGGAAAATTAAGTAAAATATATCTTTATTCCTTTTGCACTTTCTAAATACTCGGGTGACAGTAGCTAATAAATCTGGTTTGTGATAAGCATTAGAATTTTTGAAAGTTGCCTCTTTTTGTGATAAGCATTAGAATTTTTGAAACTTGCCTTGCTAGTAGTAGTATGCTGAATTATCGTATTCGACATGGAATATATCATTATATATGTAAATGTGAATGATTGGACAACGCTTAACTCAATATATTTCCTTTGCTAAGATTTCAAATATCAAAATTAAAGGATTTTAAATTGTATGCAAATGAAAACGTATGTTCATTCCGCCCGTTCGTTTCTTGTATTATGTTCCAAGATGTTTCAGAAATTAAAGCTGAATTAGTTAGGCCCCATATCTGATGCACGGATGTCTTATATAAATAATTGAACCGGGGTTTTGCGTTATGGCTAAAGAAACACATGAGAGGATGTTTCCTCCAAAACCCATAATAAACGAATTTCCCTGGAGTAAACGGCACCCCACCCCTCTTCCTTTTCTGACATTCGCCATGCTTCTGTAACAATTTTGGAAACGAAAACGGCGAAAAACCCATACACGCGCTTTGGCACGGGTTTGTCCCGAAGGCTGGCTATCACATAGGTTGAATAGGGGACAGTGAACATAGCTTTACTTTGCGAAATTGTTTTTAAGGTCATCAATCTGTCAATTAAAGTTAAAGTCCCCGTGTAGGTTCAACAAGAGGCGATTCATACCTTTACATTGCATTCAAAATCCTATTATGTAACGCGCAAATAATAATAATAATAATAACAATAATAATAATAATAATAATAATAATAACGATGATAAAATAATAATAATCACGTGTTTTTACAATTTGCCCATGGTTCATTCAGAATCTAATTTAGTCTATCAAGCATAGTTTATTATAGGTGCTCTGAAGAATTTTAAAGCGTGTAGGGTCTACACCGGTGAATATAAAACAACTAAAAATAATGCTGTGCGCAATGGTTATAGATTATTAATAACACCGCAAAAGTAGCCGCAAACTGTAAATTCTAGATAATTTCTGTAACGTTTTCTGCAGACACTACCAGAGCAAAGTCAAAGAATGTGGATATTAAATGCAAGACGTTCGTTTTTAAAGCACGAAATACAATAGTGGGATTATTTGGATGCACGTGGTAAAATAACGTGGTAACTAACTAAAACCCTTTTCTTCGTCAAAGGTGTGAGTGCAGGGGGTGGGGGTGGTGGTGTTTATTAAATAATAGTTTTCAATTCTATAACCAATCATTCTGAGATTTAGCGACATTCTGCGGAACAGTAATAGCAAAGGTCATTTGAAGCTGTGCGCGAATGTTGTTTCGTTTATACCGTTTGATACGCCGACTTACAAGACAAGAGAACTTAATGAAACCACGCAGTTTAAGCATAATTAGATATATTACATATTTACTCATTGACATTCCCTGTTTTTGGCAAGATCGTTTGTGCCAGATTTCTTGATTTAGAAGCTTGCTTTAGATATACAAGGCGTAAGTGCTAGATTCCTTGTTTTAGATATACAAGGTGTGAGTAGTCTTCATGACTTGCGCGAGTAGCGCCCATGTATTGAATGTGGTCGAACGCTAAAGGATTTTGTATGGTGAACTGTTACAGTTGTAACGGGAAATCATAATGTAGGTGTTTAGCTTATCAAAATATAATAGGACATTGTATTTATTAGTTTTTTGTATAAATAATAAAGGTTAAATATTGGTATATTAGCTAGAACACCTGGTAGGGTGTGGCCACTAGTATGATATACAGTAAATGTACAATACAGGAACGCATTGGTATAATTGTCAACTGTATAGCCTTGCTCTAATTCAGGGTTTAATGTTTTAATTAAATTATATTAGAGTAATTGCACTATAAATTAAATTTTACATTATTTGTGTTCATTGAATAGATATAACAGATTCAAGTCTCGCTATAAAAGTTCAATATCTAGTATTATACAGTTTCTGCTTCATTTAAAAAAAATATGAATGAATTTTACATTGGAACTCTGACTCTACTTCTCTCTGCAGGTGAAGGGTGTGTATGTTGGGACAATTATGTACTTTGACACGGGGCCGTAGCGATAGTCCGAAGGTTCAATAGTCCGAAGGTTCATTGGTCCGAATGTTCACTATAGAACCTTCGGACCAATGAACCCTTGATTAAAAAATCGATGAAAATGTTACCACTTTTCGGACCAATGAACCTTCGGACCAATGAACCTTCGGACTATCGAGACGCCCCCCTTTGACACAACTTGCCTCTCAGACATCGTAGCGAGTCCTTTTTTTATTGTTTTTAGGTCAGTTATTAATATTTATTAGAGCTTGATTTCATAACTTAAATGATTTATTTGCATAAGTATGCCCCCTACCTGTAACACTTTGGTGTAACATGCAGTTTAAAGAAAAATAGGTAGGCCATTACTTAAATGGTAATAACTTCCTTCATACACAATATTTTGAACCCTATTTTTGAATGGTGTGATAATCAAAAAGAAGCCTTACACGAGGCACCTTAAAATGTTTCTTCCTAAGTAGATGGTCACGGAATTTATATTCATGATTGTGCATGCATAATACAATACTCAGTGTTTAGCTGAACATAGTTTCTACAAGTTCAATAACCAAAACATGATCATTTTCAAGGGCAGTGCCCAAAATTTCAAAGCGTTGCTAAGCAACGGTTGCTATGGAAGTGAATTTTCTTAGTAACAATTAAGCTAATTAGACCTTTCTTGTCCAGTTTGATGGTTTAGAAATGCTTATAACTATGTTTCTGGGCATCAGAACTATCACTTGTCTATTTTAAGGCAATTAAAACCCAAATTAACCTATTAAGCATATTACCCTAGCAACAAGCATTTAAAGTTCCGTTAGTCTAATAAGTAAAGCAAATCTATAATACTAGCTAAGAACTACACTTCTGAGCAAGATGTTCATACTTTTAATCCAGTATTACTATAAGTTGAAACAATTATGTGATGTTTACACACATCAGATCAAAAACATCAGCCACTTCCATGCTTTTATCACCTTAAACTCTTTATAAAACTTTGCAATAGTTAAGACGTTAAATTCTCCCTTGTATGTGCAATATACAGTGCAATTTGTCCTTGCACATTGTCAGCCTCTACATTTACACCTACATGCACACTGGAGCAACTCGGGGCTTCTGGCAAATGTGTCCACAAGGGTCCACTGTTCCGCACAAGTCCAACCAGAGTGAGCACATGGTATCTGATGACATGGCACCGTAGTGATGATTCAGATATGTTCATCTTACAAGAATACTCTTAGTCTTATATTGATGTAGAGCAGCCTTGGTGGAAGTAAGCTATGGCATCTAATAGCATTTGGGTGTGAACAGACACTTGATAACTTCATTGATTAATAAAAAGAAATATAGAACCATGCAGATGTATTTAAGTTACTTGGTAGAGAATAGAAACTGACAAAATACAATATGAAAAAACTAGAAAAATTTTGAACAAAATGAAAAATACCTTGGAAATCTGGTCTCTGAGATATTTCAATATAGGAAAGTCAACAGTGGTTAAACCTTTAGTATTTCTCTTCTTACGTAGTGCATGTATAAACTCTCCTACCATCCCCCCTCCCTCAATACTCATATCACATTTAACTTTATCAGGAATGGGAAAAGATACAAAATAAAATGAGCAAGGATGGCATCTGGTTACAAAAATGGACAGTAAAAGGTACCGCAAATTTTACCTAGGCCCTAAACTTTACATGGCTTAAAAGACTTTAAGAGTTTTTTATATTGTAGAGCAGAATTTTGAAAGTGAAGAGCATTTTTGTAGGCGAAATGTCAGGAATCGGTGGATTAAAAATACTAAAAGCAACTTCTTATTATTGGTTCTTTGAGTGAAATTCAATAACATTTCAATTTAACCCCAGATGAAATCCTATCACAACCATTATGTGAAAAACTCAAAAATTGAAAGAAACTGAAAAAACTATTTTCCATTAAAGATGGTGTTAAAATGTTTTTTTTACATTAATGATATTATAAATGACATTTGAAATCTCCTCTGTCTAGAGGAACTCAACAAAAAATCGCCCTTAATACTAACTTTCTGGGCTGATTCAGCATCCAAAAAAGCTTACCATCTGAATGGAAGTAAATTACTCGTAGCATTCCAAGAAATAATTGACTCAATTAAGCAAGTTACCAAACCATCCAGATAATTTTTGCAAAAAATCCTCCAAAGCCATATTATATCACCCGATAAAGGTGTAGGTGAATTGCAGACATATTTTGCAAAAAAAAAAACCTTGAGTACTAATTATTGGGAACTAACATTTAAGAAACAGATCACAAAAAAATTGCTCCAATTCAGAATATATCATAGAATATTCAATACTTATGCTTATCTTATGAATTTGAGAATTTTGCAATACTTCTAGAGAAAATATTTTGTATATTTTTTGGGATTGTTCACATGTAAAAAATGTTTGGATGTGCATTAGTATAGAAATTTTTGCACCAGTCATCTAGATTATTTTAGATTATTTTATCATAACTTTCTTATTTAGTGGCATCAACATGACCTTAATTTTAGTTATGTTGCACCACAAATGCTACTCAGATTATACAAGACCATGACTGGTAGTTTTTCCCCATTGGAAAGGTCAAGTTGTTATTGTTATTCTCACATGAGAACCAACCATTATCACTGTACATGCGCATTGTCTTGTGCAATCATTTTAACGACAATTTTTAATATGTTCATTTTACTTTAAGGGAATGTGTTCCAATGACAGAGGAGATGTTTGATGAATGGAGTGCTGATGGTGTCGAGTTTGTGTGCAGAGACTGTGCATATGATGCCACTGGCGAATATGATTTTGAAAGAAGTCTTCTCCATCTACGTACTAATCCAGACTCAGCCAAAGGAGAGGCGTTGTTATTGACAACATACAATGTGAAACTCCCAGTATTGAGAGATGATGCCACCTTAATTGACTGGTCCTCAGATAAGGTAAAGTATCATAAACAGCAACATCACTGTCTTTTTTGTGTGAGTCTCAGATACACTCCATGGGTTTTAAAATAATGTTTTTTTTTTTGTCATCCCTATCAACATGTACCACTGTACATATGCCTTTAAAATTGTTTAACCCTAAATTATTATTTCTGGATCGTGCCTTGTGGATATTTCTGTTAAGACCTATAATAACTGACCAGTCATTTGGTAAAAAGTTTGGTAAAAATTAACCTAAATCGATTTAAAGGCCAAATCTAAGTGCAGAGGGGGATAGATAAATGGTTTACCAAGTATGAGTAACATCTTTTCCCTGAATATTATATTCTGGTGATATATATATATATATACTTTTTAGTTGCTAACACGCAAAAGGGATGTTCTAATTTTAAGATATTATGAGTAAAACTTTCAGGATCTATAAAATTCATAATCCTTCATGGAAAAGATGTAAATACCGTACCTTTACCCATTTCTACGGCTTAAGGGTTTTTTTCAATGATACATTTTTCATATGATCCCCATTGCATATATGTCTCCATTTTCGTGATGAGACTAACCTCCAAACGTATAAGTCCTTTATAAATGTGCCGTTATAAATGAAATCTATACTAAGTTAACAGACAAATACTAATTGTGTAAATGGTTTGGGAATTTTAGTAATCTTTATTTTCCTAGATGTGCAGTGAAGTAAACTTATGGTAACAAGTAGGGGATATCACTTTTAAGCCATGATATTGGATCAAATTTGCTTTTGACCATATACTTTATGCCTTGCCAAGGTATTTGATTTTGGTTCTCTTTGTATTCCTGTGGACAGTATATGCACATTTACAAGTAGGCCAGATTTTAGATACGATTCATTAATTAATGTACTGCTGATAAATAAAAACTGTAATGTGTTGGTGAATTTTGAAAACTAGGAATTACCTCTATGTATATAAGTAGATGGTGTTGATGGGTAGCCAATGCATATCGCCGCATTCCCCCTTATCAACAAGAGCAGTTCATCCCCAGGTACCCTATCCCACGTATAAATATATATAACTGCCTGGGGGTGGAATATTCATAACATAATAAATAATAAGATGTTAAGCATTTTGTCTTCACCCATGGTCATAAAGTTATAAATGGAAAAAAAAACAAAATGTGTATGCATGTGTGCATTTCTGTGTACGCCTCTACTAGTTGAAAATATATACATGCACATACAGATAATGATTGAGATTATGATCAAAAGGTAGTTCTTTGTCCATATATTTGAATATATCAAACATAAATGATAAGAATTATTTAAAATCATTAATATTTAGAAAAAGCCCAACCCCCAGATGCACTGAAAATTCTAAAAAGCCTTGTCCTTTAAGATCCTAATAAAAGATGTAACAAAAACACCAACTTCCTACTTGCAATGGTCTAGGAGGAAATAGTGGAAATTACTAACACAAAGACGCGCGGACAGGCGGATAACACGACTTTTGTCCCAAAAGTGTGGGAAATAATAATAATATATTGGTGAATTATGAAAAATTGTTAATAGGCAGAATTTTACATTGAAAATGAATATATATATATTCTACCTAAAGAAATGGAAAATATTAAGATTGATAATTGAAAGTTAAGCTTTATTATTGCTGAACATCTGTTAATTGTTAATATGTAACTTATAATGATAATGAAAATTACCCCATTTTTATCAACCTTGCCACCTTCGGTTGTTGTGACTACAGTTTAAATATTTAGCCTGACCCCTGAAACCAACATAAATGTAAATTGTATCATTTGCTCTTTTTAGGTGGCGAAGCAAGTGCTGGCAAAATTTCATCCCATAATTCTTAACACGCACCGTCCCTTAGCAATTGGAGGTGATGGCAATTGCCTGTACAGGGCACTGTCAGCTGGTCTTTACGGCACTGAGAGATATCATCTGCATGTTAGATTGATCACAGCTCTTGAAATGATCACCTTCCCAGATGAATACAACATCCACAGTGTCAACTATACAGGCAAGTTGGCAGGGGATGCTGCCTTTGTTGAGTCATATGCTGATGAACTGGGAGCTGTTTGTGCACCTGGCCGCTGGTCAGGTTTGATTCACTTGTATGCTGCAAGTGCGGCTCTTAGAGTACCCCTCCGTTCTTACTGTCCACCTATCCTTCACACCGAATATTTATCAATGCCACTGACCAGAGTCATACATGGAAGAGGAGTCTCAACCAAACATCACCCAGAGATAACCATTATGTGGACCAGTAGTTCAGTTCCTGCCTCTCAAGATGACTTCAGACCAGACCATTTTGCAGTACTGATAAAAAATCAGGTTACAGTTATGAGAGGAAATATCAACCATACATGCCAAGATACTCTTCCAGATACAGTCACCACTGATCCTCCCATCTCACCCCAACAGACAAGTGCTAACCCAGATGATGTTCCTGAGCCGACTCTACCAGAAACAACTGATGCCAGCTGTGACACTGCTCCTGGTGGAACTCCCCTTCCCAATGAAAAGTTTTTGGACGCACCTAAGGTGATCAAACTTCTGCACAGTGAAGACCCAAGTACATCAAGTATACCCAATGGAAGAAAAGAAAATACTTATTTTATTGTGGACAATCAGGGAAATGTGCAGAGGCGCAATGAAGGCAAAAAAAGTATATTTGACGATGACTGTGGAGCATGGGTGAAAGGTACATCGCCAGTAACAGTGATGTCTCAAGAGGGGACCCAGCTGAAATTCTGTGATGGGCTGTACTGCGTACGGAAGTACATCAATGGAAAGCTGACATACCAACCGTTACATCCCCAGCCAGAAGAAACAGTGACACTCCAAAGGTAAAATCCAGTTTTGTAAAACTATGGTATATTTATAAGTACTACTTACTCCACCAAAAACATTTCCTGTAATGTTGCTAACAGGCAGACAGACAAACAAACAGACAAGCTAACTAACAGAAGCAGAGGTATTTACACAGGGGGTTATTGTGCTGTCACTAGTGCTTATCATTGCTCTAGTTGTTATATAATGGGATTATAACAGCCAGGTAGACCAATATTGAGAATCTACATCATTTTGTAATTTTATGCTAATCAAATATAAAATATTTATGACTCAATTTTCTGACAAAATCTTAGCAGTGCCCTGAATTTTTAATTTTGCTATAGTTACTTTTGCAGTCATGTTTCCGGGAGCGACTTCATGTTACAAGTTGTAGAGTACATAAGAAATAAGAATTCCTCATTTGTCTTTTAGATACTACACAACCCTGAAAGCAGATAACAGCTATAAGAGGAGAGTTTCTTGGGTTCAGGAAAGACCACATGTTGCCCTGGTAGAGTATGTTGGTAAATTTCCAGGGAGGACACCACACGGGAACTCGACATCTTCAGGACGGAACTACATAAGAACAAAGCCACACGTCCTTGAAAAAATTGAACAACTTGCCACCCTTGGAAACCCTAAGGCGATTTATGAAGAAATCATACGCGAAGCACCTAGAGAACAGGACAAGCCCTCAGATTTACGACAGGTACAAAACAAACTGCATAAGGCAAATACAAGAAGAGAAGATGTGAACAGTGGTGGGTCAAACTTGGCAGCTAATTTCAACTACCTTCAGTCTCAGATTCATTACAGCAATTTTGTAAGGAAAATTACACATGAGAAGGGTAAAGTTCCAACTATAATTTGTTATACTGACAGTCAGATTCTGGACTTAAAACGCTTTTGCTGCACAAGTCCTGTGGCACAATCCACTGTGCTTGGGGTTGACAAGACGTACAATTTAGGACAGTGCCATGTGACCACTATGGTGTTTAAAAACCTTAGTGTTATTAGAAATGGCACTAACAACAATCCAGTATTCTTAGGCCCAATCATTATTCATGGTAATTCCGATTGGCAAACTTTTGCATCTTTTTTCTCAACAATAGCTATGGAACTAACAGGGTCTTTGTCACAACCAGTCATAGGTTCTGACGAAGAAAGAGCCATTAGAAAGGCAGCAAAATTTAGTTTTCCGGAAGCCAAACTTATTTCTTGTCAACGGCATCTAAAACAAAACGTTACCATGCACCTTAGAGACAAAATTGGTCTTTCTATGGATGAAAGAAATAAACTTGTTTCCTTAATATTTGGTAAGGATGGACTTACTGATTCATTAAGCTGGCCAATGTTTGAAAAAAGAAAGGAGGAAGTGGTTGCATTCATACAAAACAGTGTCCCAGGCTTTGGAATTTATTTTGAGGAACACATATTACCCATCCTTAAGGACAATCATGACACCATAATGAGCAGACCTGGAGTGGGTCACGGCTGGACCAACAACAACTGTGAGTCTCTTAATCACATTCTGAAACTAAGAACTGGTTGGAGACAGCAGGATATTCCAAAATTAATTGATTCACTGGAGAAACTGGTTTCCCACTGTTATGAGGATGTCGAAAGGTCATTCATTCAAAGGGGTGAGTTTAAACTCTCAGAAGAATACAAAGATTTTCATGTGGAATTTAACGAGTGGGAAAAGAAATCTTCTCAACAAAGACAGCGGCACCTCAAGAAATTTCTTAGCACCCCCAAGATCCTAAAGCCAATGGTTTCTTCTGAAAATCTCTTCGTCCTCCAGGCTCCATTGCGTGGAAAGAAACCTTGTCAAAGGAAGCGATCTCGGGCCACAAGAACAACCACATTGAAATAAACACTGTTGGACTATTCTGACTACTAGGATTTTTTATATTTTTTCCATATGAGCTGCCCGGGCCAAGGTCTGTGTTCACTACGTGCTGTTCTAGTTCCATATGATATTTTATAGTATTTTTAGTGGGTAATAATATCCTTAGACGAGTGATTTGTTTTTGTTAATTATCAGTTAAAGGTATGTCACCCCCTGAAATTTTTTTTTTTGCAATGAGTATTCTTGTGTTGTCTATTCAGGCCTCTGTTAGATGTACTAGAGGGAGCATTTTTTTTTTTTACATTTATGACAACCAATTTACTTGATGATATTATCTTAATGTTTGGTACATTATTTGATGCAATTTCCATTCTTTACTTGCAAATTCAGTCTGACATCTTATGATGTGAAACATTTTCCATTTTACCGACATAATTCAGTGATATTGTTTTGTTTCAATGTGTGGCTGCCTATATGATGCGTTTTTTTTCTTTTGGTAAATGTGGTCTCCCTGTCAAAATTGTATTTGCTGCAATATGTCTATGCTTGCCTTGCATACTCACTCTGACATTAAAAGTACTGTGATATATTTAACCATTTTACTATTTTTTCTGTTACATATTAAATAAAGACAGTATGGCTGGCCATAGAAAAGCATATTTTCTTACTGTATACATGTTCTCTCTTCAACTAAAATGTCATCTAGGCCTGCAGTATTTTTGTCCATTCTTCATGTCTATTCTTGTATCTTAGGCTCGTATCTTATGTAGTAAGTTATAAACTTTTCCCATTTTAGATGATTGGTGAATAACTTGGTGATCATTTATGAGTGCATTTTTTCTTCTTGTAAATGTTTCTCCTCCAAATAAAGTGATACATTTCACCTTTTTACAGTTACAGATATAAGGTGATATAATTGTTTTTTGGGGTCAAGTATTCTTTTGTAATGTTCCCCTCTCATCTTAAGTGCCTTGTTTAACTTTGCAGTATTTCCCTGGCCTGAATAACTTGATCTTGTTTTTCCCTCAAATTAAGTACAATCCCTGTAAAATTGTATTTACTTCAATTTGTCTACTCTTATCTTGCATATACCTCTGATGTACTATGTAAAAATATCTAGTAGTTGCTGCATAATGAGATATGATTTCAGTTCTGCACAGTTTTGCATAATTCTTCAGAGAAATAAAATGATTGACAACAGATTGGAAATACTTGTTTCTATTCATGTAATTTTTTATTTTTTTTGATGCTAATGAAAGTTTGTTTTATTTATTTACATCGGAATGTGCATGACCTTTAAGCTATCCTATTTAAATTTGTGCACTTGTTGTTTTTCAAATAAGATTTTTTCATGAAGCATGTTCTCTCATTGTCTTTTCAACATAAAGCTAAGTACTTGATCATGATTATGAAATGTGTTGTCACCAAAGAGTTCATGGTACAACACTAGTGTAAAGCAATTACATTAAGAGTAACCAAGATTTTTAACTTCCATGTCACTTCAAGGCCAATAAATTAGGTATCTAAGGAGTGATGGAGATCGGCATTTAAAGCATACATTGTTTTTCTCACTTCAAGGTCACCAGATCCATTAGCAGTTTTTTTTCCATTTTTATTTTTAAATAATACAACTACAAAAAATGTGTGCTATCCAGGGATGTGTCCTATGACACTAGAGAGGGAACAAATTAGACATGTATAAACAAATAGCACTTCGAATGCCAAACTTTTTTCTTATATACTTTATCAAGCTAGTGAAAAGAGATTTTAATTTCTTGTGTAAATGAATTCTGAGATTTCCAGTGATACTTTTGAGGAAATGATGGGGTGGAGGTGGTGGCAGATATGCAAGATAAGGTGTTACATTTTTTTATCAGTGCAAACTAAGGGTAAATTACATCCTGAAATCCTTTGAAGAAGACTTTTAACAAGCATTGTAAGGCTATTTATTATAAGGCCACACTTTTTTATTTTTATGGATGACATCCTCTGGGGACCCCAAAATCAATGTGAGTGGGCGAAAAAAAAAGTCCAACAAAAAAAAAACTGCTTAAGAAAAGTTATGTTTTCAGTACACAGCTGGAAATCTGTCTTTTAAATATCTTTTAATATCCATGCTCTCAAAATATTAAATCATTGTGAATAGGGCCTACTGTACTTCGTAGAAAGGTGAAAAGTCATGAATATATATGCCGCATATTACCAAATCTATTTAAGGTTATTTCATGCATTCTGTTGGTAGAGCAATCAATAAAACAAATATCAAATAAACAGTGCATCTTTATTTGTACTCTCAGAAAATTAAAGCATTGTGAACACTTCACAGAATTGTTAAAAAAATGAAGCAAAGATAGGCCTATGCTTCCTACTACCAAATCTAAAAAAGGTAATTTCCGACGTACCATTTTGTCTACTTCGACTCACACGTAGCAGCCAACTATAGGGTGGCCTTTCCGACTTTCAGGCACTCTCGTCGACCCTTTTTTCGCTACACAAAAAAAACTTTTTTTTGGAAGAACGGACGAAAATCGGTGCACGCGCAGGATGTCATCCATAAAAATAAAAAAGTGTGGCCTAAGGGTGACAAAACCATCCAGGCTTATACTTTCAGGATTTGATCATGACTGTTCAAAGAACATATGAAGAAGATAAATGGTCACTGAAAAAATGAACAACATCTTTTTCTTTACCTGTATAATTTTTTTCATTTTGCTTCAATAACATAAATACAAAAAACGCGTTATCAACACACAAGAAACATGACAAGTTAGTAAAAATAATAAATTGATCCACATATGCCAAGCTCTCTGGTCTTTTCCCCCCCTCTGTTTGCTTTCTCGTCCCCATGTCTGTTTACTGCTTATACTCCAAGTCTTATGGCAGACATTCTTCAGGTTGCATAGCTCAAGTGTCTGCATATCATGAGACACCACAGCAGCCCATTCTATAGCAACTGTAGGGCGCAGTCACCTGGCAGTTGTGGTTATCAAAGGAAAATATAAGCGCCACCCTTATATATAGAAGGGGATTTTTATTGTTTTTAATCAGCAAAATTGTAAATATTGAACATTATTGAATAACAATGTGCAGGAAAAAAAAATTAATGAAATTTGATGATAATGAATTATTACCTGTAAGGGATCCTGAACTAACAAAACTTATAGAATTTCAGAATTTATAGATATTCAGTCCATATAGTTAAATAGGTTCATTAAAACGTAGTAACAAAAAAAGTTTATAATTTTCCTTCAACTGCAAAAGACTGTGGTATATCTTGGAATTATTTTCCTTGGCTGACATTGTATAGAAGAGTCAAATAAATCTTCAATTCTCGTTGCTAAAACATGTTATGAAAACAGTAGACTCCACCAAAATGGAATCCTCTATTAAAGTCTGTATTTTATCCTCAAATATAGTATGTCATGCCAAGTGCTCCTGAAAAGCTGACGCTAAAATATGAAGAGCAATGAAAATAGCATGAAAAGTGAAAGAGTAATGGAATAAATTAATTGTATGATTTCCCAATGCATGGCTCCCCAATATGTATTTCACCAGATTAATTGCTGTATGCAGAGAATGAAATGGCAAGGGAGGATTATATTAGCAGAATTTTTCATGAGAAATATCCTGCACTCGGCATCTTTTAATAATTTTTGAAAATAGTTGATTTGAAAAATAAAAATTTGATTTCCCCACTGAAATATTCTGAAAGTGATAGCAGTACAGAACAATCAATCACGCTTTTATTACCTTGATTAAAATTTGGTTGGAGTAAAAAAATATCTGTTGTAGTTGCATATAAACAGCTATACTCACCAAGTACTAAGAATCATGTACCCCAAAAATATTTTCTTTCGGGTAATTTCTTGTATATCCTGACTTTTATTTCAATAAAGAGGAAATTAATTACACAAACAGCCACCTACACATGCATTAAATACCATCTAATTCTATTTGACCTGGTCCAGTTGGTATCATTTTTTTCAGGGAATAATAAATAAATATCTGTTTGTAGCATGTGTTGGGATACAACTACTTGTGTTTGCAGATAGTATATTTTTGTATTTCAAGTTTTTCGGACCCTAATTTGAACCCTTCATTTGAACTAGGGTTTTACATATTTTGTTGCACAACACTGGTCAATTATTAGTATTAGAAAATTTTTAAAAATCTAATAAAAAGTTGTATCCTATCGCAAAAGTTGTACAATTAAACAGAGCTAAACATACATTACAAAACGCATTGTCACTGAAATAAATATAATAAAAGGAGTACACTTACTAGTACATATCACTTGAGTCATACCACATAAGTACACTCAGGCTTGAGAATGAGTGTCATATTATAACAAAATTCCAGTAAGTGTCAGTGAGTGGCTTGTGTGGTGTTATATCCAGTTATGAATATTCATGACAGACACCTTAAAACAAAATCATAATTCCATCCCAGGACAGTGCCCTCGTCCTCTGTAGAACTGTCTAGTTAAACAGCATGTTAAATGACTTTGTGGTTATTCTTTCGACCTCCATAAAATGGAGATCGGTAGCCTGTCACAGTTAGGCAACAACCTACCTATGCGCACTGTGTTGTCTTTCTTTCACTAAGATCGTTTTCTAAGAGTTCAAACCAGGAATTTAGGCTCAATTAAAGAACATTTCTTGTTTATTTGTCAGAATATAACATAAAATGTGAACAAAAAGGTTGATTCCTGTAATTTACAACTTGATTCCGATTGATTCCGGTAAATACAGTTGATTCCGGTAAGTAGTAGGACCCTCACAGAAATGATGAATCGGACACTACACAGTGTAACAAGGGGCGGTTTAAATTACGCCAGCGCTAATTCCAGTGATGCACAAAAGAAATGATATTTAACGATTGGTATACAATGCCTTGGGGATTCTGATTGGACATGTTTCTTACCTTATGCAGCGGTAACACGGATATTCTACTGCAGCACAAAATCCTCTTCATGGAGGCTGACATATTGAAAGGTCGCTTACAAATACCGTCTAAGATACCACGTGATACGTCATATGGCGCATTTAAGCGGCTGTTTGGTTCGCATTTTATTTAGACAAAACAAATGTATATAAACACGAAAGTTGTGGTTCACGCGAAGAATATACAATGGCTGTGTAAGTGAAACATTGGGTAATTTAAGGAGGATATAAGCGGCAATGAGCTTTAAATGACCTTTCCTGACCTCCTACTGGTAGACCCAATTGCATTTGTCCCATTAAACAGTCACTGCGATAAATTTATTCATTCAAATTGATAAAGAACAACATGAAAAATGTAGGTTAACCCACGGTTTTTGTCTGCCAATGAAAAAAGCAGTATATGTTACAAATAAATGAGAAAATTGACATCAGGCATTTTAATGCGATTTTTAACAAGGCAGCAAAGCTGTCAAATGTACAGACAAAAAACAGGAAATAACTATGCACAAAATAGGACTACTGTCAATTCTGATGCAAAAATACATTATGTTAAACTGCAAATTCAACATCAAATTTTAATTATCCTCAACAGGTAATACCAATGTAATTAAAATATGTGACAAGTTTACACTTTGAAAATGTATAACTTCCAGAAAAAGAAGTTCCTTAGACTGCTTTTCCAACTCAGACTGCATTTTAGTCCTGTATTTCTTTTTTGAAAGTTTGGCAATCATAAGTAACATGGTTTTCCCATAATGGTCATCATGGCAGCAGCACCCAAAATTGTGTTTTCTTCTATTCTGATGCAATATTACATAATGG